TATCTTTGTGGCATCAGATGCAATCTCCATTGCCTCCAAAATTTTGTCCACCTATAGGAACTAATTGTCAGCTACCATCGGATCCCCTCCTCCTACAAAAGTTGGTGGGTTGTGGGACCTAAACTTCTGGAGGTTGTTCGAGCCTCCTAGGCCCACTTTAGAACTGGCTTGCAAAAAGGTGGCGGTCATCGCGCCCATAGCCTCCATAAAGGCTTGTTGATCAAAAGCCGGTGATGGTGGTTGGTTGTTTCGTCCACCCCGACGTCCCCTTCCTCTTATTGCCATCTACACACACATAAAATAGCAATAGATCAATAACTTAGTATCCTAAAGTTAGGGATCAAAGTTAAAACAGTAAAATATATACCTACTGGTAAATGTGCAAACAATAGGCTTACATATCCTTTTTCTTCCTAACTCTAAGGTTATGTTTTCTAACCGTAGTGCCTCATTCCTATATACATTTAATGATGCATATAATCTCATAACACATAGCATGAAAGATTTAATACATTTAACATGCAATGCAAACTGGATGCAATGACTTAAACCCATGCCCTGTAAGCCCTAGATAAATCGTGAACCTAGACTCTGATACCAAGCTGTGATACCCCAAAATTCGAGTGTCTGTAATTATTTGATTGATCATCCATCGACCCGCAGAATACTGGTAGATATTGTGTAATTCGATACCACACCGTTATGCCCCATTTCTCGGGATTCATAACTTAACAAAATTTGGGCAAAGTCTCATTTATACGAGGAGCTCTACTTAAAAACGTAACTTGTACAATATTGACCACACCGGATCTATCCATCCATTCACAATTGTATAGTCTCGAATACTACCATAATCATCATCAGTACATACATTTATTCGTAAAAGAATAAATGTCCCAAAAGAGTCTCATATACATGCCTTTATAAATATAAACAAATTTTTGTTATAAAAATTATACAAGGTCAAAAGTAAGTATAAACAAGGGACTACAATGTCAAAATAAGAGCCATAGACTGGCTCTGTCGTGAAAGCGGGCCCATGGCCTCGTCTTCAGTGGACACCTGAAAAATGTTCCCATAAATGGTGAGTCAACGCTCAATAGAGTAACTCCTATAGAGAATACCTCTCAACTTAAATGGATATGAAATATCACATGCAACAATCATTCAATTATGTCTATTATGATTGAATATCATAAATCATGTCATGCCATGAGATGAGACTCACGCAAGCAATACCAACTCCGAGCCCCATCCTAAGCTCTCATAACACATGCAATGTCATGCGTATGTATCCGGACATTTCAAGCCCCCATCATTGGTGTTATGTACACTCAATGACTAATTAATTTATTTTCTTGTGTCTTTGTGGAGAGGTGATTTATGATATTACACCAATGGGACATCAACCATCAACGGATCTTCAGGACATCCCACCTGCGGCTCCGTTTTCACAGTTACACTTTTCTAGAATTTCACCGCCGAAAAGTGTATAAACCAAGTTAGCGGGTCTTGCACCCGAGAGAGAATCTAGCCCTTCTTGCTATCCTCAACACATTTATCCATTTAATTTTCCGTACGACTCAGCCGAACCTTGGTGCGACTTTTTCGAGTCCACAATCAACCACCTATGTGGTGATTGATTTCATACCATGCATACACCCCCACCCATGTCAATGCCCATGAATGTAGTGCAATTCATGCATAATGCAATACAATGTTCATTACATAATAAATACAATATAATGACATTTTAACATGATCTCAAACATGTTATGTAAGATAATCAACTCAACTAACATACTTGTATTCACGTAGGCATTTAATCAAACACCTAAAGAGCACATCAATTTACACAACTAACATGCTATGACTTGCAACATGACAACATGTTTATTAATTATATAAACATAAGCACAAGTCCACCAAAATAATCATATGGTAAATAATCATTTAACATACATATTATTTCATAATCACATAACAAGTTAATAATTTTATTAAACTTGATTTGTCATTAAAATATAAAGTAATGCTAATATACAATTCACATGTTTTAAACCACTAACATTAACTTACACCAAGTTAATCACAATAGAATTTTATTAATCGCAAGATTAATTATAAATCCTATATTTGACCCACTAGTCAAGACCTAACATGTGATATACACCCATAGTCTATTCATTCCATATGTCATATTTTAAGTTGAAATTAAATCTAAATAGGGGAAACCCTACCTCTCGTAGCGTGAGCCCACTTACTAGAACGCCAAAGAAGCCCAAATTTAGCTTCCTAAGTTTTTGGCCTAGATTATCGGTTTTGATATTCTTTCGGAGAAAAATACGATATTTGGTGTGGTTGCGTAGCTCTCACTGAGTAGGGCAACTTTAGTTCTTGGCCCGAAGCGATTAAACAGTCTAATCTTCGTAGATCTAAGAAAAAAGAAACACTCACTTTTCTCTCTCTCACTCTCTGTCTCGCCGTTTCTCCAACAAAACCAAAACTTATATATATATATTATAAATTTATTTATTTGTTTAAAATTTACGTTTTTGACCCGTAATTTAACAATTAATTATTATTTTACCCTTTTAATTAGGATTTTTAATAATAATAATAATAATTTTTTTTTTTTTGGATTTTACACAAAGTGCATGTAACCTAGTTCAAACACTCCTGATCATTGAACCAAAAAATAAATAAATGGGTCCCTAGTTCAAACTAACCAACTAAAAATGTGATTGCTAACCCATTTTCAACGTTTTTGATTTAAGTAGTATTTTTGCAAATCCAACTTTCAAGAAAACAACATTATTTGGGAAATAAATTATAAATTACAATGTTAAGGCAAAAGCATTTAAAATTTCTTGTAATTTGATTTTTTTTAAAAAGCGATATTCTACCGTGGCTTTCACAACTCTTCCAAAATGGTTTGGTTTTTACCTGTGGGTGTCAACATTATTCTGCAACTAGCCAAAGATTGATATACAAGACATCCATCTTTCTTGCCAAAACAACCAAGATGTCCCAATCCACCGACTCCCACCCAAATTTGTGACCACAATGGAGAGAGCTAATGAACTAAAGCACCTTCACATATAGTAAATAATTTAATTTTCTTCTGTTAATGTATGGAAGTATGAATAATCTCAAGGAATAATTTTAAGTGATAATAAAGATGAGTTATAAACTTAGACGTTCTGAGTTTAAATCTTGGCAACACATTGGAATCAACCAATACTTTAGTTTTAAACTAGAGAAGGTGGTTCAGACATTCCTGACCAATAAATCAAAAAAAAAAAAGTGTGAACGGTGTATTTGTCCTTCGAGGCCACCTTTTTTCTCCTAAACTTGCACATGAAGTCTCATGACTTTATCAGCCCTCAACAATTGCTTACCAAGCAAAATCCCATGTTGGACAATAGAATTGACAATGGTTGTGTTGTTTGTTTGTTGCGTCGAAATTTGCTTTACCTCATACCTATTGAATGTATAATTTGACATTATGTCAATTCATTTATTTAATTGGTATGGAGGACCCACCAACTAACTTAGGTTAAAACCATGGACGTGCTTGCTTTAATTATATAGTTAATTAGGCTAGGATCCCTCTTTTGATATATAAATGAATTTTAGTTTTATCGAATTTTTAATATAAAAAAAGGTCCACCAATTTTTGAAAAAACTTGTATGCGGACCTTATGTTGGCGCGAATGTTAAGGGATTGGTTAATTGATTTTCATTACCCATTTTATCCTCAACATATGATTTCAGCCTAAAATATTATTAGTTTCTTTTCTTCTGTTTTTTTGCGTTTGTTATTGAGATTTTTGCAGTGTTGTATATCAATTTTAAAATTTAAACTTGTGAACCAAATAATTTTGACATTATGATGACGTCTGACAATCTGTATTTTAATATACATATCTAACGATCTGTGTTTATAGAGAAGAAGGTACATTATTGATATATGTTTATGGAGAAGAAGATACATTAACGATCTATGTTTTAATGTACCTGTCTGATGATCTGTATTTATGGAGAAGAAAGTATATTAATGATCTGTGTTTTAGTGTACTTGTCTGATGATGTGTATTTATGGAGAAAAAAAGTATATTATCGATCTGTGTTTATGGAGAAAAATGTATATTAACGATCTGTATTTTAGTATATTTGTATGATGATATGTGTTTATGAAGAAAAAAATATATTATCGATCTGTGTTTATGAAAAAAAAAAATACATTAACGATTTGTAATGTAGTTATCTGTCTGACGATCTGTGTTTGTGGAGAAAAAATTACATTAACGATCTATGTTTTAATGTACTTATCTGATAATTATTATGTACCTGTTATTTTATATTTTTTTATTGTATACATGTTATTTTTTAGCTCGAAAGTATATATATATATTGCGTATCTGTTTTTTTTTTTTTTTTTTTTAGTGTTCCTATCTTAAGATTTGTGTTTATGGAACAAAATGTACATTATGAAGACATATCTTGTTAGAATAGGTATTTAAATTAACTTATTCCAAAATGCAAAGATACCAAACAAAATGTGCTTATGAGCCACTTAATATGTTAGGCTAGTATTATGACAATAGTATGTCAAAATCGAAGACCGGTTTTTCTTATTCAAATTTAATGAATGACTTTAATAAAAAATTAAAAAAAAAATTAATGAAACCAATCAAATCCCTCACCCCAAAATCATCCAAACATGCCTAAAGTGGATGGGCCTGGACTGAAATGGGCTCAGATCTGTGTCAATGGATCGGCCCATATAACCCCCGGGATCCCAATCAATAATCCAAGAAGTTCATCGACACTTTCGAGCCCTATATGATCCACTTCTGTTGTGGACCGTCGCAACGTGATTGACACTAAGTATATCACTTTTAATAAATCTCCAGCAAAAAGCAGCATCACCTGACACATTTCATTCACACACCGCCCTGCAGGCTGAACACTCTCTCTGTTTCTCTGTCTCCACCATGGACATCCTCACTCTCTTCTGCACCGCCTCCCTCCTCTTCGGCGGCCTCTACTGGTTCGTCTGCGTCCTTGGCTCCGCCGAACAAAAGGGCAAGCACGCCGTTCACCTCTCCGGCGGCTCAATCTCTCACGAGAAGGTCCAAGACAATTACAATCAGTACTGGTCCTTCTTTCGCAGTCCCAAAGAAATCGAGACCGCCGAGAAAGTCCCGGCCTTCGTCGACACATTCTACAATCTCGTTACCGATATTTACGAGTGGGGTTGGGGCCAATCATTCCACTTCTCCCCATCAATCCCTGGCAAATCTCACCGCGATGCAACACGAATCCATGAAGAAATGGCCGTAGATCTTCTAAATATCAAGCCCGGTGCGCGCATTCTCGATGCTGGTTGTGGCGTTGGTGGTCCGATGCGCGCAATTGCTGCGCATTCGGGGGCAAATGTAGTTGGCATCACCATCAATGAGTACCAAGTAAATCGGGCTCGTACGCACAACAAGAAAGCCGGTCTTGATTCCCAATGTGAAGTTGTGTGTGGCAATTTTATCCAAATGCCATTCGCCGACTGTAGCTTCGATGGAGCTTACTCAATCGAAGCCACCTGTCACGCTCCAAAGCTGGAAGAGGTGTATGCTGAAATCTATAGGGTTTTGAAGCCTGGATCTATGTATGTTTCCTACGAATGGGTTACCACGGAATTGTATAATGCTGATGATCCTGAGGATGTTGAGGTTATTCAGGGGATTGAACGAGGTGATGCATTGCCTGGGTTGAGAAGTTACAAAGATATTGCTGAGGTTGCTAGGAAAGTAGGGTTTGAGGTGGTGAAGGAAAAAGATTTGGCGAAGCCACCGGCACAGCCATGGTGGACAAGGCTGAAGATGGGGAGGATTGCTTATTGGAGGAACCACATTTTGGTCACGGTGCTGGCATGGTTGGGGATTGCGCCGAAAGGGGTTGTGGATGTCCACGAAATGCTTTTTGTGACGGCGGATTATCTAACTAGAGGCGGTGACACCGGGATTTTCACTCCTATGCACATGATTCTTTGCAGAAAGCCCGAAAAGAAGTCTTCGGCTGCGGATTAGAAGTTGGATTGCTATGCGTAGAGAGGTTTTTCTCTTGCTGTCTTCGTTTTCTGTTAAAATTTCTGTATTATGTCAAGTTGTTTTAAATTAATGTCCTTTCTTTTTAGTTTAATTTGCTTGCTTCCATAAAAGATTGAACTTTTTGTTGGCTCTAATTATTAGTAGATGTTTGGGGCTTGAAGTAGAGGGGACCCTCTTTAGTTGTTGTGAGACGAAAATAACTAGCACTTTAATACTGTCCTCTAACTAACGGTAGAAGTTATTTGGGGAAATTTTGTTCTTTTAACTTTTGAACATACAAAGGCATAGTCTTTGAATTTGAGTGCAATCCAGCATTACAGGTCAGTCTTGTTGATCGAAATTCCTTCTTTTTATAGTTGATTATTTTCAGAGTTTGTGTGGACCCACAAAGTTGGTGAGATTGGGTTGAGATGGGGATGATGGTGGCATGTAGTTATGGAAGTGATGGAATTGTGCTAGTTTAGAGGCCATGGCATGTCATGCAGCTAGCTGTGTGACAAGGTATTCGGGCTGTCAGTGAGTCGGACTGAATCGAGTTTCTAAGATGTTTCGTTGTAGCAAATATTGTTCAACTCATGCCCAGTTTATTTATAGTTGTGTAAGAATAAGAATATTCATGAAATGATAGAAGTAATACTAAAATGAGATAAATTAAGAGAGAATCAACTTCACTAGTTTGAACATGTTTATAGAAAAGCTATCACTCTGCCTCAGGTAAGAGGATTGATATGATAGTTATCAATAGATATGCGTCAGTTGGATGTAGATCGAAATCATTATGCATGGGATAGTAAAATGAAGTATGATAGCTTGAAGTATAATAGATGATATTTGATAGAGAGCATCATATAGCCAATTGGAATAGGATTCGATGAGTTGGATATTTGAGGAGAGCCTGTTATGTTTTGAAGTATATGGATATGTCAAGTTGGATATGAGGTTATATAAATCTGTGTGAAAAGATCATTCTTAATTTCGGACAATCGATTTTTTCAAAACCTTACAATTTTTTATAGGTGAAAACATGATATAATAGATGGTGATGCTAGTCATGCTGGAGAATTTAGAGACAACCTTGGGTCAAGAGGATACACCAACATTAGAAAAAAATGCTGCATTTTAGCATGGAGGCAACACTTTCACATCTAGTAAGTAAATGAGTTGTTGCCGTGAAGTCACAATGCCAATGATAAAGTTTGGGTGATAGTCTTGGTCATACAACCTAATTAAATGACCCCGCTTGACTCAAGAAAGCTTAATTCCACCCTCTTTTTGTCTACTTGAATTATATATATTCATTCTACCCTCACCTAGATCTGTTCTTTGTTAGAGCATTGTCATTCCTCTTGACCAAAGCCTCTGTTGTCTAGGCAATTTTCAGATTTTTTTGTCAACATTCACCTATCAGTGTACTGGTGGTTCCATCAGCACTTTGGTTTCACTTCTCTTACAAATACTTGGATGGAATCTGTGGCATGTGTTTTGCTCTTGGATTCTGCAAAACTTTTTCTGTTGCAGATCTCTATGTTCTTATTTAATGGAAGGTGCATTGCTTCGATAAAGTTTGTGTGTGTGTGTGTGTGTGTGTGTATATATTAATGAAGCAGTGTCTTTTCTTCTTGTGTATGTATGTATTATATTGAGGGTCGTACCGGAGGACGAATGAGTTAGAACGAAAACCTCCATGTCATGGATGAACATCCCACATGTTTAGCTGATAAATTAGCATTTCCTACCAAAAGGGTGTTGGATGGGAACTGAATCCAAGTCAGCAAGTGAAGGTTGCATGCTGTGGTGCTTAGTGATCATGTTAACCAGCTTGGCTTGCATATTGTTAAATGCAGTTGCAGCTCAAACATTAGTTACACTATTTGTGGCAGTTTTGGTGTTAATATTAACTAGCAGTAGCAAGAGAGAACAATAGTGGTGGAATTTAAACTCAATTGTTCTAAAGCACTTGGCATTATTATAGATTTTTCTCATCTAGCCGCCCCAAATAATTGGAACATAAGGTTTGGTTTGTTAGACTCTTCCTTGGTTATGAAAAAGTTCTCCTCCCCTCTGGATATGTTCTACTCAAATGCAACAAATAGTGTTGGGAGAATATGAATTTAGCTCAGCAAGATCTTGTTCACCGTCTCGCATGTCTAGAACCTTCTGTCGTTTATTGTTCATATTTTTGGGCTTTTACCTTCTGAATAGGTTGTCGTACAACGGTTCAACTAAGCTGGGTGGGCTTTGCCATTGAGTTAAACGGACATTTCTTTTTGCGGATATCCCCTTGCCCTCCCTCCGGATGTTCTGGTGCGATGTGTAATCCCAAATTGTTCAATTTGGAGCCGTTTGGTGAGTTTTATCGATTTAGATAGGATTGGTTTGAGTAGATTAATTCAAACTCATCCGGTTAGAGTTTGGATAGAATACAATTAATTTTTGTTTTATCTCAGTGTCTGAGAATGATTGGATGGGAATAGAAGGAGAAATAAATAATAATATACTTGTAAAACTTACGAGATAACATTAAATTAGATGTCATCTTCTACAATGGTGGGATGGTTTTTGACCATAATACCCTTCACTCAATGAACTGTTTGTGTTAATGCTAGGGCGGGCGCATTAGTAATTTTGATTTTAATCCTAATAGTGATAATTTGAACCTTTTACACTCATTCTTGAGGTTAAATGTATTATTCATTATTCAGTCCTCATGCTTATAAATGAACTAAACATGGTTTATCTGGGCCTCTGGACTAATTTTTTTTTTCCAATAATGGACGGTACTGATGCTGACCATAGTAGACAGAAGACAGTTCCATTGGCGATGAATAAAAGCCCACCTGTAGCAAAGAATAAATCTACAACAGAAGGATACAATTAAGATCTGGGCCATTACGACACTCGAATAAAATTTAAACAGTGATGAGTGAACCCAGAAGTTTATTAGACAAGAAATTGGGAAAGAATTTTATTATATTCAAAAGAACAATGAAAGCTCCAACCAAAACTGAAAAAAAACAAACTCCAAAGTTAATCCGAATATTTTTTACCGTTAAAAAAAAAAAAAATAAACTAAGCAAATCACTTTCTTCTCCCTCGACACAATGAAAATTTTCACCAATTTTAATTCTATATTTACATCTCACCCAGCAATTGAGACAAACTCTATCTATCTCTATACACAAATCATAAAAACTCTATCTATCAATTAGTCGAGGAAACCTAAGCTGGAAAAAAGCCGCTTTGTATTGTATCAGTCCACTTTATCAGACCCAATGCCGTCCACTTCTTCCTCACTCTCTCTACCTCCGTGGTTAAACCACCCTTTAATTGTCCGCACTACGACGCCGTTAATAATGATCCCTCCGAAGCACTCAAACAACCCACCACACCTATCCTTCATCTTCACAAAACAATTACGATCATCAGCGTCACACGCCGTCGTCATCGGCTGAAGATAAGCCCACGCAGCATGCTGAAGAAGTGGGTCTTTAATCGGAATTTCACGCCAACTATCTTTCCGGCTGCTCGTAGGCGAAATCCCAGCCGGCGGCGAGGAGGGCAACAGGTCTTTGAGACTGGTATAGACCACAGACTGAAAAGTAATCATCTCTATGTCGGATATCTGGAACGGATCGTCAGTAATTTTTACCTGATTGTTTATGAAGTTGGGTACCGAAAAGCTCTGGGTTTGAGAGGGTTTTAATTGATAATCGAAATCAGTGTGGACCTTGATCAAAGTTGTTTCCATTTTGGAGTGATTTAATAAGGATTTGATTTCAGAAATTGTGCCGCTTGTGGACTAATTTGGGAAAATTTCGAATTCTTGATAAGATAATTAATGATTCTGTTAAGAATCCTTGATCATGTAGGATTGAGTAGATAAGAAAAATTCGAGAGAGAGTTGGGAGGAGGTGCAAAAAGTTGGGTCCACGAGCTGCCAAAGGGATGGAGTTTGGTTAATTGGATGGAGATAAGCGCTTGAGTTTGTAATCGGTTGCCACCTACTCACATAATTCTTCGAGCAAATTCCTTTGATTAATTGTGGCTTTTATTAAATATTAATTTAATGATTATAATATCAATAAGTTAATAAATTAAATTTTTTAGTTCTAATAACATTATTTAATTCTTTTAAACGAATTTGGTCTTACATAAAATTTATGAATTTAATTTTTTAATACCTCAATTCGACCTTTTTAGACACTGCTCGTTGCTTAGTCGTATTTCGGTTCTGAAGCTATGACAACTTCTTAGTTTGAATCAAGTACTACTAATCTTTGAATCCCCGATTCAGCCGAAATAAAAATCTTGCTTGGTACTGCTGTCTTTTCACCATGTATGTATCTCTCTATATGGGTATCTGGTATCCCTTTCTTGGATGCTGATACTGCCTCTAATTCTCGTGGGTAAACTTACTGATTACTCAGAATTTCTTTGTCTAACTCACGGACCTATTGTCCTCTTCTTTTTAAGAGCCCAAAAATAGTTCCAACTCAGCTCTCTCCCTCTCTCCTCTACCGGTGCTTTTGGGTCAAGGTAACATTTATGCTTCTTATTCCTTCTCTCTCTCTCTCTCTCTCTCTCTCTCTCCAATTCGATGGGAAAACCGTATTGAATTATTGTTGTTGATATTGCTAGGGTTTTTGGTTCTTTTCGAACTTTTGATAAAAGTGCATAAGAACAATACTATACCTCCTCAATGTCGATTGGTTGTTAACTCGGAAAGCCCTAAATACGAAGGAGTGGAACACCGTCACGAATCTTTCCACCAATTTTATTATACTCTTTTGTCCATTTCCCCCTCTTTTTGCTGTGAAGAAATTCTCAATTTTCTTCATATTTTAGTTCCATGGCTTTTTTTAACTTAATTAGTACCGCCACGTTACCTTTGTGGATTTGCTTGATGTAGTAGCTTAATTGGTCACCTTTTTCCCTTCTGCTTAGAATTATTTCTCGAGCCTGAATCTCAAGTGTAGTAAATAATTACATAAATTATGAAGTTAATTAAACATGGCTGCTATCTCATTCATGCTCGATTTTTATTTTTATTTTTATTTTTTGCTCTTCATATTTGATGTGCTATGGAATGCATAAATGCTTTAGATACTGGACACTAATTTCAATTTTGATACAAAATGTGTTAGAAAAACAATCAATCCAAATTGAGGATGTACAACATTGCTCCTATAGGTGTTCATGACGGCACTGCCTTGTCTGTTATCTGATTTGTGCTTTAAAGTGACTTAGAATTCCTTACAAATGTTCTGTTGTATTTTTCTATTTATTTGTTTACCATTGGGTTTTTTTTTTTTAAATCCGAAGTAAGCAGCATTCTGCTTGCTGAACAGGTTTGCAATCTAACGTCAGTATAAGATGGCAATCATTTCTGGACTAGTGTCTGAATGTCCAGGTTCTCTCTCTCTTTGTCTGTATTTGAGCGCGTACGTGTTTGTGTGAGTACTTCTGTAATCCTTATGTCAGGCAGACTTGATTAATTTGGTGTTGTTCATTTGTTCTGTAGACATGCTTCATCCTAAACTATCATACACGAGTTGGAGATCTGATGGGAACAGATTTAAAGATCAGAATGCCATTCAATTGGTATCTGCAAGGGTAATTGTGATCCCTCACAATCAATGTGCGATGTATTTTCCCATACTTTACACAAGATGAGGATTTGTGACTATTATGGCAGATTCCTAATCGAAGGATTCAGCATGTCGATAAAGAGGAGTTTGGCACCTTATATACTCCATCTGTTGGAAGAAATCATTATCAGTTGAGCTTTGATGATGGCTTTCCTAAGGAGCCTTTTGGGTGAACCAGATGAAGGAAGCTTTCTGGTACTTTAGTTCCAATCACCCCCACCCCCCAAAAAAAATAAATATTTAAAAAGTAATACTTGTAAATAGGTTGGTGTTTAAATTTACACCCTGTGCGGCAGACTTGCGTAATATTAGGGTCCACTGGCCATTATAAATATAGAACAAAAAGTGGTAGCATTCTCATAACTGACTGATTTAACATTTTCCAGGGCTTTGAAGTCTTTGTCCTTATTTCTTGTTGAGCAGCGCAGTCAACCAAAGTACATAGAGTGGCCAAGCTTCCATAGAACAGTTAGTCTCCATTTTCATTTTACTTGCTGTAATGTAAAAAATTATGTGTTCTACTGGTCCTTGTAGATAAATAAAACCAGAATTGCTGGGACCAGCATCAATAATGGCCTAATTTTATTCTCACCTTTTCCAGTTGGTCCTGTCCCTCATTTTTCCAAATAGATACCAAGAAGGTTTATTCTTTATTTGGGTTGTGTTTTTCTTCCTTTTATTTTGTTCAACTGTGGAGTGATCTTTGCTGGAAGTTATGCAATTACCACTGGCATTTATAAATTTACTTGCCCCTTATGATTGCATAGTTCTGAGCTTATTCTTTCTCCAGACTAGCTCTTTCTCTTTCTTGTCAAACTTCTCCTGAAGGATCTTCAATTCAAATTTGAGAATAGAGCTTTCTTGACCACCGAAGTCTATTACATCCTTAGGTTGTGTGTCTACCCAAACATTGTTATTATCATAGATTGGGTCCCTTTTGGTACCCACTTTGATTCCAAGGCTTACTTGGAAATCCTTTTTTGGCTATGTTTCAAACACTAAGGTGTTTGATAAGCTCTATCATGATCCATGCTTTCTTGACTGCATTCCCTGATGGTTCTTGTCTTGATGATTAGCTCTCTCCTCCCTAGGATTACTTGAAAGCTTTTCAGCATCCTGTGAAGAAGCTAAGTATTGCACTAGCACATGTATGCTCACTATGTTTTCATGTAGATTGGTGAAACCCCAAAGCATTGAACCATAAAGAAGATACTTAGTGTAGTCTAGCTAAAGTTACCAGTAGATGGATTAAACACTAATGAAGACAGTAAGCTGATCTCTCTCTCTCTCGTAGCTGAAGACAGCTAACCTAACTCTTGTTCTTGTGGGACTGCTGATTATTGCACTATCCTCAGTTGACTCAGCCCTGTGTTATCTTTTGGTTTTGCTTTCGAGGAGAGCTGCATGATTGGTTGATGCTCTGGAAAGAGTTGCTTGTAACTCATGGTCCAGGTCAAAGCTTGTAGATGATCTTCACAGAATGTCTCAGTCTGCAGGATGAGCAGAATTAACCTTAGAGCTTGTTTTTCTTCCCTATATCACTTTTTCTCTTTTCTCTGGGTGTTATAGGGATAGAGGAAGAGTAGCAGAGGTAGGTATTTAGCAAGCCCTTTGGCCAGGATTGCTCTTCCAATTATTTACTAGAAAGCATGGATATCAAAGTGGTGGGAGCGTTACTACTAGAAGTAAGCATTTAATATCACATTCTCAATCAAAGTTGCTGCTCAAAAGTTTATGCGGAGATGTTTTGTGGTGAGGAATGGTGAAATCATCTTCGACATTGGAGGAGCTCTGAAAGTGATCTGCAAATGCAGCGGAATTCAGTTTTGATGATGATGTTTGTATAGTGCACGTTCATGTTTTATATTATTATACATTCCGAGTATTTTTCGTTAGAGAAGTTCTACCATAATTAGTCATGCCTGCCAACGGAGCAACTGCTATAACAATATCAGGGTCACGCCTAGCACATATAATTTTGATACTGTTGTGCAGATTCATGAGAATGAATGTAGTCACAACCTTTTCAAAATTCTTTGAAAATGCCAACTTTGTCGGTATTGAAACCTTTAATAGAGATTGGAACCATGTCAAAATTCTTCGTCAAGTGTCCTGCAGCCGCAGCAACATACAGTAGGCAGTTTTTCAATCGATGCAACCATCTGAATGACCTCAACATTTCTCAAGTACAAATGGGATGTCACAAGCAATCAACAACATGAGAACACAAATCAAAAAGGTAAGGTCCTGGGAACGAGAGGATGGCTGAAAAAAGAGGTCAAAGAACTTTTAACAAATGAAGACAAATAAGCTGGAAGTCATTTTCAATTTCCAGAATACAGTAACTTTAAATAATTTGACCAAATTATGCGTAGTTACCTTGACCAACTTTAGCTTCCTACCCAACAAATTACAAGATAAAAAATGACACCAAAACAAGAGCTTAGAAGGGGGTGCAAAATGAAAAATGATACAACAGTTGTTTCCTTAAGTACAATTTATCAAATCCAAAGAGCAGACGATTTCTATCAAACACAAGCCAATGCTAAAGCATGTTCGTTGTTCCCACCCTCCAATTGCTAGCTGCAACAGTAATTTGGCTCCCACTTCAAATTGAAATAACAAGAACTAGATCCAAATATGAACACATGTAAAAACACTTCTCATCAACATTCACAGCCCTTTTGACAAAATCTGCGGAGCTTATAGACTGTAACCTATCTACCAGAACCTCATAAACAAATTAATTTAAAAAAAAATGACCTGGTACAGAAGACGCAAACGTAAACCTCAAATGGAACCCTTTCAGTAAATTCAGGAGAAGAAAAGAAAGCTCAGAAATCTGGAAAGAGCACAACCCTGTACATCCATGCCGCAAACCTCAGCTTCTTTTTTAGAAAATCAAATGCTCTTTCAACTAGGCCCATCCAATGAGAGTCTTGAAGGGTACAAAATAAACTGGCCTTCAGTAAGAATGCTTTTTGTGGGAAATGTGAGCTGGCCGTGGCTCTAAATGAAATACGGCTCCACTACAATCAGACAAGGCTTTAAATGACAGGACCAGGTGTACAAATGCAGATGCAAGCTCTGAAGCAGCAGCATATATACGGTATATGACCACCAGCACAGAAAGACACATCTCTTATCAGAAAAGTATTATACTTGATATTTTGACAATTTGTCCTTCACCGGGGGCTCCAAAGCAGACATGTACTGCTCCCATGCTCCATTCTTGAGCATCTGCAAAGCATTTATTCATACAATGACACATCAGGTTCCACTGTCTTGTCTACATAAATTCGCAAGCGCCATCAATAGATAACAGTTTGAAAATGAAACAACAAATATAATCACCAAGTTTGGAGTGAAAGAAAGAAGAAGATGATCTATAACGCCAAAGCCAAGCATAAGCCCAAGAAACAGAATGCAGGCTGATGATTAAATAATGGCCACAAAAATAAATCCTTCGATCAAGCAACAAGGTTTTTTCCCCCAATCATGTTTTATTTTCCCTCTCTTTTCTTTGCACCAGCATACACACCCACACATGGAAGGAAACTTTCATGCAACGGAAGCTCGCCCACAGGACCTTTCTCATGGGAAACAAGTTATATTTCCAAGATTTATTATAATTAAGTAACTAAAGTTCCTTTCAGTGATGGTGCAAATATACCTTGGGCAGATATCAAACACAAAGAAAAGATGTAGACTGAAAGGTGAATGCTTACTTGTTTATAACCGTGCAACACCTGGCAAACTTCATTGTGCAGGTCCTCGCTCCTTATTTCCTGCAACAAAAATAATCAGAGGATGAAATTGCATTTTCTTTTTGAAGGTAGAAGGTTGAAACATAATGGTAACACCACTCCTTACATGCCAACTTGCAATAGCTTTGCACATGAAAACAAGCGAACTCAAAGCCCCTGATGGGTTTGCTCTAACCTGCAAGCAATCAATGACAACCAACTAACAAATCTGATTATGAACCAAATCCAACTAGACATATCCAGAGACAAATGCATACCATTGCACACAAACCCCGGAAAGCATCCTCCTTCTCAATATCATCACGTATCCTGCCACACATTAGTTGAAAATTAAAATAACTAAAAAGGGGATTTTTCTGATGTAGACATTGTTGAGAAGCCCAGATATCAATGCTCACATATAGAACCTCACAAACAATGACACTGGAGTAGTACACAGACATACAGGCACATTACTTAGCCTATCTAGCTCTTTATTTGCAGACAAATGGCATATAGAAGTCTAGTTGTTAATCATCAAACAAACACAATGCCTATGTCTTTCATCAAACAGTATCTTAATTTATTATTCTCTTACTTACAGGTTGGAGTAGAGTACCAATACTGAGGTAGCAAGAAGCATCGTATGATCCTCATACAGTGGTGTGCATTTCCAATGTAAAGTCAATTTCCCAAAATGAATTAAGACTACTAAAGTTTTCCATGGAAAACAGAAAAGTGGAAATACAGATCTGACTGACTAGTGACTACTGTTATCCACCAACTGTGACATGTTAACCACACAGGAGAGGCATAATGGGGGACTCGACTAGATTTCACCACTTTAAGTCACATAATAAAAGCCGAAGGGATGCAAAAAGTTAATTGTTTTGCCCACAATCGAAACAGAGAATAGATTATGTTGGAACTCCGAGGTTTATGCAGTAAACGCAATGAAAGAAGTTTATTCATATTGCAGTTAGACCACATTAATGTGCAGATTCTTTTCACAAAATTTTCTATTAGGTTAACTTAACATTTTTATTTTTGGGTCAGATTAGGCCAACTTCACAGCTCAATTTTCTGACATGAACAGAAACTACATTAGAAAACTTTATAGAGTGGAGGGTAATAAAATACAACTTACATAGATAAAGCAATGCACCATGATTGCATGAAATGTTCCATGTGAGGTGATACAAGTTCCGGACAAACCCATGCAAGTCTCCCCAGGGTGATAGCACTATTCTCTATAAGTGACTTGTTGAGCCCCTGTTAGCATCAAGAAACTTGAGGATAATAAAGGCCACAAAACACATGCATGCAAATGGCATAGGTGCAAAAATGCATATGCTTACGGTCAATAGCATGCAATTGCAAGCAAACTGTGGAAGAGCATGCAATCATATGCATGGCATAGATAATCACCTCGGCATGTTGAAGTATTTGGACTAAGCATGAGATTACTGTCATCACAATTGGAGACATTTCTTTCTGAACCTGAAATTATGAATTCAAAAATGCAGTCAAACTGCTCTGCAGAAGGGCTTCGTGGATAAATAATTCCAACTCATCTTCATCTGATTCGAAAGATTGTAAAAAGTTCAACTAGTAACATTTCACATGCACATTACCACGCATATAAAGAAGTGAGACATGAGGAAATCAGGAGATAAGCATTTGAATACGAAAAAAATTATTTACAAAACCAGTAATTGAACAAAACCTCAATAATATATACATCACAATGCCACCAGTTACATGATTTATAATCAATGTTGAAAGCCCATGACATTTCACATATGTATATAGAAGAGTGCCCATCTAGGAGCATGATACACTAATTTCAAACCAAACCTTGAAATGTTTTCCACCAAGGTTTTTTTCTCGAAAAGTAGTTTTCCAAAAGTTAAAGAATACAAAAGCCCCACTTTCTGCTTAATCAAAAGATATCTCTTAAGGTGAAGATAGCGATCTAGCAATCAAAGTCACTCATGCGTCTTACTGGAGTTTAACCAAAATCAATCATATACTATCATCATTACACCAATTTTTAAACCACATAATTTTTTGGCAAACTAGGGCTCAAAGAATAATCAAAAATCAAACATGCTATGTACGGCACCTTTTAGGTTATGATTGGCACGTCTATCCTGTTTTACATGATCAACAAGTGCATAAACAAACCTTGCATGTCACTCATTGATTTGCATATCGTGTATTACTGGATTGCAATCCAAACACATTGGTAATCATGCAAATATGAAAGTATGAGTGGCATACTCATTCACATGTTTTAAGAGAATCATTTATACTATCATGTGATCCGGGTTATGGGTTGAAGCATAAAAGACAATGCCACCAAAAGCAGTAGTTAGAGAAAATGCCACCTGGCAACAGAGATAGAAGCACACAGAGTTTGTTCTCTGTTCAGAATATCAATGTACACCAATTTCTTTTCTCCTATGTTTGAATTAGTTAATATCAGAACAGCAAATGAAGCAATTAAAGACTGTATAATCTCGTTTGGTTGAACTGCAGTGAAACAACACCAATCTACCTTAATTGCTAATTCTCCAATTGCCCAACATGCATTATTTGCCGCGGAAACATTTTCCTTCAGCTTGGGGGTGTTCTGTAAAAAAACATATCACGTAAATGTCAAGTGCACCAGAAGTGACACCAAAACTCAGGAGATGAATTCTAATTACCAGTTGCTTAGCGGCAACGTCAAGAAATTCAGATAATCGTGGTTGCAAATGGATGGGACAAACCTAAAAAATCACCTAAATGTATTAACATGAATTGCAATAATAACTGCCTAACCAAAACAATCAAAAGCTTCCAGTGGCTATCACTGGTTGGAAGACAAGCTTGCTTCAGCTTACCCTTGCAAGGTCGCCAAGCAATGCAAAGGCACTTTGTTTTACATCAGGAGCATCATCCATGCAACATTGCAGAAGCAAGTCTCTCAAATTACTCTGTGAAACCTGCAGAAGAATTTCGGACAGAGAACATGAATAGGAGTGGTGATGACAAGCTACATGTGTTTGATTCTGATGGTTTCAATATGTCAAACACCTGTTGAGAGGACTAAAGGCTTTAGTTGACTGTATTATGCATACAAGTTTAATCCATATTAAGGAGTATGGAGAAACATCCCCATCCTATGCAGGAAAGGCATGAATCATTGCCCTGCAACAGGCTTCAAAATGTGCATCCATCCAAGACACAGATCCAAACACATGCACAGATGACAGCTTTGCTATGACCTAGTGAGTATCTCAATTCATCTTTTGTGAAATGAGAATGTAAATTAACTGACGGGGAACCACAGCTGGGTTAAAAAATTTCAGAGGCTGCATGTCCTTTCTATCTAATGGGCAATCATACACAACCAAAACAGGTAGACTCTTACATCAAAAGTTAATATATGTACTTCATTTTCATAGAATATTTGGAGAAAGGGGATACCAAACTCTCAATTCCACTACCAAGACCTTCAACAAGTCCAGAAAGAAGGTCCAAAGAACAAACAATGAACTCTTTATCATACTGAACGCCAGCTGAAACAGGATCAACCTGCAACCAAATCTCAGTCAAGAAGTCGAAGTGAAGGTGATAAGTATTTGTAGTTGGGAGGAAACAACGTGTTCCTCATAATAATATTTAAATAACAAATTCAGGATATCATATCTATAAAACCTTTGCCAATTGTTGGGTCTGGATGATGTTGATGCACCTCTGAAATACAGGCTGAGCAAATTGAGAAAATCCTCTACCCAGTGCCTAAAAGGAGTGAAAAAACATTATTTTCAACATTAACTCCCAGCTATTTTTAACTTCTGTCCTGTAATATGTAGCTGCTACTACTTGAAACAAAGTACTTAGTCAGCAATATGTAGCTGCTACTACTTGAAACAAAGTACTTAGTCAGCAATCACAAGCCTGGCAAAAAGCAATGAACATTACAGCATGTGATGGTATCTACAAAAGATACGAGTATCTATTTCACAAGTCCAAATTTATACGCCCACGAGAAGTTTGGATTCTCAAAGTCAACTAGTTTGTAAAGGTATACTGTGATGACTAGGTTAAGCTAGGGTTTCTTGATCAGATATTGATGCAACAGTGGATTTATATGCCATTGGACAGTTAAATTCAAATGGGAAAATTTCAAAATTAATCTTCCAGAGAGTCTGCAACAGAAGATTCTATGAGTAGCTGCAGTAGCACTACCATAAAAATACTCTTTGCAAGATACTCCTTGCTTTTGGTTGTGTGATGTGTATTTTGGTTGAAGTAATCCAACAAAGAATTCAGTATGAGAGACATATATATAGATGAGGGTGGCTCTTGGCGCAGTAGTAAGGTTGCTCCATTGTGACCTAGGCATCAAGCATTCGAGTTCTCTACTTATTGAGATAAGGTTGCATACATCTAACTCTCCAAGACCCTACAATGGTAGGGACCTCGTGCACTGTGACATTTTTTTAAGACTTACAAACAAAAACATAAGCTTTTCACAACACATATGCATCACAAAAAGAAAACATATCCGGCAAACTGGCATTTTGACCCCACCTTCACTGGCATCCAACCTTATGCTATCTAGTAAAAACAGATAAATATTTTAAACAACATTTTTTTGGACATTTGTGAAGATTTGCGATCAACTAATTCATAATTGATTACCATCAAAATTTCATCTCATTTCGGTGGAAACTACCTAAAAATTTTGGTTTCAGTTCACATGTTTCCTAAACAAAAGTTTAGGTATGTTTCAACAAATGTTTCGAGCTTACAAAAAATTGTAAACAGAACGAAATTTTAATCCTTGTCCAAAACAAACCTCATTTCATTCAGCTATAGAGTCATCAACACTATTCCAAGCCATAACACAAATGAAACCTATAAGGGAGAGAGAACAAACATGACCTAATATACCACCCAACGTTGCTTTCTAACAAGAAAAACTCGCAATTAAGATTTAGTCTACCACAATACTACTAAGTAGTTTAATATCAATATGTCTAAATCCCATCCTATAGGCTGTGCACTCCACTTATCCTGATGCACCAGCACATTTAAAATACTAAACAGCCATTATACATATTTCATAGACAAACACTTCAATTAAACAGATAAGATGTTCAGAGAAAGTTACAAATACCTGTGCAATGGACGTAAAGCACTCTAACAGTGGGAAAATGTCTTTGTCAGAATTTGAAAGTTGCTGCCACTTAGCAATTAATGGCGGCATCAAAATATCGAGATACGTGGGCTGCAATTATTGCAATAATCAATTCAGCAATCTATCTGCCCACTAAAAATGCAGCACAACAAAAGTTTATGATACCAATGTTGAATTTACAGTGACAAGAACATGTGTGTCCTAACACAACCAAACACTGGCACAAACACATGCACACACACAGATCTGTTACCAAACAAAACACATACGCAGACATAATCATCACTCTGCATGATTAATTCTACCTGATTTAGTTCCCCTCCAACAGCATCTGCCAAAGTACCAATAGCATCGTATACAATCCTAAGGTTTCGCCTCTGTTATAATCACATTAAAAATGTCAGAAGTGACAGAGAGAGAGAGAGAGAGAGAGAGAGAGAGAGAGAGAGAGAGAGAGAGATCCCCCCGCCCGGGGGAGGGGGGAGAGAGACTTCAATTGTATCCTGATCACATTAAATAACAACCTAAAGTACTGATATAAAACAACCTGATATTTTCCAAAGGCACACATTAGGTGTTGCAGAATAACTTCCAAGTGTGGCGCCAACTTTTCTGCAGCCTCCTGCAAACATATAAACCATCATTTACATCCATGATTTCAAAAACAAAAAGCAACCATGACGAGCTTTGTTACAAAAACCTCTTCAAGGGTTGCAAAAGCTGAACAAGCAGCCTCTTGCACCCGCTTGTTATCATCCAGTATTCTCCGTAGTAGACCCATAAGAACTTTGTCAAATTTCTCAAGGTCTTCTCGATGAGCAACAACCTGAAATGGACAACTGAACATATTAATGGCTTACTACAGAAATTATTGCAGAACCCCCATAGTCAATCAAGAAAGCTTTGAAGACGTAAGAAAAAGAACTAAGAATGCAAACTTCAAACCACGCAAGAAAAAAATTAGAAAAGAGAATCAATTCACTTCACCAACTCTTAGCTGCAGCTAAATAGGATTGGATAGAAGAAAGATATACTACGAAAAATTGTAGAAGACTGCACCCAGTTCAATTTAATAAAAGATAGCAGCAGCTGGCTTGATCAATGGATGAGTATGTGGAAAATTATCACAGAAATTACAAACCAAATTTGAGGTTGTTCACTTTATGGAACTTTGAGGTTATGTTAGTTATATATAAAATCAATGTTGTAGTCACTTCTGAGGCAATGCAGTCCGGTTGGCTCAGGACTGGCCAAACTGTAGTCAAACCAACACACCCTAGGTTATAGAATTGGGCAGCTGGAAAGAATAAATAAACCTCTCCACGCCAACCGCTTGACAATGGGGGTTGATTAACAAAGAAGATACATGCTTTGCGAAGAAGCTAATTCCAAAATTCTTATTTTATTTGTTCATGCTGTGAACCTTTATGGCTAGTCCCAAAAGAGGGATAGGTTAAACCTTGACAGCTGAAATCTTAAGCAATCATTATTACTTGACTCTTTAAGAATTTTCAACATGAATGATTTATGCTACAGTAACACATAAATAGTGACCTAATAAAGACAATAACTCAATGAATAATGAGCTCTCTAGTTTGCCTTTCTTATTGGAAATTGCTCCTGCATTATAAGGGCTTCAAAGATAGAAGTCTGGAAAAATCATATTAATAAACAAACTTGTGGATCTAATTATCTCATAGAATGATCACAATTTCTTGTGATGATAGTGTATGGAACTTTTATAATGTCTCGCACTCTGGCTCATAGGTTTTTTTTTTTTTTTTTTGGTATACACAAAGGTCAGAATCAGATCAATATCATTGTAACACAAATCAAATACATCCTACTCTTAAAGGCAGACAACATAAATTACCATTAGCATCATGATGTAAGGGGATCCTCCTCAAACTTCAGGACTCCAATAACAATTCTTTAGAAATACAAATTACCCACTGGAAATTTTCATTTTTTATAGTCGATTGCAGATCAAAGTAGCTGATTGCTGACTCTAGGTTTCCTCGCTTCACCAAGAAAGGTACTTCTTACCGGGTGAAGGGCGTGTTAAAGGCCTATGATTCGGTAATATTATTCACATTTAGCATGTTAAATAAAGGTCCACAATAAACTAAAAATGAAGAACATTTCCCACCAAATGATCAGTCCAATAATACCGCTCATTGGTAAATAGAGCAATACTTCTTCGTGAATCTCCGCTATTTGAATATGGAACATTATAACAACGAATAGGAATGAAACGGCTATAGCTCCTATATGAACTACTGGAAAGATCATAGCAAAGAAGTCAAGACCTAACGAAAAAAGTAAACCTAAAGTGTTGCAAAAGACTAGGATATTTTCTTTGGAGAATATATAACTAAATAAACAACCCTTTATGAGATTCAGACAAAAAAAATTCGTGAACATGAGATTAAAAAAAACAAAGTTAAAAAGACCAAAAAATCAGCCCTTTTACAAACATAATTTTCGTTGACTGGGCAACTTCCATAATACAAGAATAACGAACTAGGACTAGCCCTGAACAGTAATCTTCTCCATTAAATAGGTCTTCATTCTTGAGTCAGCCATTCTAGCAAATCCCTTTGCCTTAATTAAATGATACCCTCTCAAGTTGCCAGCTTTCTTTGGTTGACCAACTAAAGATAACGAAAATAAATAAATGAGAAGTTTCCCAGGCCATAAATTGTAATACTACAGCCCCCTATCTACACTATTCCTCATTATCCAACATTCTTTTTGATTCTAGAACATCAGCTCACACTAGTGGGATTTACCTGCAGTCTCATGAAGGAAGAAGTATCTGCTCTAACACAAAATGCACCAGGAGATCACTGACCTCTTCATACATAAATATCATTATAAGATAACTATTCCCAAACCATCACTAATTTCTCTTAAAACCTTATCACATGCTTTTTTGTGAAACAAAAACCACAGGGAAGTCTTTCTCCTTCTCTCCAAGTGTTTCCATGCTGCAAAATATATTTCACTTGAGTCCATCTACTTATATCTCTCTCTCAAACCCGACTTTAGTCTTTCCTCAACAAAGTTAGCCAACAAAATTACAAGTTTCAGATGACAGAATTGAATGATTACTTTTTTTTTGTTGTTCTTACACAAATATGTAGAAAGTACTGGTTCCAGAATGCATCAGAACAAATGCAAAGGTTTGCTGAGGAGCAGCAGTTGATAGAAGGAAAATTTACTCATACCTGAACAATATATTTGCTGAAACGAGACAGCGTCCAGCAGGAGATACTTCGTATCAAAGGGAACTTATCATCTAAAAGAGGGATAAGAAATGTAACAATCTGCATTTTAAAATACCAAATAAGTTTTCATTAGTCGGAGCTCCCATAAGTTATTAGAAACTCTGTTTATTCTTTTAGATACAAGAAAATCAAAGCATACAAAGGAACAAATACTATTTGATTAGGAACGGCATTACACATTCTGCAAGACTGATCAATTCTTCAAGGAAAACGAACATTTTCCATCCAACTACTACAACCCAATCCCAGTATATTATGGGGATTAGAACAATTAATCAAGCAATCAAATAAAGACCTAAAATTTGTAGACTCAGACACAGGTGTTTGAGTGTGGATATAGATAGGTGTCTGGCATAGCAAACCCCAAAATGAAGACACAGGGACATGGTTGTAAGTCTTGTAATATATGCACATATTGGACACAAGTCTCTCTCTCTCTCTCTCTCTCTCACACACACACACACTCAGTAAGTGTATTCCTTTTGCACGTGCTTATCTTTCTATGGAATATCTATTATCAAATGCATGTCCTTTAGTATAATATTAGACCCTTAAAACTGTCAGGAAACTAAATTGTAGAAGAGGGGTCAAATGCATGTACATCGATTATACTGAAGATATTACTGCAAACAACAATTACAATAAATACATTAGCCAATTTTGGTAGCACCAACAAAGGACTCTATGTCCAGTAATAGCAGTGGCAGAAGAGGGAAAATATATCAAGGAAAACCCTAGTCTCAGGTAAGTCTGTAAGGGTCTCACTCCTACCCTCCCAGTACCATCAATATCTCTTATTTTGTGTAGCCCTAGCATCACTAATCTTGTTGAGACCAAAGAGCAATAATTCTATTTCCTAGAAAACAACAATTTAGGACCTATTTGTCCCCTCCCCCCAGCCGCCACTTCTCTTCTTCAAGACCACGAACGGCAAAGGTGCTTCTGTATAGCCCTAGAATTGGCCATCGTGTCAAAGACTACAATTTTTGATTAAAATACCCTGTTTCCATCTCAAAAGTGGGACACGTACACTGTTGTGCAGTAACCTACAAATAAATGCTGCGCAGACACAACAGAATTTCCAGTTAAGTAAGAAGATCGCAAATCCAACACAACAAAAGAAGACATTACTAGGACTAAATGAAAACAGAGCTTATAAACTATGGCAATTTTTTTCAAACATGTCTAATCAACATCTAACTACAACTTAAGTCTACCTCAGACAAATGAGGATAAAGGCCATTGATGCAACCTTCCCCTATGGCACCAAGAGCTAAAACTGCAGCTTCCCTTTCTTTCCATGCAGCATCATCTCCACTGGATAACTTAACCTGCAGAGATTCAAAAATATTTACACACATTAAACAGATGATTTCCAAGTTTTGTGGAAAAAATATTTGTGCAGCAAGTAGTTAGCCGAGAAATCAACCTCATGCTACATTAATCCTATTTAATTCCACAATATGAAGTGACATTTCTTTTTATTCTTTCTTTCCATGGTTCTCATTATACTCTCTTTCTTCCATCTCCTCTCATCAATACCCAGTACAGGAATGTAAGAAGCATTTGATGTCAATCATATCTTCTTTGCAAATTTTCAATCACCGCAAAGAAAATCCGAATATTGGTACAGCAATTTCCTTGGAACCAACTTACACAAGAATTACATTCCAACATGTTACGCATTAAATTTACTCCTTTGATCTTATCCGGTCATTCAATATTAAGAAAACCAGTTTGCAAGCCAAAAGAAATCCGAGCACTTCTTCACAAGTCACAATTTCAACCACACTGATGCCAATTGTTAAACAACCATTTCATACCAAATTGTTCAAAAAGGAAACAAACATTTATAAACTTTCCAAGCATGCAAGGCAAGCATGTTCCCTTTGCAACCTTAAAATTGCATCCTATGGAAATATCTAAATTCACACTTTTACATTATGAAAACCATGTGGTTCCAATCAAGTCAAAAATGACCAGCCAAACTAGTAACTGGGAAAAGACAAGTTATAAGAGGTGGAATAAATGCTTTTAAAAAAACCCAATGACCAGAGATAATTAAAGAAGCAAAGTTCAAATTAGGATTAAAAATGGGATTATAAGGAAATAAATTACTAATGCAAAATAAAAAGCTACCAATTACTCGGATTTAAATTCAATATCAGATGAATCAAATACTTGAATTATGGGCATCAATGTTGGAAGAATCTCATCCCCAAACACGTTGGAAATAATGTCTAAAGCAGCTGCACTGCATTTCCGTAAATTCCAAATATTGACAATGTCATCATTCTGAAATTCAAAATTCAAAAGGGTTAACTTAAAAGAAATATCAACCAATAACAACGATTTTTTTAAAATTTGAAGAGTCAGCATTCAAAAATAGCTGGCTAAACAATTTGATATCAACCTTGTGAAACAATGATACAGTATTCAAAAAAAACATACATCATCTTCTGCATCCTCTGATCCATGAAAACGTGATGAATGAAAACGAGGCCTCAAATCCTAAATAGCACAAGAAAACATTTCAGAGACTGTATATAGGTTTGACTAAAACTCTAAAATTATAAAGACATTCTTTTCCGGAAGAAACAATATAAAGACATAAAAACTAAACCTGATCACGATCCGGGAGAGACCCTTCCTCCTGCAATTTATATATAGAAGTGAGGCAGAGAATCAATAGTATCAGGGGTGCATCACCAAACCAAGATAATTTGGAGAAAAAAAAATGAACCAGAAAACTTCACCTCAGCCTCCACAAGCGACTCATCATCCTCAGCATAAGCCATGTTTGACAACAGAACCTATCAAGCCATAGTATTGCATGCCATATTTAACCTGGTTCCCAGATAAGCCAAGATTAGCCATAGAAAAATAGATGAGCATAAACTATACCGGAAGTAGACGTGGCAAGAATTCGCTTAAGTTCTCAGGTGGCAACTGAGCCTCACAATATGCTGACCTGCCAATCATAATCAATCCATAAAATTTCACACTAAAAAACGCACCCCAGAGTGAAAAAGCTATGAGAAGCATGCACACCCTAGCGTACTATAATTTTTTAAAAGATCGCATGCCAGTTACAGTGAGGTGGTGAAAGGGGTATATAACAGGAGGAAACTACATAGGCAAGGGTGAGAGATCAACTAAATAAGAAGCTTGTGTAATCACTAGCCAACTCTCTATCAGCATATAATCCAGTACACGACACAAACTAAAAATCCTTAGTTCTAAAAACCGGATGGTCACAATTTAAAAAATATGAATTATACATGTATGATAGGGCCGCGTGTGACTTCTCACTTTCTGAAAAAAGAAATTGCTACTTAATATTCTCATATTATAAACTTCAAAAATAACAATGCCCCAAAGTTGTCCCTACCAAGTGAGAAGTAGTCCCTTCACTATTTCCTCAGGACAGATATTCCACATATCATATCCAGAATAAGATACCCCTAGTTTCTTAACAAATTTGGACGATCTATTTGAGCATCAGACAATATAAATCTTTCAGAAGAAACAAGTGGACTTTCCTAGTGGACTCAATGTAGATACAATCATACAAACACAAATTTCCTTAGGCCAACCAACTGCCATAAATATTTGATTGCCACTAGATTTATATTTGAACAAAAAATAGATTTTTTTTTGGTGGGTGGGTGGGTGTCTCGCGGGGGGACAAGAGACACTAACCAGAATTCACAGGCTTCAAGAGCAACCTCTTCATCAGGATCCTTGTTTACTTGCAGCATATATTCAATTACATTCCTCAAATGTGGCTGCAGCATAGCATAAAAAATCCATTAGGAGGAATAAAAGATAAGATGAGTGAGGAGGGAAGTATAATGTTTATACACGGAAGCTATGGTCCACAGTTACAGAAGTGAAAGGAATCCGATTCAATCTTTTGTTCAAACATATGGAGAAAATGAAGAGCGGTAACACTCAAACACAATCCAATTCTAGAAAGGCTGTAACATATGCATCCCAACGTTGAACAAAAGAAAATTCCCACCTCCAGAAAGTCCGGACGAACTTCAACTAGCTGAACAAATGCTGCACAAACCTGTTCAAGATAAGGGCAGCAGTGATGAAATAGATGACAGCTCTGTTACTTATTAAAAAAAACTAGATGACAGCTCAAGTAAGTTGTGTACTAATGAAACAGAACAAAATAATATTTGAAATTAAAAAATACAATGGAGCTCAAAAGTGAAACAATTCTTGACCAAAAGAAACCATATGAAACTAAAAAGCAAATACCAACTTTTACAATCTAATAGCATATAGGCGTTTCGCACCAACTTAACCACCAAAAAAAAAAGGGTTTCAGCATTCAAATGTAGTTACTTTCTTTGTTAATCAACATAGGCATTTGTGCTTCCTTTTAGTAGCACAAGTAATCTGCATCTACTGCTATTGATTGATAGGGGCATTTGTTAAATTCTAAAAGTAAGCATGGGAATGGTACAACATTAACCATGTCGACTGAATCCAAATAGAATGCTGAACCAGAAACCAGCGTATGATTGACAATTATCCGAGAATCTAATCCATTAAACGCATGGTCCATAAAGATAAGAAGAGGTGGGGAAGGGGATACCTCATAAGCCTTAACTAGACTCCGACATAGTATGCTTACAGTAAATATCACCGATAGCAGAAATACTCACCAATTTCCGGACCTCTGGAGCAGCGTCATTAGCAAGCACAAACAAGCCTTGCAGGTACTTATCCATTGACACAAGTAAAACCTGCAGGCAGATAGCATAATAAGACCCATTTAGCATGGACAAGGGAAAGAGTATAAAAATAAATAATGCAGCTATACTCACAGTAGGCATCAACATAATGTATTGATTTACAGAACCCAAAGAAAGCTTTCTTAGCGAAGCATGTGGAGACTGGAAAAACTGTCAGGGCAGAAACCAAGTTAAAAACATACTAAAATTTAAGTTCAGCTTAAGAAATGAACCGAAGAAAGATTGAAAGCAGTAACTACAAGAATTACACCTGAAGAAATCTTGGAAGGAATACATTGATGGGTCGTTCGGATGACCCAGAAATATCTGAGTCCAGCACTTGGGGAATATCCTCACAAATCTGTATTAAACAACATCTTCGATTCATAAAATTACTACTTCCTAAGGAAAAACTATCAAAGATTGGCATTCCTTATCTACATTCAAAAACCTACAAATAGTTCCTCGATTTTGGTTAAGGGATTCTTGAATCCGTGCCTTGGAATAGGGATAAATGGAAGAAAACGGACCGATATTTGTGTGACAGCGAATGTGGCGACGACATTCATCATGTCCAAAAAAACATAAGAGGACCAGAAATTGCCATCACATCAAGGTCATGTGAATGAAAGCTTGCAATTTGGGATGCAGCAGGAGTAAACATAGCAAACACTCATTTAAAATATATGATTCCTTATGATAAACTACATATCTAACCAATAGTACAAATTAACAAATTTGAGATTTGGCATCATAAGTTAATTCATAAAGCAACAACTGTTTATTGCACTCATAAAACATCATAGTGAATGAAATTAAAACTTAAAGGTGTACAAAAAAACCAGTGATGCAGAAAGGAAAGACATACCTTGGATAAAGCATCCAAAGCACCTTCCATGTGATTCAAATCATTACTATCCAAGCACTTGACTAGGGCTAGCAGCAACTCAGGCCATCCAACAACTCCCCCTAACTGAACGAAAACACTTATAATAGTCCCAGCTGTGGACCTGATATGCTTATCTGCTGCTCCTAAACAAGGTAGCAACTCTGATTTTATATATTGCTGATTTGTAGGAGGCATTGTTTTGAGTGCAGTTTTAAGGTTATTTTTCAGCAGTAATCCAGCTGCTTGCCTAACCTCCACAGATTTTCCCTGTAGATAAGTTCCCACATAATCCAGTCATATGGAAAGTAGAGGTAAGCCATTATGCAAAGTTCACACTATATCCTCAACTCAACAAAGCTTTTATCTCAACCAACTAGTCGGGAAACACTATATCCCAAAAACATATATAATTCCCTCTTACATCAACAATAAGGGCACAAAAATCTATATTCATATAATGTGAAGTAAGATATAAGCAAAGTCAATTTAAGGTCTTTTTAGATATCAAGAAGATTGGGGCACTTATGCATATTCAAAAAGATCTTTCCAGAAACCAACTCAGTTGACAAACTACATCATGACGTAGCACCTACCAACAATCTTTCTAACAAGAATAATTCCTGAATAATCAGACGCCACAAAGAACCACTCAGATTAATCAAAACACCAATCCACCAAGAAAAACACTTAATCTTAAAATGGAACAATCAATCGTACGTCGGCGCGTGCAAGTATGAAAGCGAGGTAGTTATTGAAATCGGGAAACTGCGAGTAGTGCTGAAGTTGCTGCCAAATCTGAGATTTATCGGTAGTCGGAGACATCTGTTGTTCCAGCAAACCACAGATCTCCTTGAAGCCCTCCTCTTGTGGCAGCCACGTAGCAGAGGAAGCCATATTTTAACGAAACTATCACGAGATTTAGTGAAGATTTTGGAAGAGATAATAAGAGAATGATCGAGGTCTCTTTAGGGTTTCAGAATTCGGAGAAGTAGAGAGATGTTTTGCAGGGTTGGGCACAGAGGCAGAGCCGACGACGACGACGACGACGAGCTCTGTTTAAAGACTGCCTCGAGAGTGAGAGAGAAACTCTTGGGTTCAGTCTTGCTGGGTGGTCATTCGTTGTGCAGGGGTTCACTATAATGGTTCCTAGACCCAATCAAGGAACGGAAATCAATTATATTAGCCGCCACGTGTGGGCGGTGGCCGGTGCTTTTGTCTGAGTTGTCTCGCCATTAACCCTTTTGCTTCTGGCTAAATTACATTTAAGTCCCTTAAAGTTTCTCATTAATACACATGGACCTTGCCATATATATAAAATTACACTGAAACTCTATTGACGGCACTGATGCAAATTAAAAAGGAAAAGGAACAATTCACTTAGTATCTACTACTACCTAAACAACCTTACAGCTATAAATGACAACATTGCCTTCTATCCCCTTCACCTTCTCCAAAGCCACCATTCTATCTCCGGCTGACCTGCATCTCCACTATCAACCCAAATAGTGTCGAAAGTCGCAATGCACCCCTCCTCTAGCCCCTCCCATTCCAATGCCCCTAACCCACACATTTCTCTGCACCCTTAAACACATTGTAAGAACCCCCCCCCCCCCCCAATGAAACCCACCACCTCCCATCTTCTTATTTTCTCACGCCACATTGTGTTTGGAAAAATACATAAAATGCACATTACACAAATAGTAAAAATTCCCTCATGAAACTCATCACCTCCCATACTCTCTATCGTGCTCTTCACGCATATAGTAGCACAACAAAAACGCACACAAATCCAACAATGCGCGCACATACAAAATAATACTCACCTATTAAGTCTCATTTCTTGTAGTAATGTATCGTTGATTTGGTGGGCTAAAGAATTTAATGATAAAAATATGCTGACATCATTAAACTTGGAAGGGTTATAGATTACAACATATTAAACCTTACAAAATGGCGATGTTATTTTTCATACCTAAGAGGGCCCATGTACATTAGTGATAAACTTTTGGGGGTTTGAAAGTAATTCACCATTTTTTAAAAATTTTCTTTTGTGTGTGGGGTTTTGGATAATCCAAACACACCCTCTTAATTTTCTTTAAAAACTGGCTTGTTTTCATTTAGCTACATTTTTATCCTCTTAGGTTTCCAATTAATGAATAAAAAAAAAGATATTACAAAACCCTATAGCAAAACATTATTGATTGGCTTGGCTTCATTTATTTTAATAAATTTTTATTTTGGAGGATAAAGACCAAATAACTATTGATAATTACATATGCAAGACCCAAAGAAAAATTAGGAAAACTGATTAGTTGATCAATTAAGCAAGGAAAAAATCATGATTTTATTTTACAGAGTAACCTTCTAATTGAATGTCCAAAATTATAGTTGGAAGGATGAGTGCAAATGATGTAAGTAAGTGACTAAAAGTTCAAATTTATTGGTCAATTGATGCCGTTTGCCATTACCTAATTTTGCCATTGTTTTAAAACTAATACATACAATTACTAATTATGCACATAAAAAGTGTTCCTTAAATCTATAAATTGTTAGCTTTTTCAATAATAATTACTAGAGTGTCACCTATATTTAGGGGCGTTAATCGAAATGAGCTACTCAAGGTCGACTTAGATAATACTTGACTCGAGTTTCACTCTTGTTCTAAACGAGTTGAACATGAACAATTTTTTAAGTTCATTTAAAAAAACGATTATGTAAAATAGTCGAATTACTCGAGCTCAGTTCCGGTTCAACTCAAGTTCTACACACAAATTTGAACAGGCCAAATTTGAACAATTTTTTAAGTTCGTTTAGGAAAAACAAATTCGTCAAACTCGGGTTCAATCTAGCAAAACTCGGTTTGAATGACACCCTACCGGTTTTGTTTTCCCAATGCATAAAAATCCCGTACTCAAGCACTTTGGTAACAATAGTCTAATCCAATACGAACTCCTTCGGGAAGAGTAAAACTACTGAAATTACAAATTCTTAGGCCTCGTAAGGAGGGTAAAGAAGGACTGTTTCCATTGTTCAATGAGCGGTACACAATACAGTTGACCATCCCCAAGAATATATCGGAAAAAAACAACAGTTCCCATCATTTATTGGACTGTAGAAAACTACTTCAGAACAACTGCCGCATTTCTCAGAGCCAGATAGCTCTGAACATATTCATTAGGAAGTGATCTTATGAGTTTAAAGACATCAGCATTAGCGTACCGCAGATTGGTCCTTGGATCGAAGTAAGGTGCCTGCATGTGAAACATAGAGAATTTATGCATGTAGAAATAGAAGCGCCGCCCAAAATAGTTACTTGTGTATTTGATGTAAGTACATAATCAATGTCAAATTATGTAAGGCCATAAAATGAAAAAGTTGTATGAAACACCCAAGCTCGAGCTTTACTTCATTTACCAACCTAAACTGGGCAAGCTCACCCTGGAGCACCATGGTGAATTCTAAATCCTACAAATTTAGGCAACATGGCTAAACTGGATCTCAATGATTGATGTAGCTTTCAAGTGCTCCTCAGCAGTAGGGTGCCCAAAGCCTCAAGGACACGCCCAATCGATCATTGAGGACAATTGCCATTATCTTGCTAAAGGTAAATGTGATTTGAAATATATTGGCGAACCGATCAAAAGTTTGAAGAGTCCACTTATCTTCTCAACTTAATTGACAGGCGGATCCCTCGAAAAATTGGAAAACAAAACATGCAGAAAGAACAGGGACTATGCCAGAGGCTATTTGGAGACCATAAAATAGAAACATCATAATCCAGTGGAAAATTGGAAATTGAAAGAAACAAAAATCACATATTGCCAATGAGCTATCTACCTCATATCCTGTTATGTCACAAATTCTTTTGCATGGATGCATAGAGAGTGTTGACTCGATATTAACATCTGCAAAAGAAGATCAAAACAAAAGGGAGAGAACATGTATCAAAAAGATAGCCAGACATTGACCAATTAAATGAATTCAAGGCATAAAAGACTTCACATGAAAACTACAGGCACAGATGCTGCTGATTTTATTACGATCCCCCTTCTGTGATATACATAATTATTATGCACAAACTATTGGCCATAGTCAGGGATAGATCTAGGAATCAGTATTTTTTTTTTTTGGGGGGGTGGGGGGGTGTCTTTGGTATTTAGGGGGGCAGTTGGGAAAGTGGGAAAAGTTTGGGAGCAAACTCTTCATAATTGTAAGAGCCACTAAGCCAATACTACATAATTCTAAAAAACTTTTCAGGCCTGGGGGGTCTCACCCACCTCTGCACCAATAGATACGTGGTTGGCCATGAAACTCCTTACATTGTACAACATTCATGAAAATTTTGATTAAGTGGAGCAGGAGGTTTTGTTGTCAACAAGCTGTTTATCAGAAGATACACAAAATTGTCAACTGCTACCATGATTCAAACTGATGATTACTCCCTACACAAATTTTAATTGAAGCCTAAAATTAATTAATTGTCAATCAAAAGAGAAGAAGAGGTTAGAGCAAAATTCAAATTATGATAAGAGCGGCGAGGGCTTTCTTTGGGCTTGTTATGCAATACACGAAAGCCAGGTAACTAGGCCCCTTTATAAATTATAAAGGTGGGTATAACATTTTCATTGACCTAGAAGGTTTTCACTTACTGCCTTTGCAGGCTTGGCAACACTAAATTACTATTCAAACATTTTTCTTCATGGACTGAACAAGTGACAGTTTTTAAATCCATGTATGTGGACCTCTAAATGCTACGTGGTTTGCTAAGTGGTCCATCCTATGACCTCCAAAATCCAACCAAATGAATATCTGTCAAACTTCATACGTGAATTTTCAAGAATAGCAAGTAGTGGCAACTTTTTCCTTATGAAAAATCCGCAATCTAACCAAGTAGATGCAAGACCTCTCGTGCTTAGTTCACATGACTGATAATTATGAAGAGAGTGAATATAGTCGCGGATAAGGGTGTGAAAAGTTGTTCTTATGGCATGATTTGATCATAAAGCAATAGTTTGGACATGTGCTACAGAGTGTAGAGAGGCTGTAGATCCATAGATTATAAAACACACAGACTCTCTATGCTTCAAAATTCGTGACAGCTAGACCAACGAGCTAATGTTATTTGACACATTGAAGTCAGAGTTTAGGAATTGTCATTACTGGAAAATGACTCCAAGTTTTAAAAGTATTTCCTTTCAGTTAAAATTCCAAAGCCGAACAAAAGCACCCATCATTATACAACTATACAAGCTAGGACAAAGTTTAACAATTTAATGAAAAAAAATAAGGGATTTGGTGTAATAATGAAGGATATTTGTTGTTGAAACCATCCAAGCTTCTAAACATGTTGTCCACTGACAAGGGATGCTGAAGTAGGGGGATTGATTACATCAGTTTTCTGGTTCTTTCCATTGGTATATCATTTCAGAAAGTATTAGGTAACCTATTTGAATTTTACACGGACTACCAGTTCTGCACGTCATTTCTACCGGTTCTGCATGTCATTTCTTTAGTCAGATGAACAAGCACTAGTTCATCCACAATTATTAAGAATGAAGAAAACCAAAATTCAATTCCAGTGAAATATAAATGTTAAAAGGGTGCCAAACTAATGTAAAACATAGACATAAACCTACAAAGCAGCAAACTTTGTCACGCCTGGATTGATTTTCAACATATTATCGTCAGCCCACTAATTGACTTATTTGATGTCAATCTTAAATGGGGTTCATAAATCATACTAGCCTTGGCTCTGAAATTTTATCAATTACAAATATTCCCATAGCAATGGACTAATAACCCTACATATTTGTTATCAATTTAATCCACGAAAATAAAATCTTTCTATGTGAGACATATCATCAATAATCAAACCAAGATTGGGATCGGGTATATGTGTCCTTCTTTGATATTCATTTCAATCATGCATTATCCACTCATTTAAGGACAAAGTAAAAGAAAGAAGAGGAGTTGTGTAGAATTTTCGTTCTTGGGAATTCAATGAATGATTAATTGCCAAGAGTTTACACATAATGACTGCAATTATGCAGAAAAATACTAAAGCCATCATGCAATTGGAAACTTTGATACAAATCATAATATCAAATCAAATATCTACACACATTGAGGTGATGAATTTAGCAGCTTTTTTCGATGATTATAAGAAAATCCAAAGTAAATTTAACGTTGATTACTTTAGTGAAGCTCACAGTTAGGTTCGTGAGGAGGGTAGTTGTGGTAATTTTCGGCTTGAATGATCTGCTTGAGATGTTTCCAGTGCCTGCCTCTGGCTTGCCCCTTTGGATACTTTTCGTACATCTGAATCTTCTTAAAGCTCATTTTGGTTGGCAACACCAACTCCCCTTCCACCACTTCTGCCTCCATCTGCAAAGTATAATTTGCTTCAATTATCACCGGAATTTTATTTGCCTGTTTCCGTATTTTATGTAGAACGTTATGCGAAGTGACGTCGTTTTACTAATTGCCGCAGTGGCTTTTCCATCTTCCAGTAACCAAACAGATCCATTTAACTAGGCAATATCGGACTGTGGACTTCCACGACGTCGTTTTTAGTCAAAACTACTCCTTCCCTCAGCGGTTCATAGCATAAGTCCCCTTGTTCAATTCTCTCCTCGGGATTCAGCAGAGTGAACTCAATCAACCAACAATCAGAGAGTGTATTGTGTTTGCATTATGTCTTCAGGTGGATTGTGGTTTTATGCGGAATGGTGGTGCAGATGGATCCAAAAGTCATCAAGAATGCCAAAAATTGTAGATTTGTGGTTGCATCTGGCATTTTTGATGGATATCAGTCACCTCATCAGCTATCCAACACAAGCAAGTGTTCCATTAAAAATAAGATTAAATTTGTGTATATAAATTTTTGGACACCCCTTCTCTTGTAAGAAGATATTCAGTCATAAGTTCTGCCCATGAGTTTATAATAATTGGTATTAGAGCTAATCACCATGTTGAGTATGTGATTGAACACAATGTGAACTACGACTCTTTGTGGTCAAGTCACGGAATGAACCATCTATAGGGTGGATTAAGATGACTTGGTATTATGTATGAGGAAAATACTATCTCATTCAATACTGATAGATGAGTAAAGTCGCGAAAAGAAAAGAGTTACTCTTAGGCCAGTATCGATACAGTGGGCCGCTGACTACAGAAGCGTGATGAAATATTATAATTTCACATTGATAAAAAATAAAATTAAATGTGTGTATATAAACTCGTAGACACCCTTCCTTTACAAGCCGATTTTCAAAGACAAGTTCTAACCATAAAATCATAACATTCTCCAAAGTCTCTTATGTTTCAAGTTCTAACCATCAGTTCATAACATTCTCAAAAGTCTCTTCTGTTTCCTTATGGTGGTGGATGAAATATCTCATGATTTCATGGGAAAAAAAAATGTTACAGTAAGAGAGGACAATGATGGTGGACAATGGGTGGGTATCTGGCGTCTTGTTCTGCTGAAGCATCAACCTTATGATGAACCCAGAAGGAATGGGAGGGTTCCCAATATATTAACCCAAAGACTATTTCCTCAAGCACAGTACAGCATATGGATTGATGGTAAAATGGAGCTAATAGTTGATCCATTGCTTATTCTTGAAAGGTATGGTCTTCTGTACTTGATTCCTATGGAGATCTGAATTCGAAGTTGTTTTCCTTTTGTAGCTTGAGTATCACAAAACTAACGAGTAATGCAACATGAATCTTATTTAGTGACCTTATCATTGTCATATTAGTTAGGAATTAAGACTCACTATCAATTCAATGGCTGTAATTTCTTGGATCACCAAATAAAGTTACTAAATTATGTGCATATAGCACTTCCCTTAACTTAAATAACAGGAATTATTGGTCTTGCGGATACTTGTGGCTTGGGAAGCACACATTTGCTATTGCTCAGCACAAGCATCATCGCAGTATATATGAAGAGGTAGATGCAAATAAACGAAGGAAGCGATATGCTCGATCCCTTATTGATCTGCACATGAAAATATACAGTCACGAGATGGAGCCCTGGAGTCCTAAGAAAAACACAGATAGTGGTAAGTGAGGAACTCCATCTTCTTGTGTTCACTTTTGTTTTGAGTCACCACACGACCAACATAGCACCCTTTTTCGCGCTCCTGACTAGGTGAGACTCATAAAAGAGCTGTTTTATACATCTACTAGATCAAAAAGATCCAGAACATGACCTGTGCCTCAGTCCACGCCAGTAGTCCTGCTTCCTATTTTTGTCATTTTTTTTTATTATGAGAAAATCCAAAATATTGTAATTCCTTGTCATTTCAGTGATCTACAATTCTACATGCTGTGATGTACTATATTGACGGAGTTTCTGTAATTGCAGATGTGCGAGAAGGGGCAGTAAACATACGCAAACATATACAGCGAATGACTTGTTTAGTTGCTTGTGGTTCAATGAGGTCGACCTCTTTACACCAAGAGATCAGTTGAGCTTTGGCTATATCGTGTATAGTTTAGGGGTGTGTTTAAATTCTATATGTTCCCCAATTTTGAGTACAACTCGCTCTTTGTTTTGCACCCACACACTCGTGAGCATTCCTCCAAAGTAGAGTGGGTGAAATCTTTGGATGAGTTGAGGAACAATAGTGTTTTGAAAGAGAGTAGGGGAGGATTAGGCTTGTGGACACCTTATCCTGGGAATCTTAACCTGGTTGTACTACCACCTGTAGTGAGAACATCAAAAGCAGGATGAGTTTGAATTCAGTTTAATTTCTGTCCATTTCAGAGTAATGTGTCACTTTTTGACTACTTTTCTCTAAACCAACTGCTTCACGGGCATAATTAAATAAATGGAAGGAAAAATAAACGTGATTCAAAGACGGGATCACTGGAGAAAATAATCAGACCATGGAAGTTGGGCGCTTATCTCATTAAGGTTCCTGTTGAGGCTGCGTAGTGCTTGAATGTGAGGCTCATCTTCCTCTACCGGTATTATTTTGGCAAAGGTTCCTTCTCCCAGATAGTCCACCACCCTATTTGCAGCCTCAAGTCCCACCACATATGATTTCTCCTGTTGGATCATTCACAAACAGTAGTAATAACTTGCTTATTATGATATCAACCATAGCAACAAGGGTTTATACTAATGAGTACTTTAGAGTATTCACCTGTGACCATGAACCATGTCGATTTATCACCCAGTCTCCAGCCATGAACAAATTTGGGAAAGATGTTGATCCACGCATCATGTACTTGTATGAGCCTTCAGAAGAAATTAAAAGAAGAAGAAAAAACAAGCTAAACTCAGAAAATGACTCTGCAAAAAAAAAAAGTCAGCCCCAATGATAGATTATCGGTGGTGAGCTGGAATAAGAGGCTCAGTTATCATCTCTAACAAAAAGAGAAAAAATCCCCAAAAAAGAAATCGAAGGCAGTACAATCACACCCAATACGCACTACATTGGTCAAAACAAGATTTTCTAATCAAATATTGATTTTCTATATTTTCTTATTTTCCCTCTTCCATAAAATTTCAGACCTATTTCTATGTTCCCATATTTACTTTCCTCTCTTTATATCACTCCAGATATGTAGATTAGTTATCTTCTTTCATCTCTCTCACTCTCTCGGTCAGCAATAAAGATTTTCATTAATGGGATTTGTGTTGATTTCTATCTGAATACAATATGCTTTTACTCAACAAAACTACATGTTCATAATGTCAAATACACAACCAGAACAGAGTGAAAAAAATATTATCTGGACATATTGCAGGTTACACGAGCAACTGGAAAACTTAATAGAAAATTTTCTCTTTGGATTTATTTAATTGAAAGAAACAACAGGTAGGGTTTCACTTTCACCATGAAATGTTGGGACTCAAGTGCATAAGTGAGGAAGTTTAGAAAAGAGTCCTCCATCCTTGCTACCCAGCACACCCTTACTATCAAACTAGTATTTTATTAAAGCATGGTCTAAAAAGTTTGTCCTATGTTGCTAAGATATAGATAATTGCACACAACAACATATAAATTTTTTTGGAAAAACGCAGTTTTTAAAGGAATAATAAGCCAGGAAAAAGCCACCTGGAAAGAAATGAGTCAAGGATTTTGGAAATCTTTCAATCTCTTTATCAATCACTGAGGCATTATCAAAGTCCTTAATGCACTTTGAAAGGCGAGAGAGAACTTTTGCCACTACTTGCTCATCTTTTAGTGGTAACAACTCGTTGGCATGATACTGCAATGGAAATATCACAAGAAAAACAGAGATAAGAATTGAGGTCTTCAAATAAATTTGCTAAAATTTCTTGTTGCTGAATAGAGGTACATGTACTTATAAAGTCAGCTTGTACGACTGTTTCTGGATCATCTTTATGTTCATCGTAAATCATGTTCAAGTCAAAAAATGCCCACCCACTTGCATTTGGAATGTTAACCTGATCATTGGTGGAATTCAAAGCATAGAATCAGCTTCATCTTCCTATGAAAACCATTCACTATGATATCAAAGGAGGATTATCAGAAACTTATTTTCAGACCACCAGCAAAAGACATGGGCGCTTTTTTGGCAGGACTAATTTGATGGACTAAGCACTTCTATGTCAAGCCAAAAACATATAGCTTTCTCCTAGACCACAGCAGGCAGGCAGGTAATGTTGCTGGGAAAGATTGAAATTTTCAGTGATTCATGTGGTGGTTCAACCAGCTGCTCCTCCCACAATTGCCTCTCACATATACAAGCTCCAGCCTTTTTCATGCTTTTATCTCAACAATATATAGACTATAAGGTGATGCCTTCATTAAGATTTTTTATCGACAGCTGAACCAGTGAAACAGGAACTAGTCCTTTTTACAGTTTTCAGCTAATCAAGTTGTTAGAACATTGGTTATCAAGTGATGTGCTGCTATATGTAAGCCAGGTAAATGCAAGATTTTAAAATTTCTGGCAGCAAAGAAGAAAGGGAAATTAAAAACTGCATGCACCTTCCTATCAAGCCACAGCTTAGTGCTGAGTAGATCGATGCTAGATGTGTTCAAAACTTTTTGAAACTCCTCCCGTGTACATAATGCTGTGCTACATAGAACCCAATCCATAGTTAAACAAGAGAACAAGGACAGAATAGCATTGAACTCTGAAATTCTGGTTCATAATAGAGAGAAAATATAGAAGAGAAATTTATACTGTCCTGAATTTGAGGGAAGAGAGAGAGAAGAAAATCTGATTCAACACACCTGTTCTCTATAATTTCCTGCAATGAGGATATCCCAACAGCTAATATTACAGCATCAGCTTTTAAACTCTCTTTGTCACAAGCTAGTTCTGAAATGCATCCTGTTTCTTCATTCAATAAGAATTCTGTAACTTTTCTACCCTCCAGAAATTTACAACCTTGGTTTCTCATGGAATCCATCCATGGCTCAAAAATCTTTTCTTTAACTGTCCCACAGCACCATACTAAATCAAAATCCTTCTGGAACAATCCATTAAAAGCAAAAATTTATAAATTCATATGAAAATGAAAACGACCCACTCAAAGAAAAAAGATGACGGGAGATTCATACAAGGACTTGGTCCATAATCACAGAAGTGAGATATGGTATGTGAAAGCCCAAAATTTTTTAGAGTTGTTCCAAAAACTTACTTATGGGATAAGGTAATAGCAGCAGGCAGACTCAAGAAATCAGGGTTTATCACCCTAAACAAAGGAAATAAAAGGTATGTCCTTCTTTATGTTCATTTTTCATAATCATGGATTTGCTTTCATTAATTCATTTACAAATACTTAACTTTTTGAATCATCATAACATGGCATAAATTTTGGTTTTCATTATTCCAGCTCAAAATCATTTAGACTGCTCAATCCTCAGTAGCAATTTTCATAACTAGCCCTTATATAGATAACCTCTCATTTCTTGAGTAGTCCCGTGTATTCTATAAATGAAACCAACTCAGCAAACTTGGTGAGCAAGAATGAAATAGTATAGCATTCCCAAAGTTGCAGCTGAACTACATCTCTCTGCTGGTGCAAACAAACCCACTTGAAGTAGTGGACCAAGAACATCTCTATAGAGCCTTTCTGAGCAGCGGAATTGTTTAAAAAGCTCCCTTGCAGTAACTAGGATTTGAAATCTCTGAATCAGACACTTGAACTAATCTCCTTTAGATTTATAATTTGAAGCAACTAGAGTTTAATAATTTATCCATGTAGGAAGATCAGAAATGCTTACAGGTGAACTCAAACATTTTCCTTACTTGGATCCCATTTTCTCCAGGCAGTATCAGTGTTGTCAAAGTCAACTACTGCAAGGGGAAGGAGAAATTTGTTGACAAGCTGAAAATTTTATGGAAACTTATCGAACATATCGTTATAACTCAAAAAAGACTAGGGAGAACATACCAGCAGCCATTAGGGGAAGTGATGTTAGCCGATCCACCAAGGACATTCGAAAAAACTGAAAATATTCAACAAGGATGGTATTGTCAACCAGAAAGCTGCTTTCATCTTTCTCTGATATAGTATAGAAGATATGAGGAGGCAATGAAAGTCATACCTGAGTATAGAAGAGAGTCCCAAACAGAGTAGGCAACTGAGGTAAATCTTGGAATATTGGAAATTCAACCTGAAGAAATAAACCTGCCTCTGTCAACATATTTCAAAGCATTTACTTTAAGCTATACAAGGAACGGTATAGCAAGAATGATACTTTGAGCATTCAACATACCCATGCTAAAAATTGCAGACCACAGTGGTGGATACCATAAAGGGTGTGCTAGTAAAAACTTAGCCAATACTTGAGAGGTAAATGAATAGCCACTTTGTGCAATCAATTTTATAGGCTGAGATGACAATCTCACTCGAATTACAGGGAGCTACACATATTAGTCTTTACCTTTAGTAAGGGACACAAGACTCATGAAGTTTCAGTCATTTTATAGTATGACATCATACCCATCAGAATGGGATGGAGATACCAGGAATAGTTTACACTGCACAGTTTCAAAACCTTTCCCATTCTGCCGAATGTGTTTGGTGCACTAAATAGCAGACACATAGATTACCTAAAATCCCTCTCCAGAATATTGTGCAGTTTTGGTCCAGTTTGTAAAAGGCTTTATACCAAGCTCATCAACTAGGTTAAATATATTTTGATACGGATACCAGAAGCCTAGAGACAATAGGAGAAATATCAATTAGATTTCGATGAAATACCAATCATGTCAATTATCATAACAGCTATGTACAAGAATCGTATTAGCCCTCCTACTTCATGTCCAAACTTTGGCATTTTGGTGGAAGGGGACCTAAATAATCAATCATCAACATTACCTGATTGTAACTATTACATTAAAAAACAGCATATTTCTCTTCATTCAAGTTGAGCATCTCCAACCATTGAAAGGATTACTCAAATTTGGACAAACTTGAATATACACAGGCTAAAAACAAGTTGCAGTTATACCAAGCGAAGGGGACTCTAATTTTTACTCAAATTAGGAAGACTCAAATCTCTGATGGTCGGATTTCAATCTCATTTAAAGATCGATGGTCATACTTTAGCCGAATTTAAATTTGGGTTGGTCTTTTTTTAAATTTGAATTTGTTGTATAAAATCAAGTTTTTTACTTTGACTCAATATTAGAGTAAAAATCATGCTTTTTACTATTTCTAAATTGTTGCATAAAGATTGGTTTTCTTTATCATGAAAAGGCTTGTGCCATTGAATCCAATTTCTGGATTCTACAGAGTTAGCGGATAAGGCAAAAAAAAAGTCCATTAAGATTTTAGGTTGTTCTGAGTACAGAGCATCATCAATTACCGCGGATACCGATTTCATCGGGACTAAGCGACATTTTATTGGATTCAATTCCATAACCACCTTCAAGGACTGTGACGTCAAAGCCCTGAAATCAAACGAAGAACCATGCCTCACAATCTAGTCTCCAAATTGTGTGTGTGCGTGTGTGTGTGAGAGGGAGAGAAGAACCTGTTTGCAGAGGTGGTGGGCAGCGCCTAGGCCAGCCCAACCGGAACCAACTACAATTATCTTCTTCTTTTGCTGTCCATTGACATGGCTTTGTTGATCCTGTGCTGTACAGCGTAACGCACACCTATGTTCATATGAAAAGAAAGGTGTTACGCTCCAGTAACAACATTTTTTCCTTTTGTCTGCAACTGTTTTCAACGGCTATACACACATATCCACCCACTCACCCAGAGACGGAGAAGGAAATTTTTAGCATGTGCCACAGTCCGTACCACAAGCACGCATGATGGTCATACTCACATCTTTTAAGACTGGCAGCCAGAGTAATCAAAATATAAGGTCAAAAATAAATATGAAGTATTTTTGATAATTTTTTTAGATTAGTTTATGAAAAATTTATTTTTTATGAATATTTTAATTTCGGTGTGAATGACCTTTTTTTAATCGAACCATTAGGACTAGGTCATGATAAATTTAGGGCTTGTTTGGTTTGTATTTTAAAAAATAGTATCCGAAAATAGTTTTTGATAATATTTTTAAGAACGTGGTTTTGATATTTTTTGAGATAAAAAACTTGTTTGGTTATATGATTTCAAAAACAATTTTACAATACAGAAAATAGTAAAACCTGTTTAGACAACCTCAATATATATTAATTTTAAAAAATATATATATACCCATATATATACCCCTCACACACAATATATATATACATATATACGTTTTTATATATGCATGTATAAATATCCGTATATGTTTTATATATATACTAGGATAAAATTCAAACACACTTCTGTTTTATTATATAGATATATACCAGAGTTTTTTCTGAAAATTTTGGAAATAAGGAGAACAAAAATGCTACACTTGTTTTCCATTTCTTTGACTCAAATCTTATTTTTTTCCAAATTTTAGAGAATAAAAATGTGAAACAAACAAGTTTTGAGTGTTTTTAAAATTTTGAGAACAAAAAACTGTTTTCGAGATAATAACCAAACATGACCTTATCTTTCATGAATACTTTAATTCGGACATAAATGACCTACTTGTAATCAAACCAGATAAAGAATTAATCAACGTAACTTGAACAAACCGTTGAACCAAAATAAATAAATATCAAGTAATTAAACATTGATATAGAAATATTTTTGATCTTAATCTGTCTTTTACTCATTTAAAACTTAAATTTTACTTATTTTGTACCCTTACAAGATCTTTATATTTTTTTACTCCTTTTTAACGTTATCCTTATTCATTGTTTTTTTTTTTTTTGGTTCAAATCCTTATTCATTGTTCAAACTGTAAGGATTCAATGATAAAAAAAAAAAGCCAGTTCGTGAGGAGCTCTTCAACATTACACAACCTATGACACCCCAAATTTTTTGTATCTGTAATTATCCGATTAATTACTTATTAACCCGCAGAATATCTGTGGATACCATGTAATTCGATATCATATCGTTATGTTTCATTTATCGAGATCCATAACTTAACAAAATTTAGACAGAGTCTCTTTTGTACAAGAAGGTCTACCAAAAACGCAACTTGTATAATATTGGTCACACCAGGTCTATCCATTCATTCACAATTGTATAGTATCGAATACTATCATAATCATCATCATTACGTATATTCATTCATAAAAGAATAAATGTCTCAAAAGAGTCACTTATCCATGCCTTTTAAATATAAACAAGTTTTTGTTACAAAAATTACACAAGGTCAAAAGTAATTATAAACAAGGGACTACGATGTCAAAAGAAGAGCCACTGACCGGCTCTAACGTCAAAGCGGGCCCATAACCTCGCCTTCAGTGGACGCTTGTGCAATACCTGAAAAATATTTCCATAAAGGGTGAGCCAACGTTCAATAGGGTAACTCTTATAGATAATACCTTTCAACTTAAATGCATGTGAAATGTTACATATAACAATCATTTCATGCAATCATTCAAATATTTTTATTATGAACAAATATCATAAATCATGTCATGCCATGAGATGAGACTCACGAACACAATACCAACACCAAGTTACATCCTGATTCTATAACACATGCAATGTCATGCGTATCTATCCGAGCATTCCAAGCCCCGTCATTAGTGTTATGTACATTCAATAACTAATTAATTTATTTTCTTGTGTCTTTGTGGAGAAATGATTTATGGTATTACACTAATGAGACACCAACCATCAACGGATTCTCAGGACATCCCACCTGCGGCTTCATTTTGGCCGTTACACTTTTCTGAATTTTCACTGTCGAAAAATGTATAAATCAAGTAAGTGGGTCTTGCACCCAAGTGAGAATCTATCCCTTCTTACTATCACTGACACGTTTATCTATTTAATTTTTCGTGTGATTCAGCTGGACCTTGGTTCGACTTTTCTGAGCCCACAATTAACCACTTGTGTGGTGATTGATTTCATCCCATGCACACACTCCCACTTATGTCAATGCCCATGATGAATGTAATGTAACTCATACATAATGACATTTCAATGTGCAATTATCTTTGGTACCATTTACAATGTTCATTACATAAATAATACAATACAATGACATTTTCAACATGACAACATGTTTATCAATTCTATAAACATAAGCACAAGTCCACCACAATAATTATATGCTAAATAATCATTTAACATACATATTATTCAATAATCACATAACAAGCTAATAATTTTATTAAACTTGATATGTCATTTAAAACATAAAATAATGCTAACGTACAATTAACATGCTTTAAACCACTAATATTAACTTACACCAAATTAATCATAATAGGATTTTTCTAATTATAAAGTTAATTATAAATCATATATTTGACCCACTAGTTACACTAGTCAAGACCTAACATGTGATATACACCCATAGGCTACCCATTTCATATGTCATATTTTAGGTTGAAAGTAAATCTAAATAGGAAAAATCTTACCCCTCGTAGCGTGAGCCAACATACTGAAATTTCGAGAAAACCCAATTTAACTTCTCAAACTTTAGGCATAAATTATCGTTTTTGATATTCTTTCGGAGAAAAATATGATATTTGGTGTGGTTGCGTAGCTCTCGCTGAGTAGAACAACTTTAATTTTTGGCCCGAAGCGATTAAACGAGTCAATCTTTGTAAATCTGAGAATGAAAAAAAGAGAAAAAATAAAACAATACTCACCTTTCTCTCTCGGCAGCGCACCGGAAGAAGAAAAGTGGAAGATTTTTGTGTTCCACTTATATATAACTTTATTTTTTAAAAAATTTATATTTTTGACCCATAATTTAATCATTAATTATTATTTTACCCCTTAAATTTAGATTTTTAATAATAATAATACTATTTTTTTTTAACCGGGCTTTACACAACCACCACCAGTATTTTGATTTTCTCGGACAGCTGAGATTTACTTTCTTGCCTACTTTCATCAGCTGTAAGTGGTATCCCACAGCTCCACCAAGGTGACATTGTGTTCCATGTTAGTGACAAGTCAGATGTAACTCAAAGAAATTCATCGATCAATACAGAAATTTACAGCGTCGAGTCATACAATTGATAAAAGCCAAAAACAGAGACAAGGCATAACAGGAGAAAAAAACAATAAAGTTGAATAAAATTCCTAAGGATATAACTATGATGATCTGTCGACTGGCCTTTCCAGTTCTCTTTTTCTTGGGACAGAAACTAAACCCAAGAATTAGTTCTCAGTAAACAGTTACTGACAGCGTACATTAAAGAATTGATGGCCTGCTCTTCTTTATCTCTCTTCAGAAGCTACCTGGTAGTATTCACAGCAGAATAGTACAACAGACAACAACATTAGGGGACTGCTTCGTCAAGATCCAAGAGATTTAGGAGGAAGCTTGACTCCACCCCCTTTCACAGATAGGTTGTGACTCTTCACTGAGCTTGCCCTGCACAAGAGGTTTGAGTCAAGGAACAATACAATCACTGTGATGTCATCGTGGAAATGCCTACGAACTCCGCGGTCAATCTTTTTCAAGTCTGAGTACCTCATCTCTCTCTTCTTCGCTGCTTCTTGCAGTGCAACTTTTACCAATCTCCTAGCACTTCCCTGCAATAGAGACAAAATCCTATCATCAAATAGAGGAATGAATAAAAGCTACCAGTAGGCCAGAGTAAACAATTCTAATGGATGATGATGCTAAGTATAGCAAAAAGCAACAACAACAAATCAACTAAGGTGCGCATATATTTAAAATAAAGTATAGAATGCTTACACTGCGGGGATGATTTTGAACTATATCAACTGCTTCTTGGTTGCTTAGGTGCTCCCAGAGACCATCTGATGCAAATATAACGAACTGATCATGTGGCTCCAATTGATGCACTGAAATTGATGGGTCTGAGCTCAGTATTGGTCTTCTCAAAGGTTCACGAAGGCGAAATTTAGCAAATAATGGCTCCCTGTTGAATTCTGCCTTCTTCAGATACAAATCACCAATGGATCTTGAAATCTGCAACACAAAATATTCTGACAATCTGAGAATACCAATAATCAAAAAGCTTAAGATATGCATCATAAAAGGTAGAACTTCGGAAAAATGCACTTGTGCATTTTCAAGTAATAAAGGCAGACAAGAAACTTCATATACGACGGTAGTTTGTCAGAGTTGTGGTGATGCAACATGGATGACGCCAACAGGGCTAGAAAAGTAGTTTATAGGTGAATATTTTGCATTACAGCACCCAAATATGTACATCAAGAAAATAATTTTGCAGTGCCTCCATGCTTTCAACCCATGACCAATACACTGCACCCAATCAGGTCAGCAATCGTACTGACTCCCGAGATATATTTCCCAATAAAAACTTTTACTATAGCTGAAATTCCCCACCCGGCCACTGTGTGCAGGAAAGCAATCTATAGAAGAAACAAGCCACACCCACCGACACCTAGTTCCCAAAAAAAGAGAGATAATAAAGAAAGAGCTTAATTAAGGTTGTCCAGAGACCTCAGACACTCCAGATAAGTTTGACAAATATCATTTTTTAAGGGTTGTAATATCTCAAACAAATATACTCAACTTAGCTCAATAGACAACAAAGCATTATCCCAACTGATATCCCAGAGAAATGTACCAATCTAAAACATCTAGACCAGGCTTAAACTACTCAAGTGGCTGTGTATATATTTCGTCACTGCTTTCACACTCATTTTGCACAAGCACTTGGCACAATACATTGGTTGGACTTCAAGTTTTTTGTTGCTCTTTCCTAGCACTCACGTTTATCAGACTACTACTTGTCAAATAGCTTTCTCGTGTATCAGCTGCCAAAAATCAACATCAGAACCTTTACCTTTAAAGTCAAAATAACAAAAAAAGCTGCAACCATTCTTAAACCAGAGAACTTAAGCATATAGAATAAGCAAATCTAGCAGAGGAGAAGAATTGGTTTTTCCATAAAAAACAAAAAAAAGCAGTTGAGGTGCTTTTTTCTTCTTCTCTTCTTCTCTATTCTTCTTTACTTTTCACTTCCCCAGTGAGTAAAATTTGTGTAAACTTAAATCCCAAGAACACATGCTTCTCATCAAACAGCTCACATTATTGGATCAATGCGAGATGGAGTCAAAGATCACTAAAATATTGCCTAATAATAGAGTTTTTGTGAAGCCATGATAGGCATTTCAGCATTTAATGTCCTCCCATTTTATTACTCCATAATTATCAGACAATGAAAAGCAAAGAGAAGATTCTTAGACATTTATTTTTTCAAAAAAGGAAATCCATATCGCATCATCTCAATCCAATAATGTTGAGAAACAAACCAGTGCTTCACAGCATTTGGACTCAATGGATATCTAATTGCAAACACTAATTGAAATGGTAGAGAAATAGGAAGCATTAACATAGATAAGTAACACTTAATTGAGGGAGGTTAACCTGGCGGGAAAAAAAAACCGGAGGCAGAATAATATAAAACCATTAATAGCGCAAAGAAAAATGTACCTGTATTATGCCCTTTACACGCCACACGTTATGCCTTAACACTACTATTTGCGAGTCATCCGGGTGCAAAGAATGCAATTCTTGTCTCACAGACTCTATACTGGCATTGTGCTCATCCGAGAGCTGAATGGACAGAACCCCTCCTGTTGCCTTGACCAGTCTCCCCAGAACAGCACGGGAGTCACCAAGGTTGGCAATATAAAGAGCGCCATTGCAGATGATCCCAACCAGACAGCATGATCCAACTGCTGCAATCTGCGGTTTCATTGGCCATTGCTTGGTAACAAGAGAGATAAACCCCTCTTCTGTTGCTTGGAATGCCTTCCGTATTACCTCAACTGACATGGATTGTTGCTCTGAAGTAAACCCTGCACAATTAAGAAAGTGTCATTAAACTCTAGCCCCCAAAATCCCAGTTTCAAAAAAAAAATTAATCCCACAAAACATGGGTTGCAATAAATGATATTCCTTTAACTTCACAGTCATTGACCTAGTAACTAGAAACGTGATCTGAACTGAAATTGTTTGGTTCTACACGAGAACATTTCACATTGGCAATAAAATTTAAAAAAAGAAGAAGATAAGATTCAACTTCTTATAAGTTTCTCTATGATCGCCCAATGTGTGCTGATATATTATTTGACTACAAATAAACATTTGAATTACTTAAAAGAGAATAGAAGTTCTAAATTCCAGTATAGTTCAAGCAACATACTCTTGAGATGTTGAAAGAGTTGATCATTGATGTACTGCGATGTCTCAGGGCCACCATGTCCATCATAAACCCCTACAAAGGTACCAAACGGCCCAGAATCATGCAAGCTCAAACAACCAGATTCGATTTGGCTCTGATCCTCAAGTAAAAAATTTGCTTGTACCACAGCCATCGAGAACTCTCCATTAAAATGTTGCCCTGTATCCTTGTACCATAGAAGCCCATCCTGTCGACCACTGGCATCAGAACCAGTATGAACATGCCCATCCCCCCTTGGCCAAAAACAGGCCCTCAAAAACTTCATCAACCCAGATAACATACCTCATCTCATCCAAACCACCCTCGAAATTGGCCACATCTAATGGGGACTAAAGATAACTGATTAAAATAAACCTCAACGGTTAATAGTTCCCTCTCCGCAAGACGAATAAGTTATGCACTACAAGTCTACAACAACACGATCAGAAAACATAAACACACAAAATTAGAACTTGTAACAATCAAAACCTAACAATTCAAAAAGCCACCTTTCCGTTCAATTCAGCAAAGAATAGCCGGAAAACTAGAAAACAAAGGAGTTCATATTTGAAATCCATCTCTCTTTATTCTTATCACCGAAAACTATGACCACAACAGCCGTTTAGAATGGAAAATTCAACACCAACACGGAAACGGAAACGGAAACGGAAAGGAAGGACTTCGAGAAAGAGTGGTAAAATTCATTTTTTCCTCAGACAACTGTTTCGTCGGCCAGTTCAAATCCAGAAGATCCAACTCTCCTCCATGAAAAGAAAACGAAAAACCCTACTTCTTAAAATCCCCTTAACTGTCCAATCACAATAATTCAACAGCTTTTCCAATAAAACGACATACTCATACAGAAGTATAAGCGGATAGTACCAAGTATAATAAAATCTTACCTTTAAGTTGCAAAGAGAAGAAGATCTGAAAGTGGAAGAGTTAGATCTGTGAATCAATCAAATGAAACAAGAATTGTAATGGGTTTTGAGTATATTTGTTTTCTCTCTCTTCTCTGAGCAAGAAGATGAGGTGAAGGAAGAGAAGACACACAGAAAGCGAGAGAAGTTAGAAGGAGATATCAATAAGAGAGAGAGAGAGCTGTGTTTGATCGCGCCAGCTGAAATTCTGGTATCGCGCAGCAGACAAAGCCCATTAAAAACCAACAATGGAGAGCTTGAAGCCAGCAAAGCAAAGGACCATCTCGGGCTCCACACACCCTCCTTCCAGGAGAGAGAGAGAGAGAGAGAGAGAGAGAGAGACAGTAAAAATATAAAAACGGAGAAGAGTCAATGAACTAATGGATTTGTACAAAAAAAAATGAACTAACAAAATTTTAAATTTGTATCTTGTAAGATTGGCATTACGATGCTAGTTAGACTCTTAATGTCATTAAAAGATAATAAAGTAAACAGTTTGGATTGAAGCTAATGGACAAGAAAGAAATATTATCTAAGCATTTCAAGCTCTATACTAACTAAATGGGATGTGTTTTTTGATATTTCAATCTTATTCTTAATTAACATTGATTACTAAGAATTATTAAATGAACTCATGTAACACTCACATACGTTCGTATCATTGACATAGAATTTCCTAATTTTGCTAAAAAAGGAAAAAAATTTACCAAAATTTTAGACTAAAACCCAACCTGTCAACACCAAGCCATCCTTTTTGATATTGTAGACACTGTTTTTTTTTTCCCTACAATTGGGCGGTGACAAAGCTAAGATTTAGTAATAAATTAGAAGGACATGCTTATAAAGTTTTGGAATATTCCTAACAAATAATTTTACAACAATGAAAGAAATTTTTCAATTCCGGGGCAATGGGACCCAATCATTGCCAGTGGGGCACACAAAAAAATACAAATTTAATTAATGCATTGGAAATTTGGGAGATAGCTGTCAAGGTGGTGTGGGACACTTCGTCCTTTATATATTTTTTTATTTTTTTATGATAAAAAAATGTTCATTTGTACATATTTCGATTAATTTATTTTTTGATTTGACGAAAAACATGTCGTGCACTGAAAGTATAATATTTATGAGAGATAAATTCATCATAATCTAGTTTTAAAAATTTATTAAAATTCGAATTCAAAATGTCTGAATTTATAATTTATCCCTATTATCATTTTAAATTATTTTTTTGGGTTACCATAAACTTATTCTCTGGTTTTGACTATCTTATAACTAAAAGAAACCAAAAGCTTTTCTAGGGTAATAATATTATAGTATTAATTGTGTTTATTCATTTGGAATGCATGGAGTATATATTCACATACGTTAAGATATTAATATCAGAATATTTGACTTTTGTATTCTTATTTATCTTTCTAGCATATATATTTGACTCAAGATTTTCATGTGAAAAAAAAAGAAACAACAAAATGGATTTATTGAGATGCAGTAGAGGTCTTAAGGTGCATATATGTGCCTTATCGACTTGTCTTTTAAGCATCAATCATACTAGAAAGTTGAATTCAAGAGAGATCTAATTATATTAAAACCTAGTAGAAAGTTGAATTCATGTGGGGTTTGTGCGGATAAAGTTGCTATGGCAGGGAAGAATGCGTATAAGAGTAGCCTGTCAAAGACAAAAATACCTATTGCAGTACTTGAGAGGATGAAATAATTGTAACGTATAAATGTGGTATGTCTTTTCACCCTTTCATGTATATGCCAAATTTCAATGGCTAAAATGTGTATCACGTTATTGTTTTGTGTCACTCATACTCATCGGTGGATAATCAATATAAAAACAGAATATCTGATAATTTATTTTCTCATCTTTTCCGGCACATATGTCTCACTCTGGTCTGGTGTTCATATTGAAATGAAGAGGGTCTAATGGTGTATTTTGTATGTCTTCATTCATCGACTTGTCTTCTAAGCATCAACCTAGCAAAAAGATAAGCTAAAAGAGAACTAATCTAATTTAAGCCTAGCTACTAGAAGTTATGACCACCAGGAAGCCAAGTAAAACATAACCCCCATTTTGGAGGATAGCTGCCAGGATTTGGTGTTTGACACATTGTTTTCATGGATTATGGAAAAATAGTAGAACGTCATTGAACGCGTAGAACAGTTGCTAGTAAGGGAGAATATTCATTGTTAGACTGACCAAAAAATTGGACCAAAAATAACGAACAAATGATGCAACAACACTATTATGATAACTCAATGCCCCTTACTATTGAAAAACTATTACATGCAGACTCATTAAAAATTTTTACATGAGTGTAAAAATAATAACTAAATAGCTCAGCTATCCCTTACATTAATTAAAACAGAATAAATCAATTTTTTCTCATTGGAACAAAACAAATCAAATTTTAAATTTAGTTATAATAAAAGTGGAAATTATCCCGAGAGGAACCAAAGAAACCTATATATATCCATAAACTCCTTCTTCCTCCTCCTCCTCCTCCTCCACCACCACAGCACCACCTCCACCTTCACCTCCATGATCACAATACCACTCATCGCCACCTCTACCCCACCCAACCACTTCTACTGCTGGAGAAGGTTCTTCCTTCCAAAAAGATAAAATTTCCAATATCCAATCATTTATAATCAACTAATGACAAAAGCCCTTTCTCTATATGCATTTGTTCTCGTTGCATTGTAACATTCAATTCGTATTTTTTTTACTTTTTGTGATAGAGATGGATGGAAGCAATGACAAATAAACCACTTAACAATTGTTTTTGGGATATGTATGGGGGATAAAGGTAGAGAGAGAGAGAGAGAGAGAGAGAGAGAGAGAGGCCCCTTTACCTAACTAAATAATATTTCTTTTATCAAAAAGGGTATTCCACTTTTGTTTGGACTGTTGATTTATTTTCGTCATCGTTGACAAGCTAACAGCCATAACATTAATTCTTGCAACTAGGAAAGCTGTGGGAAAAGTTGACTAGTTCAAACGAAAAAAACCAAAAAAAAAAATTTGACGGAGATTTGAAGGGAAAAGTTCATATATACCATTCATTAGACCAGTTGAAGCTTACTCCGGAAGGATTAATTCTCATAGGTTTTGGACATTTTGTTTATAAGTCATGTCAAACAAACGATTCAAAGAAACATATATATAAGTACTTATTTGCTATTGGGGTCTCTAGGATTCGTATTTTGTTCTATCCATTTACACCTTTGACCATTGACTTGGAATCTATGGACCTCGAAGATGATAAAGATAGTTTGAGAGTCAGGCAATCCCTTGTTAAAGTCGAAATTAATTCACTTAAGCATATGTTGAAATGATGATGTATGCAATGATGCATGTAACAATATTATTATATCATGATTATGGAAAAGTTTATTGAATTGGAAGTTGAATGGACGATGTATGGTATGATGGTTGTTGCCATATTGGCAAGGTTAAGTGAATTTTAAAGGATCGAAAAATTGTTTAATAAGAAGCATTAGTAGGTTGAGCCTATCTATATGATCTGATTTGAAAATGATGGGCAATTATGTATTGTAAATGCAAGGATGGTCCACTCAGAAATTGACAAGTCATTGCTCTCTTAATTACCATCACCATCATCGTTTTTCATGGCCAAAATGTACCTGTATGCTATCATTTACAAAGAATACATGAGGAGCTAATTTACAAGCTGGCTATCAATTTTGCAAGCTTTGTAAATGGTTATGTAACCAGTTGTGATTAACTTCACACTGCTGTTGCAATATACTTTTGCTGTGAAACACTAAGAAGACAACTTTGAAACCCCCCCCCCCCCCCCCCCCCGCGGAGAGGTGTTTAGGTAGAGTGTTTGACCATGATTCAGCGTCTACTCATGTAAAATAAAAAATCTAAAAGTTTACCTTAGGTTACGGTTCATTTCTTTCATGTAAATTGCCCTTGATCTCACTTTTGCTCTTTCAACTTTTAAGTATATCATTTTCGTTTTTTAAGTTTTAGTTTTGTTTTCAAACGATCTAGTTGTTACACTGTGTCTACATAATTAATTAATGGAAAACGATTATGTGGCTTGTGATTATGACTGCTACTTGTCCGATTTGAATAACTACTGGACCAATATTAATTAGTGATTAAATTATTTATTAAAAGCAAATTGAAAACTTTAAAGGCCAAAATGACATAACTTAAAAATCATTTGACCCAAGTGTATAAATGCATACTTTGCGGGTCACCGAGACAACACAAAAGAAGAGTAGAGCATGTCGGCCAAACGCAAGTGAACAATCTCGCCTAGATTTATAGGCATTGAGCAGTAGATTTTCATCTCATTATAAGCAATAGTATACATGTTTATAACGCACCGGAGGAATCAAACTCAATTGATATGTAAGACCTATAGTAATAATAAGAAAGACTATAGATTTGTGTAGTTGAGAGAGAGAGAGAGAGAGAGAGAGAGAGAGAGCTACCATTTCAAATGAGTTGTAGAAGGAAAACGTCAAGGCAAAGAATATATATTAATTAACAAAGGCAATTTCAAAGATTAGCACAAGGCATTGTAATCTTTCCCAAAGAATGTTTATATTTCAAAGGGAAAAAAAAAACTGTTAAAGCCTCCCTCGGTATCAATTGTGATGAGGATATATTAATATCACCTATACATGCAGACATGAGTCATAGTTTTACATACAATAGATATAAGGAGTAACTATCTGCTATTTAGTCTTTGGCCTTTAGGTTAAGTTTTCATCATGTTGACCCTTGACTTTGAAGATCATTGCTTCTCCTTTTCTAGAAGGAATGACTTGTTATGAGCCAGATGCATAAAATATTCACATTCTTTTGGAAAAAAACTCTCTCTCTCTCTCTCTCACGCACGCACGCACGCGGTTCATAAGATAAATCACTATCGTTTGTTTTGTAGTTTTCTTTTATAATTTATTTTTTGTTTGTGATCTCGTGCATAAAAATAAGCTAAAATTCAAATAATTTTATTCTTTTCCTGGAGTTAATATGATGGCGTTTCTAGTGTTTGCATATATGTATTATATCTATATATATAAAACAAACAATTTAGAGGGAAGAGAGTTTTTAAAGCTTTTCCTCCTTATTTTCTATATTCTTAGAATTTTGAGTTTTTTAATTCAAAAGCTTAAGATTTTCTTCAATTACCATTCAACATTTGGCTCCTATAACTACTCTTTCATTCTCTCACTAATTAACTACCATATTCATTTGAATTTTTTCAAAAAAAAAAATTTAATCTCCTATATCGATCTTTCCATAACTTTTTAAACTTTCTCAATATGGTAGGAGAGGAAGAAAAAACTAAAGAGGAAGGAATGATGGAATCCCGTGAATCCCGTGCATCGCACGCACGTAAGGAAGACGATATAGGAAACAATTTAGAGGGGAAAGAGCTTCACAAACCTTCTTCATTCATACAAGTTATATTTTTTTAATTGAGAGTATCTTCCATCCAATCATGCCCTCACACATATGTAACCACTCCTTCAATACTCTCACCAACTTCCCACGCATTTTTGCTAATTTTTTGAATTATTTTTCCTCTTCTCCTTACACGAGATGAAGAAACAAGTGATATGAAAAATGTTAGGACGAGTGAAAATGTGTAAATCTCGTGGATCGCACGAGTCTGAAACTAGTGACCTTTTATTTTATTGATAAAATAAGCACAGTCAAGAAATGAAGTAGCTAGAAACAAACTTATCTCTGTCTTCTTTTTCCTTTGTGAAATTATCTGGTGAATAATGCTTAGGAAGCTTCAAAGCAATGACGTCTTCTTGAAACAGAGCAAGTTAAGGATGCGAGTGAGAACCTATAGAATTGGGTTTAGAGAATAATGTGAACAGCCGAACATCACCATCATTTCTCCATCGTAAAGTCAGTAATGACACACTATGTGATGATGCACAAAAATGGTTTTGCACATCACCTGTCAAGTGTAGATAATAAATGCAATGAAATTAATGAAAAAATTGAAGAAGACACAATTTATAGTGGTTCGGTCAATTCGACCTACGTCCACTCTTCAATGGCTTCAGTTGTCGGGTATTTTATTGATTCAAAGGTATGGAGAATGGAGATACAAGCTTTGAGAGAGAGAACGGAGAATCAAAGAAAATAGTAATCTCCGGTAGTCGGTTCGTCCTCTGTAAGTCTCTAGTGGAGCGTGATCCCCTTCTTCTACCAGATTGGAGCTATTTTATAGCAGCTAAGAGATCATCCTGCTGGAGATCATGACATATCCTCAAAGCTTCTTTATCGCAGCTAAAAGATTATTCTTGGTGGAGATCACGACTTATCCTCAACGGAAGAAAGAGGTTGGGGAGCTCTTCATGAAACGTGGTCAAAGATAGGACCGTTTCCTTCGGTGGTGCAGATAAGCTTCTCGTGCTCTCCTCTTGGTGATGTGCTAAGCAAGAAGTCTAACCGACCTTAGACTGTCTTGGACTTGGTGGATTTGGACCGTTTTCTTTGGTGGTGCAGATAAGCTTCCCGTGCTCTCCTCTTGATGACGTGCTAAGCAAGAAGTCTAACCAGTCTCGGACTGTCTTGGGCTTGGTGGAATCAAAATGAGGTTGGACTCCTCAACTGGGCTTGGACTTTAACACATAAATTGGACTATTTGGGCTTAACCCATCACTATGAACATGATGTGTGTCGACATCTAAGATGAATTAAAGTCACTAATCCTAGTTGTAATCTAGTTTTTTTTTTCTTTTCCAATTGTCACATGAATGAAGAATATGAATGAGACATGTAGCCCTAATTTAGAAAATTCTACCTTGTTATTACTTTTTTTTTTTTGGATCTAACAAACACTCTGATTTCTTGATGTTATATTTGGTTTTTATCTGGGTGTCGCTTATAATTGAATTGAGCTTCTTGAACTCTTTTTTCTAAATAAGTTTAAGAAATAGTTTAAGTTCGATTCGTTTAGACAAGCTTAGAAAACGAGCTGAGCTTGAACCGCGCTGAATCTATGTAATTCGATTATTTTACATATAAACAAATCGAGTTTTGTGAGCTCGAGTCGAGTTTTTTATGCACTTTTAGAAAACAAGTTTAAAATTATTCAAATTTAACTTATTTTTTTAAACGAGTTAAAAAAATTATTTAAACTCAGATTATTTAAACAAACCGAGTTGAACCCGAATAGTTCGGTTCGATTATCCATCCTATTCTTAAGAGGTAGGCCTTAGGCCATGAGCCTAATTCTTCTAAATTGCAAATATTAATGGAGCCATAATCATACAAGATCCAGTCTACTTACCCTCATCCAAAAAACTTTTCCTCAATTTTGATAGATATCACTTAGATGGATGAATGACTGCTTTATAAATAATAAGTCCTATTTGATCTTATGACTGATAATATATCAATAAATAAATATGAAAAATAAAATATAATTAAAAGGATCTAAATTCAAGTGACATGTAATAAGACTACAAGAAATATAAAAGGTATATGATCAGTTCAGTATTAATTTAGGGGGCCACTTTAATAAATTGTGAAATACTACAATAGAATATAAACAGGCCAAAATGTAATTTTTTAAAACCCAGGGGATACCATGGCTGCTTGACCTTTAAGAACAATGTTACTTGGATCTAATTTGTCGATCTAATTAATCATAACTATTGAATTAATAGTAAGTCTTAGTATTTGTTGAGATTCCCTATCAATTTAATAATTATTATAAAAAATTAGACCAACAAATCAAGTTTTATACTATTTGACCTGTAATGTTCCAAGTATAGTCTTGTGGCTACTTTTCCAACATGAATGAAGCCCTATGCAAGGGAAAGTAGACCAGCCCAAAAAATATTACTCTACAGGCCAGGTTCATCTCAGTTCTGAGCCCATAAGTCAGCCCAAATGATTTTGTTAGAAGAAATTATACGAGCACTTTCTTATGACCAGTATTCAAACTCAAAAAAATAATTGATACAAATTTGAATATCTTGTAAAAAAAAAAAAGTATAACAAGAACAATTATTGAAATTTAAACTATATAAAAAAATTAGAAGTTAATGAAACATGAATTATTTTATCAAATTGAACGTACAAAAATCCCATCTTAAATCTTTACTTGTGCCTCAAGTATTTGTTAGGCCCGCTCTAACCAAGACAACGCAGTTGCAGAATACGTTTCAACAAGCAATTGAATGGCAACCCAGTTTGAGTGGGCTTGGCCCATACCCACCGAGTCATCCACGTCTTGTCCCAAAAAAACCCTTAAATTCAACGGCTACATGGACACACACAAATTGGAGCTCATACTCTTTCGAAGTGTCAGATTCAGAGTCGTCTTGTCTTGGAGGTAAATCTCACAAAACTCTTACAAAATAAACACGAACTTCCTCATTGATTGTGGTTTCCATGTTTTAGGGTTTTGTATTATTAATATGGTGATAGAAACGATATTTAATCGCTCATGCAAGGTAGTGTATTGAAGTACAAGCAAACGAAATTATCTTTCGCTGAGCTTTTTTCATGATTTCTTATCTCTGCGTAATAACATCAGGCGTTGCGTTTGATATACTTCTATCTTTTGTTCTTTCAGGTCGTGGATGCTACGAGGATTCTTGTTTGTTCAAGATTGTTAAAATGGATTTTGATGAGTATGAATATTTAGAAAAGACGGTGGAAAATCCGGAACATCGAGAATCAAAAGAAGCAGTGAATGGCGGTGAAACTGTTCTTAAATCCGAAGATAAGGACCGGAGGCGGCGTTCTAGGCATAGAAGTGATATGATTGGTAATGATGCCAATCACCGGTTAAAGCGCACAAAATCGGGAGACGAATCTCGTGATCGTGATAAAGAGAGGGGACCATCGGTGCACCGTTCGTCTTCAAGAGATAGGGAGAGGAGCGATAGGGATGGACACAGGAGTAGCCGGGAACATAGACACAGGAGTAGCCGGGAACATAGACACAAGGACCATGAGGGGGTTAGGGAGGAGAGGAACGGAAAGGAGAGAGGAAGAGACATAGATAAAGACACAGAGAAGGATCGTGACCGGGTCAGGAGAGAGCGTGATCGTGAACGTGGAAGAGAGAGGGACAGGGATACAGAGCGAGAGCAAGAGCACTCATATCGCAGCAGAAGCCGCTCAGAAAGGCATGGGGATGAGCAGGACAGAGAGAAGAGTCCTGACAGGAATATTGAAAGGGACAGGGAGAAGGAAGTCAGAGAACGAGGTCGAGAAAGCAGGTACTGTTTATTTGATATCAAAATTTCAAGTTATGTGAAACTTGTTAAATATTTCCTGTAATTCGTGTGGAATCTGTTTCAGTTGGACAATTTGGGTCGTTCACTCATTGGTTTTTTGAATTTGGTATGCACTTTTTAGTCGTATCCAACTGATGACCACTAGCAATTTGGGTGCTAGTTGATAATTGCAGGAACTTAACCACATCTCAACAGGACCTTATTACGATTATTTTGGGCTGCATGAATTGTGTTTTGCCATTATGTACTCTCAAGATCCTTAATCTCTCTCTCACTCGAGCAGTAATAGGCCGGCATTCTGTAAACATGTCTAAACTACCTAAGCCAATTCTTTCTTAAATTATCTCCTTTATGTTACATATTGATGGTGCACATATAGATTTACACTAGCTTTGAAAACAAAATTTGTTTGTGATTTCTGTTGTATAGTAGATTTACACGCTACATCTCAGATTAGATATAAAGCATTTATGCCTTCATAAAAAGGTAGTGATTGCCGGCCAAGGGCTTATATTTGTGGAAACATAATATTACATAATAAATATGCTTATATAAAGTTAGGTGGCTTGTGAGACAGGGAGGGATGCGGGATCTTGGACATCAAATGTTGTGAAATATTTTCGTAGGTTCGGACACGTGAAGTGATTAGTCATGGTTGGGTGGTGGATCATCTTGTGTTATAAGTGGGGAATGCCCTTAGATTTTTGTGCTTTCATGACAGTTGAGTTAAGAATCCTGTTTTTGCCTGAGTGGATTCTAAGAGAAAATGCTTTCAATTTAAATTTGTACCTTCTTTCTTTCTTTCTTTTTTTGTTTTTTTTTTTATTATTATTATTATTTTTTTTTGGGGGGGGGGTAGGTTTTTATGCACAATTAATGTTGTATGTATCAGAGGCCCGAAGTTATTGGACAAATACTCATTTGTTCTGCCCAGAGTAGAAGAACAGGTACATAGCTAAAATTTATTTTGAATTAAGCGAGTCTTCTGGAGTCAGTGTATGAGATTTTCGATTGTTAATTTTGGGGGCACCTGATTAAGAGATTGAAACTGCTTCATGTGTGGTTCCACTGGCCTGCTTGGTTTTCCTTTGTTTCAACTTGTTGGAATGGTTTGACTGTTTTCTTTTTGCTGTTTTGTCTGAAATCCAGCATACTTCATGTATCCTTGGGTACACCCTAGGTTATCTCCTCTCCGTATATCAAGAGAATTGTACTTTATGACCATATCTCATATCAGTAAAATATGCATGATTGCATCTACAAGCATAGTGGAGGCTCTTCGAATCTACAAATTGATTCTCTCCTTGTGTGGCACGCATTTCACTTTCTTGCCTCATTGTTTATTGGTGTGCCTTATCTTATCATGTTTGGACATTTTCCCCATATCCGTACATTGTGGCAAAATAGATCGCATAATTACTAGCATTAGTGCCACCAAGATGTTTTTACAATGATGCAATTGGAGAATCAACAAGAAGTTGAAAAAAGAGTGTGAGAATCACTATGTAATTGTAACTTGAGGACTTTTCTAGCCGGTCCTGATAATATAAGTAAGCCACCAACCATTCCCTTGCTGCTGTGTCTGAGAATTTATGAGGGAGCATTTCTACGAATGTACTCCATGTAATTAGAACTTCTAACTTTCTCTATTTGGTTGCTTTCCTTTTTTTTTTTTCTACTTCAAGTTAATTTCGTATAATTGTGGTCACTTTATTCTTTTTAGTTCAAGATAACATGATTCTTACATTAACTTAGATGTTCTTGGGAAGCCATAGAACCGGTTCTACTGTATAATTGCAGACCAGTCCAATGCTGGCCCTAGTTTGCCAAGATTAAACAGTGAAAAGCTCTAGTTCACTTCTTGTCCAATTTTGGCCAAAAACAGTTATGGTGTAAAATAGTTTTGTGGGGAGGGATGTGTTAAACCTATTCCAAATTATTTGTTCTCGAGGTCATGGGAACAGGAGAAGTAAGAAAATCTTTCAAAAGTTTTCCAACACTCAACGGCTTTCCATGTTCCAAATGTCATTGGCAATCTCCTCCGTGGATACTTATCATGTTCAAACACATTTTGGAACTTGCAGATCTGAGAAATAAGATTTGCTAAGGGAAATTTTCTGTTGTTTTATGAGAAAGAGAATAGAGTTGTTTTTTAATGGATCGCATAAAAATGGTTGTTGAAGTAGTGAAGGGACAATGGAATGCATGGCAGTTGGTGAATGGTAAGAACTGAGATGCAGTGTGTTTGAACAGTAGAATTGTGACATATATGTATGGTTACATAAACTACTTGTGCACCAAAATCATTTTAAAGTATAGTATGTTTTCACATGATCTAGTTAGGTAGGATGAGGCTTGAACCAAACTGAACCGATTACAAAGATACTCCCACTCACTTTTAGTTTGATTACAGAAACTCATCAATTGAGAAACATGGTAGTCTGGATTATTTCTCCACTGTGTGGTGCTATTTTTGTGTTAGTTGTTGCTACAATTAGGGAACTAGGAGGATTGCGTGTTTTATGTTTTCATTACACTTTATGTAAAAGAAGCCTTGGTTTTTTTTCCAATGAGCAACACCACATGTTGGGGGGTACACAAGTGGTGTTGAGATTGACTTCATTTCATTCTTTGTTTCAGAGCCCTCTTGAGCGGCCATGGGGACAATGTTGGGTTCACGTTACTCTAAGTCAACTGTTATGCACTGCATTTTTCAATTTTGTCAATCTTCAACTCATGGTGTGTGGTACCATGTTATCTTTATTGTTTAACCCATCTTTCTTGTTGACTTTTTTCTCATTGATAACAATGAAAAACCAATCCACTGGAGACCACCAAAAAGTATAAACATAATGACTAAAAGAGTGAGTTTATTTGGGTTGCTTGAGTTTTGTTAAACAACACAATGGCCTCTGACATTTGGAAAATGACAAGGCAGCCCCAAATCCAATGTTGCATTTAAATGATCAGTGTTAGCGGTTAAGTGGATTATTTCCCCATTGAACACAAACAAATGCACTTATTTGACACACATGAACATGCTCTCTCTCTCTCTCTCCCCATCAAGGTCACCCACCAGAACCATCATCAGTTCGCTACTGCGACCCTATAACTCTCTGTGTCTCTTCTTTCCTCTATCTCTTTTTCAATCCAGTAACCTCACATATTTTTCTCTCTCGAATTTGAAACAAATTCAAGGCAACCAGTTATTCTTTGAGCTAGAGGTTATGATCAATTGAGTTGAGTTCTAATTAATGAAATTTATTGAATTATTTGCTGACATATTTGAATTTGGTTTAGGATCGGTGGGGATTTTGTGGGCAGTTGGGGTGGTGGTGGGGGGTTTTTGGTGTGATGATGGATTTCAATGGAGGTGGAAATAATGGTTTCCGTGGTGGATTTGGCGTGTTTCAGGTATTGTAGTGGTAGGTCGGTATGGAGGTGGAGGTGGTGGAGTACTGCAAAATTTTGATGGTTTTTGTTGTGGGCCAGGGCAATTTGGGCCGGTTTAGGTATTTGTGGCTGTGGGTAAAGAAAGAGGGGTGGTGAGTCAGCAACTTTGGTGGGTTTACTGTTGGCCAGTATTGACTCGGTGGACTGTAGTGGTGGGTTCACCATTTTCTAGTATTGAGGTGGGTGGATGTGGTTGGTGGTGGTTGTTTATGTTCTTTTGTAGGTGTGCATGTGAAGAAATGTATGTTGACGCCTGACGGTGGTGAGTTGGCTGGTGATGGTTGGGTCTAGCAGTCTAGGTGATGGGGGATGTGTTAATGGCATTTTGATGGATATATTGCATAACTAGTTTCAAATTGTGCAAGTAATTACAGTAAATAGTAGGTTAACACGTTAAATACTAAAATTATTATCAATGGATGGCAATTACTGCCTAATTGTATTGTTATTTCCGTAGTTGGATATATTATCATATAATTGAGTGCTTAAACTGTAATCAGCAACATAAATTATATAACTAATATCAAGTGCAATTAGTAATTAAATTAGAATATATATCTTGATTAATTTTTTCATACAATGGACTGGTGATTTTGTTATTTTAAGTGTAAGTTTGCTTACGCTAGCTGTTAACATAACAGTTACAAACTTCTTTTAGAGAAAAGGGGTTCATCTTTGCATGTTACAACTTTTCCAAAGTAAAGGGTCGTATGATTTTTCGAATGTTAAGAGTCGCCGTGTTATTTTAACCAAACCGTGGCTGCCCGTGTGTAGTTTGTAGGGTTCTTCACTAAAAGTTTTTTGTTTTATCCATTTCTTCTACTGTGTATGGTTCTGAAGTCTGAGCATTGAATATTAGTTTCTGGGAACTCAAACATATGGTAGAGAAATCTTTAGATGGTCATTCTGGCTGCTGAGCCAGGCTCAGGAACTGAGATTATGGGCTTGAATAATTCTACCTAGACTATCTCGAACCTGTCAAGAGCTTGCATTGCAAGACTGGGGTTTCAATGTGGGAGGTCTTTAGTGGTGTGGTGATGTCATGTTATGATTTTCGTTATCCTCCGAATATAATGTTAGTTGCTTAATTATATTTATTCTGTTGCAGAAATGCTGATGATGGAGTAACTGCCTTTGCGTTACAGAAGCTATGCTTCTTAAGGAGCCTCTTATTGCAAATGTTTGGCGACATCGTTATCTTTGAGGAACTTCCGGATTTTCTTTTGCAGCCCCTACATTTGTGGCAATTTTTTCCTCAATCACATTCCTTATTCTTTGATCACCTGGCTAAATCTTTCAACTTTCCTTTTGCTCTAATAGTTCTCTCATGAGAGATTTGTTGAGTTGGCACACCTTTGCTAACTACTTCCAAATTGATCTCGCATTCTCAGATGTTGGGATTGTAGAGCCCTAAAGTCAAACCAATATGTTGTTATTACATTTTGTTTTCTTATATGTTTCATCTGGTACTCTACCTGCATTATCTGTGTATCTGGGCATATCTAACAAATTTGAATTCAGACTTTTCTTAGCATGTTCCAAACTAATGCACTTTGCTTTAGTATTGCATTTATGTGACTTGGCGATGTTGATTCCATTTAAAATTAAGCTGTATGTAAATATGAGCATTTATGTTAACTTCATGGTGTCAATTCCATTTTGAGACTAGGTTGTCTGTAAAAGAGACAAAGCTCATTGTTAGTTCATTGCCTGAGGTTGGATTACGATCATAGTTCAATACTTGGTGTCCAGGTTGGTTCTCATCGGATTCTGAAAGGATCAGCTCTTAGTTTCACCAGCTGCATATGTTGGTCCCATTATTTAACTTCGTGCTGTTCGCTGCAGGACAGCACAATTTATTACTGGATACATGGGTTCTCATCCAATACATGGGTTCGGCCTTTGTACGCTGTTGGGGAAATTTTGCTACCTTTTGAATTTGTTCTTTCTTTTCTTCATTCTGTTTTGATTTTGCTTTTTTATATTTGATGCTTTCCTGCCATACCCATGTTTTTAATTACAAGGATCAAGCATTTTTTCCAATGTAGTTCACCATGTGAGTTAGACTTTTGATTTCCTTTGCAACTCGATGCATGACAATTTTATTGGTGATTATGCCTGTCAGGTTAATTTTGGGGTATTTATTTTCTTGCAGACAACATAAAGACAAGAAGGAAGAAGTGGCAGGGCCAGAGGCTGATCCTGAACGGGATCAGCGGACAGTTTTTGCTTATCAGGTAATTTGGATACATTAAGGAGTTGCTTTTGTGTTTTTTCTTTCAGTTTATTACTGGGGCTTCAGTTACCATATGCTGCTGCCCGCAAATCTGGCAGATATCTTTGAAGGCAGATGAAAGAGATGTGTATGAGTTCTTCTCGAGGGCTGGAAAGGTTAATCCTTGTTCTTCTGATTGTCCTGAATCCTGATATACTTTTTATATATTATCACGTCGATTATCAGCATTATTTCTGTTTGTCTTCTTGGGTAAATCAATATATGGCAAATAAATAAGTAAAATTCAAAGTTGTCAAAGATAACTTGGTGTCTAAGGTGAAGTCCATGGGAAAGTTATAGCTGATGCTGCCTGCCCTTGGCTATCTTTTTTTTTTTCCATGTTTTCCCCTCAGTGCTGCAGAAGGGTTTATTTGACTTCTTTCTTTCCTGGCTTTTAGATGGCTGTTTCAATATGAGTATGCTGCAATTCTACCTAAAGACTCCATTTCGAAGTCAGAAAGTGAGATGGAAATTAAAAGAAAAGATTGGGAATTTCTTATTCTTGTGTTGGTTCTGTTAAGAAACCATAAGGAAATTAAATTGTCCAAGGAAAAGAGAGAAAATTATACGGACTTGAAGAAACCTTTTAAGAAACCATGGAAAACCTTGTAAGAAAAGGAAACCAATTTTTTGTACCTTATTCCTTTGTAGCTTTCTTTTTTCCTTTTTTTGAAAGGTTCTTTTCTTGTCCTTCTTTTCCCTCTATGTTCCTTTTTTTGTTAAGTGCTAGATTCAGTAGAAGTATTACAGGAATAGGTCAAAACTAAACCATATTAGTTAGGGTTATCTTGTACTCAAAATATGAACGTTTTAGATGAGAAATTAAAATGGGATTATTTGGGATGCAGACTTTTTTAAATTCAGCTGATATATAGTAATTATGTGCTCTAGAGTTTTGCATTGTAGGTTGGCAATATCAACTTGTACCTCTTCTTTCTTTTTTATGAATGGATAGATTAAAATCGTTTCCTCCTGGTCCCACCTCGTCTGGTTAACGCCTTTCTGAAGATCTAATTTACAGCGAATCTCTGTGCCTTTTAAATCTACTCTTCAGTTTTGATTACATCGTCAAACAAATCGCTACATTTTGATCAATCTATTGATTAAGTGCTCTAGAGTTCTTTGAGATTTTTGCATTATTTAAACTCTAAAGCAAAAAACCGGCTTCCATGCTAATACGCATGCATTTGCTGCTCTCATTGTGCGTTAACAATGATGACAGCTGAACTTTGACGGGTAACTGTTATTTTATGAGTTATTGTTGTTATTATGCTTCATCTTTATTGTGCTCTTTTTTTTTCGTGGTAAGTGCTTAATCTTTAGTGTTCATAATACCCTTTGATCGTAATTTCAGGTCCGAGATGTACGCCTTATAATGGACCGCAATTCACGACGATCCAAAGGAGTTGGGTAAATATCATCTTTCCTGGCACGTAGTTGAAATCTATTTACATGGATGAGTTTTTATTTCACAATGTAGATCATGAGAATTTTATAGTTTGTAATAGGGTTTTGTCCTCTTGAAATTAACTTCATGATATTTATGCTTTGCATTCTTCAGAAAGAAAAAGGAAAAACAACAGTAAAGGACACTGTCTAGGAATGTAGACCTCTGGTAGAAGATTAGTTGGAAAATTTGCAACGCAGAATATCCTGTTCTGTAGTGGGACCATTTGTCATCTTTCTCAATTGTCATAGCCTAGACACAAAGGCAAAAAATGAGAAAAAGGAGTGGAAGTATTTTTATTATTTGTACAAATGCTCGGGAAAGACTATCACTACATTAAGAGTGTTTTCCAATCGAATTGAATATGAAATTTTCCATGCATTGAGTAGTGTCAAACAGAGGAATTGATGAATAATTAAATAAATATACAAGGGCAGGAAGATTTGACGGGTTGTTTAATAGAGAAGGATTTTTAATAGAGATATTATGCTTTAAAATAAAATTTGTAATGTTTTTTTTTATTTCCCCCCAGACTTATTTGGCTCTTTGCCCGCAATTATTTAGGTTGTATCCCGAGATTGAAGTGATTGAGTTTTGTTGTACATTCAAGCACTAAGGTGCATTTCGTCTTATTCACCGTCAAAATATATGCAACTATACACGAATATATGTATGTAAACTCTAATTTGTTTGATTACTATTGGTGGACGCATGTGTAGAATATATATGTTTGGTGGATGGTTTGAAATGAATAGTATAATAAATCTTTGGTAACAAAAAAAGAAGATAAGTAATTTTAGAGAAGGCATCCAATAATTGTCATATAAAGGGGGAGGGGACATAGAGTAGGGAAAAATTTAATGATTTTGGAACTTTTAGTAATTGTTACTTTTATCTATCAATTATGTATTTATGAATGGTGTTAGATAAAACAATTTATCCAAAATTGTTCAGAAGATGAGATATTGGCTACGAAGCACGGATACGAATACGAGATACGAATATGATACGATCTGAATATAGCGATACGACAAAACGTTAAAAAATAGGATATGGGTACAGCCGGGATACATCTATAAATATATATTTTTTTATATTTTTACTATTATGTAATGACTTAATATTTATAATTTTTAATGATTCTTTAACAATAGTAAACGACATTAATAATTTTTTATTTTTAAAAAGTTATCTATCGTCTCACTATGGTAAATCTACAAAGTAAACATGACTAATTAAATGAATAATAACCAATATTTAACTATATTGTTTGCTTAGAAGTATTTGTCGCTAAGAGTATAGAGTAATCAACTCGTTTAAACTATTTGGACATGTGATAATCTACAATACTTGGAGGACACCTATGTGTCTTCGAAATTATATGAATTTTTGTTGATGTATTGCATTGTATGTGAAATCAAAAGAAAATGGTAAAGATTAAAACTAAAAATTATATATACATATTTGCATATAGAAGTATTCGCGAAGTATCCATATATTTTATTTATTATTAGATACGTTTGGTGTGTATCCGATACGTCTTCTCGAGTATTCGACGAGGATCGTATCTCATACGGTATCCGATATGGATACGGTGACCTTAACGAAGTATTCAGGCTTCATAGGATACTAGGCTCTGAGCTGAATGGTGTCCAGTCTAGTTTATTGATATATGGTTGTTAAAGGATAAAATATGCTTTCAGTAGACATATTGCATATATCTATACAATATGTAGGTTGTACCTAATATTCGCTGATAGTATGTTGTCTTTGGGAGTATTTCAAATGGACTGGATTGTAGCATTGGTTTGTAGTTTTGATTATAAATATGTGCACTGTGGTCTGTGGGGTTATGGATAGACAAATTATAGACCAGAAGGAGAAATAGTTTTGATTGTCAAGTTTCAAATTGCTTACAGAGTGGGGTGAAGCTAGAGTTCTAGACAATGGCAAGGTTGGGGCCATAGTAGTCACAAAATAAGAATAATCTACTTTGAGGGGACACGGACAATGGTATCTACCTCTTTATGATGCATTTAATTGGGCTAAATGTATTGGTATAGTGGTAGGTCAGAAAAGGCATGAACCCAAGTGGGGGAGAGAAGAATATTACAAAAGGAGCTGTGTTGGCTTCGAAAATTGTATCAATAATGGATTGTATTAGGGATAGGATCCAAAAAGGTTTATCATTGTCTACATCTCTAGAATAAGTGTAGATGATGATTAGCGTGAGGGACATATTGTTCTGTATTTCTCACCTTGTAAATAGGGTTGAATTCGTTGTATAAAATTACTATTAGTAATACGTTGATGTTGCCTTTTGGGCATATGGTCTATGGATGTAGACACACTATGCCGAACCACTTTTTTCTTGTTGTTCTTGTTTTCCCTTCTCTTTGATATCTCAAATCCCGTTTGTAGTATAAAGTTCTTCATGGTATCAGAGTAGTCGACCCTCCTTTGTTTTATTTTTCTAAGGAGTTCCACTTTGCTGGCAATTGGATGTTCCTACCAACTGTTGGATCTTTGCCTCATTTTGATTTGCTTAGATCTAAAATCAATGCTTCTGTTATTTAATGTCACAACCATGCTACGGCATCATCTATGTCTTCTACTTCCAAATCAAATTTATGCAGTTGTCTCTTGCTGAGAGAATACTCAAACCAAAACCATTTATCTATGGCTAGTTGGGGTGAAAGGTTGTGTCTTCAGATTTGAAATTGAACAACATTGAAATACATTGGTTGACAACACCATCTACTCTAAGTGATCAATCAAAGTTGGTGACAGGCCACTGTTAGTCTATCCCATGCAGTTTTATCACATCTCCTATCAGTCCAGCCCATGCAAAATTCAAGGCCACCGTTTGTGTTGACATGCATGCATTCCTGGTCCTTACAAGGCTGCTATGGTCATACCTATTTATCAAAGTAGTGGGTATCGAGAATCATCTAATAAAGGAGACTCCATTGTTGGACTCTTATGAGAAGACTCTTGAGAAACAGTGGACTCTTATTAAAGGAGGAGTTTTGTTTGGAAACAAAAAAAAAGGAGAGAAAAGAGACGAATGAAAGGAAAGAGAGCGGGAGAGAAGTAAAAAAATCAAAAAGAAGAAAGAAAGAAAGAAAAACGCAAAAAAAGGTGATTTTTTCTTTGCTTGATGGTAATTTCGTGCACATTCACTCTCGATTTGTTATTAAGAGGGAGTTTAATCACCATAACTACATCATTGATAACTTCATCAAGCTGAATTTTTGGCCATAATCCTTGCATCTACACTGCTGTAATCTCGGTAAAGTTTGCTCAAATATGGAATTGCTTCCAATGGTATCTAAGAGCAGTGAAGTTGCAATATTGACAATCACTCTATTTTCAGTTCCAGGTGGACACTTCAACTCATTCAGTGTACGAACTTGAGGGGAGTATTAGGGATAAGATCCAAAGAGATCTATTCCTATCTACATAGTTAGAATAATTGTAGATGATGATAAGTGTGAGTGAAATATTTATGATTATCTTATGTATTTATCATCTTATAAATAGGGTTGAATTCGTTGTATAAAATTACCATCACTAATACATCGATGTATCCCTTTTGAGGCATTTGGTTTGTGGATGTAGGCACACTGTGCTGAACCACATACTTCTTGTCGTTCTTGTTTTCCCTCCTCTTTACTCTCTCAAATCCCTTTTGTATCTTCATGATAAAATGTAAATAAAGATAAGAAATTGTAGACAGAAATTACGTGGTTTAGCCAAGAACACCTACAACTATGGACTAAAGCCTAATTGGCTACATTTTCTCTTTAATTCTTGGCACTTAGAATAAAAGGTTATACCCTATAGATAGGATGAAGATACAATCAAATTGAGATAAACAAGAATCTAAAAGATAAATAATATTAAAATCTGTTTGGTTGGATTAACCAAACAATATCACTGATCTTATCTTTAACACTTTTCCTCAGGTTGGACATGAAAATGTCAAAGTGTCCAACTTGAATTTGAAGACGAAATGGTCTCTCAAAATGATTTTGATAAATCTGAAAACTCCGTTCAAATTGTCAAACTGCTAACAGCCACTTGAATTGAAATCGGTGAAACTGATAACAGTCACCCGAAATCACCCGAGAGCAGCTTGAATGAAATAGATAACAATTGTTTCTTAAATGGCTGAAGCTGATAACAACCTTGAAATTGTTTTGTACATGGAATGATCCATCATGCAAACAAATTAAATATAAGCACACAATGAACATCATGCAAATGCGAAACGGAAGTGTTATCAAATAAGGTGTGATCGACCCACTCCGATACCATGAAAGAATCTAAAGGTAAAAAATATTATGAAAATTTGTTTGGTTGGTTCCTATGAAGCACATATATTTCAATCGGGGTAATATACCCATATCCGATACATATAAGATATTCACGGATACATATCGAATATTTTTTGCACCTATTAGATAATTAATAAAATATTTATTGTTATTGCCTTATTGAATACTTGTCGAATATTTGGATACACATATCTACCCAGTGGACATGTTTACCTTATATTTAGTGAGGTGGGTTGAATATGAATCATTCAAATGGAAATTCCTTGTTCCAAAATGTTCATTTGAACATGGATCACATGTCCCAGGATTTGTTAATTCTTTACGATTTGTTTGGCCTGAATAATTGAGTTTTTATGGCTTACGTCAAAGCGAAATCTATTGCAATTAAATGCTAAGTAAAAATTGAGTACTCTCGAAGGGTGACATATGTTAGTGATAGGATTGCATGGAATATTGGATTCAAAACCTCACTAAACAGTCCCTACGTCAGCAACATAAATTGTTTTAGCTTAGGATGTGTTTTATCTCTTAAATCTCTCATATCCCTAATATTGTATATATATATATATATATATATATATATATATATATATATATAGACGTAACTTCATAGTATTCGTATCCTACTTTTTAAGATTTTGCCGTATCATCGTGTCATATCCATATCCGTATTTGTGCTTTCTATGTTGGTTCCATCATACCACATGATCTTATATTCAACTGATTGTTTATGCCAGTGTGGTAATTTGTTGGAGATTTCAAATTGGTTAAGGGCATATATCTACAAATAGTGTCACAAAATTTGGAAAGGACTTATCTACTTTATGGTCTAGACATTTCAGTTGATTATTTTACTGGTCTAGACTGGAGTATGTCTGATCAACACCTTAACTTCATGATATATATGTTCTGTAGGAGTATTCTATTTACTGCAGGTTGTATATGGTTCCATTTAGTGGGTTTGAAATCTGAACCTTCAATATTTCTTTTCAGTTATTCCCATCATTATTTACCCTCCCACCTCCCACCCAAATAAGGGAAAAAAGTTTTTTTTTTAAAAAAAATTATAGTGGGAGTATGAGTGTACAGTATAGTTTTGCTAAATTCATTATTATGTTCGGATTCTATTTCATTTTCTTAACTCATTGTCAGGATGCTAATATAGATCTCTTGACAGGTATATTGAATTTTATGATGCAATGTCAGTCCCTATGGCAATAGCAATCTCTGGTCAACTTCTTCTTGGTCAGCCGGTAATGGTTAAACCATCAGAGGCTGAAAAGAATCTTGTTCAATCCACTACATCTGCTGCTGGAGGAACAGGGGGGCTTACAGGTCCGTATTCTGGGGGAGCCAGAAGGCTGTATGTTGGCAATCTGCATTTCAATATCAAAGAAGACCAACTTCGTCAGGTTGCAACCACCCCATTCTGAAATTTGAGTTAACCAGATGTATGCTTTTACAATATTTTTATTTTATCTTATTTTATGTGATACAATCCTATTTTAAAATGATATGTTTTTTCAATCATCTCAGGGGTTCTCGCTGACATTTTAATTTGGTGATGATTGTGCACTATTGACCAAATTTTGTCATATGATGTTCCTATTTTTACATTCCTTGGAGTTCTAGAGCAAATTCCTTGGAGCTCTCTTTTCTTTGGCAAAAGAGCTTATTCTTTTTGGTTTTCTAATTTCCAGGTTTTTGAAGCATTTGGTACTGTGGAGCTTGTGCAGTTGCCTACTGATCTTATTACTGGGCATTCCAAAGGTTATGGTTTTATTCAGGTAAGAGTGGTTGAAAAAACATGGCCCTTGCTGGAGGGACCTGAAGATGCTGTTGTTGCGTTATTAGTGAGTTGATCTAGGCGAAAAGCAGATATTGTCAGGGTAGTTATGTTAGGAGTGAATCTAAAGTTGGGCCTGGCAATTGTTGGACCATTGTAAAAGAAACAATTGTGTTGACAACAAATGACCCTTTTGCTCTGTGCTATTCCAGCATAGGTTTTTAGCTAATAGCTTATGTGGCTTTGTCACAGTTTGCACGTCTTGAGGATGCGAGAGCCGCACAGAGTTTAAATGGAAATCTGGAGATAGCAGGCCAACTTATCAAGGTAATTCCACTCAATTCTTCATACGTCAAGAATATTAGATCCCATGCATCATTAAGTGCCTTATGGCTTATTGGGAAGGAAAAAGATTAAACCTTTCAGGGCCATTGATTTGCTGTCAAAATTATGTTGAAAGCAAAAATTAGGGTAAGAGATAAAAGCTTTTGGAGCTATTGATTTTCTGCTGTGAAGTGATGTGGAATTGGAAAACCAGGTTGTTAGTTAGCTAAAACAAATCATAGAGACATGTAATTGTAAGAAATGCTATATTTAGATGACATGTTACTGATTGAAAGACTTGGTAATTTTTGCCTTGTATTTAACATCTCAATTGAGAGAATGTTGGATAGTGATTGATCACGAGAAGTTATATTTTTTTATGCTGACATGAAATTGAGATGGTACTAGTTTCAGTATGCTGGCTATCACTAGGTTACTAGAAGTCTAGATCCAGGGTGTTAGCTAATGTGGATGTACTGAATAGGAGTTGCACCCAAGTGGATGGAATTAATCTCACGATGTTGTTCAGAAAGAACTTGCTGCTTCTAGAGAAGTATCAATGACATAAGCAATCAAGTGTCGTGAATGGGTCTTCTACTAAGAAACATAACTTAGGGTAATAATTGCTCAGATTTCTGTTTTTTGTTCTGTGTCTTTCTGTGTACTCCTATATGATTGTTTGTCATGAGTCTTAGTAGTCAGATATTGATATATGGTCTGAAATGCATTTCATTCTTATGACATATCTGGCATGTTGTTCTTTTTCATTCTAGGTTGCATTCTTCTTCTGTCATTTCTGCATCCGTGTCGTGGTTTAAATGGGTACACCAATAATAAAGTTGATTGTACTGGAAATCAAATATTCATTGTAAATCCTAATTCTCACTTTTTATGCAGGTATCAGTTGTTACCGATCAATCTGGAATGCAAGATGTTGGTGCAAATACTGGTGACTTTGATGATGATGAGGGTGGTGGCTTGGTTAGTAATGCTTTTGGGCTTTTATAAGAAAGAAAGATGGTAGATGGAGGTGTTATCAAACTTATTCTGTTCTGTGTTGTTCTGTTAGAATTGTTATCATTTAGTTGAGCATGCACATTATTTTGCCCGACTTCGTGTGGAAGCTAAATAAATGTATAGGGGCTTCTTTTCCTCGTAACTTGGAAAAGAAAATCAAAGCACGCAGAACTTACAAGAATTGACAAAATCCTGTCTCAGTAAAAAAGATCAAATTTTCGGTGTTAAAATATGATATCACATTAAGTGGTCGGACTTGTTAAATCCTTACTCCTTACACTCAGCTACTGCTCTTGGAATGTGATCCAGGGATTCAACAAATAACCAACCAGTAAACAGTAATATCTGTGGAGAAGACACTTGTGAGAGAGAGAAAACACCAGCAAGTGAGGCAATTTTAATTACTACAGTGACCTTATGGCTTCTGGCAGTCCAGGATGTGATGAGGTACTACTGGATGAGTAAAAAGGTTATTTGGGTAAAAACAAAAGTGGAAAGTGGGATTTTTTTTTGGGTAAGTGGAAAAGAAGGATATGGTGGCAGGTTTGGGTATACATGCACGGTTCTTGGAAAGCTGAGGAGAGGGGGGCCATGGCCCCCTTTGGTCTCAACGTGGTTCCGTCTCTGGGGGCTGATTGTCAGCAATTGCAGAACACATTTTTGTCACAAGTATTTTTATGTGCAGATGCATAACCACAGCTACTTATTAAAAATCAATATCAAATACTCTCCATGTTTCAAGCTGCTCAGTCAAACATTTCACTTGTGTTTTGCTCGTATTTAACCATTTCACCCTTGTTTAGCACATGTTTAACCAGATATTAAGTTGCCTTCTTTGCTTTCAAAATCTGTAGCTTTGTCTGCTGTGAGGCAGATGAAGCTGTTTCAGGACACCATTCAACTTTAAAAGCCGTTGATAAGTATCCTCATGGACAGTGAAAAGGGTTAGCCCTAAGGCTTGTGGCATAATGAAGTCCTTTGTGAGGATTGAATTGTTAATGATCTGCAGTTGCATAATTGCATTTGACAAGGGTTTTCTCTTTCATTATTCATGCATGCTGAAATGTTATGCTAAACTATTGTTCTTAGCTGCTCTTGTGACGTTCATGAGTTTAAATATTGAAGTTTAAAACAGTTTAAAGTGTAACTAAGTTTTGTGGTCAAAGAACTGTGTTTATTTAATTTTGTGTGTGCCATCATAGTTGATGTTTGAATCGAGGCACCTAAAATGATTAACATTTAGGTCTCTGCATTGTTCAGTCTCAGATATCTTGTTCTTGTTCTTTAGAAATTTATTCGTCTTTTCATATTCTTATTCTGGCATGTTTTATGTTTACTTGTCTGGTTGCAGTATATATATTTATTCTGTTGCATCTTAGGGTGTTCACATGCTCAACTTGTTACTGTGAGGCTTCACTGACCACCTTTAATATGGTTTTCAGTCTCTGAATGCACACTCTCGAACACTTCTGATGCACAAGTTGGACCGTAGTGGAGCTGCTACGAGGTTTGACTCTGCCAGGTTTCTAATTTCCATCCAATAGGGATCCTTTATCATATATTTTTTGTCTTCTACAGCATTTCTGGTTCATTGGGCACTCCTGTTGCTAACAGTCCTGGCCTTCCCCTGCCCACAGCACCAATTATTGGTGCCACACCTGCAGTGCCTCCTCTTGTGCAAGCTCCTGTTCCTATGGTTGCAGGATTGCCCGGTACAGGTCTTGCAATGCCTCCTGTAACTGTTCCTTCTGTCGCTATCATTGGGGTCCCAAGCGAATGTTTATTGTTGAAGAACATGTTTGATCCAAAATTAGAGGTTGGTGCTACAAATCTTGCTTTAAGGAGCTAGTTTTTCTTGCTTCTGCTGCTTGTTATTTTTAATCTATACAATTCTCTGCAGATGGAACCAGATTTTGACATGGATATTAAAGATGATGTTAAGGATGAATGTTCTAAGTTTGGGACACTAAAGCATATTTATGTGGAAAAGTGAGTTTCTTTTGCTGTTTACACTATTTTATTTTTTTATCAATGTTTTTTTTCTGGGTTCTCAAACTGCCTGCGGTTATTTGTGCAATTTTAGAACTGTTCTATTATTTTTGGCATGTAGTTGGATATGAAGCCCTTCCTACTTCAGCTGGGCAGAATTTTTTTTTTGCTTATCTCTGGAAATATGCCGAGTTATTTGCTTGTATCATTTGTTATTACATTTGTTATAATTGTGATGCTTCCATGTCCTGTCCTTGTATCTGAAAAGCATGCACCATGTATGAAGGTGTTCTTTGGGTTTACTAATCTTAGAACTTAATGGGTCTGTTATAGTGTTGAATGTTTTAGTCTTTTTAATTGAAGTTGGTATCAGTTGATGTGGAATTTATAGGTGCATCAACAATGAATTGAATTTTAGTGAATATGACAATGATCTTTTTCTACACTTTTGCATGAAGTTTGCATAGTTTGCAGAAAAAGAAAGTCTTGACACAATCCTTTGAGTTGTTCTAGCATCAGTAACAAAAGATGAGATCCTATAATCAATTGTCAGAACATGATAGCATATGTTCAGTTATTGGGGCTGCTTTCAATTTTTTTCCCTTCCGGTGGACATCTTGCTATCTTCAGGTCAGATATTTTAAGGTGTTTTAAGAAACTTATAATCCTACGAATCAGTATGTGTCAACTAATAGGAGGATTGATATCATGTGTCATACTACGTTGTGGCATCATTTGATACTTTGAGACCACACTCCCTGGAGGACTAGTTGCTGTTGTTAGTTGATGTCGGATGATGGTTTTAGAGTTTTGAGATTCTTACAACCTAACTTCAAAAAGCTGAAAATTGTGCGAGTCTTGAGTATCAACTCAAAATGACCCTATGTAAGAGCTTCATAAATATGTATATCTTAGCTTACGGAAATTAGATTACATATCAGTCGGTTTTCATGCTTATCAATCTGTCAGTGCCGCAACGATACTGAAATCACTTGGTAAACTGAATTTTAAAACCCACAGCTGCTTAAATGTTCAAGATCCCAAGTCAGCCCCAGGTGGGACTGACTCAGTTTGCATCTTTGAGGGTAAATAATGCATGTAGCATAAAACATTTTTATTTGAGATGATTTTGTGGTCAAGTTTATGACTGATATTTCCATTCCCCTTTGGAAGGAGCATGCTTTATCTAAAATAAATATTGGGTGATAATTGATTTTTCCAATATCTTGAATCAGGGTCCATGCTTTATTAAGAAGAACAACCAACTGGAGATTTATATTTTATTCACCATTCAGAATCTTGATTTGGCAACTTTTATAACGCTCTGAGCGCCCCCCCCCCCTCCAAAAAAAAAAAATACGGTTTGCAATTTATGCATTTATGTCAGTGCATCTTTCTCTTGTAAGCAGTTGAAAGATACAGCATGGCGCCCAGAAGTGGTACTGGACATCAATATACTGCACTAGAGATGCTATGCTATTTCTTTGTATCTTTTAATGTTTGGACTGTATACATTAACATGGCTATTGCACATGGGTGTGTGTGTACATCCTGCACCACTGTTCTTGATACTCAACCTTGATGTACATTTTCAAGGTTGGATTATGTATGCATTTTTTTTTCTTTTTGAGTCCATGATTTTTCCCAAAACATTTCACTCTTAGAAATGATATGCGTTCAGCTGACCACTTTCTTTGACAAACAGGAATAGTGCTGGATTTGTATACTTGCGATTTGAAAATACGCAATCTTCCATAAATGCACAACGTGCCCTCCATGGGAGATGGTTTGCTGGCAAGATGATCACTGCAACCTTCATGGTAATTTCATTTTTTCGTCCTTTGTTGTTTCTCCCCACCAACACCCCCCCCCCCCACCCCCCCAAAAAAAAAAATTACATTTCAATTCTTTATTGTCAATTATCACCCAAATGAAAATATAAAATTTATTGACACTCGTGCAGCTGCCCCAGAATTATGAGGCTAAATTTCCTGACAGTATATAGGATGCGGCAGTGCAAATGCAATCCGAGTTAAATAGTTTTACCTGCGTACATGCTGGCTTAGATGGCTTCTGAATTGTATTAATTTATTGTTCACACTAATATGGACGAAGGGATGAAGTCTCTTTTGTGTAATGAAACGAAAGTAGATATTCTTGGTTGCAGCGTTGTATATGAACCTAAATGAAGCAGACATGTTTGCGTAGACATTCATGAAATTTTGCTGACTACATAAACAGACTGATTGCTTTGAGTAGTTATAGTAGCCTTGTCAGCAAGATGCACTTTGCTGTTGGTTCCTCTACAAGGGCGGGATGAGCCTGGCTTGTGCTAAAACTTAGTGCTTGGACCAGAACTCAGTACAATGGTCTGCTCCTGGTTTCGGAAATCATGTACTACATTCCAGGGTAATGTCTGTTTCTTCCTCAATCTTTAAGCCAAAAATGTGTGAAGCCATATGCTACACTTCCTTTTTTTTTTTTTTTTTTTTCTATTTGTTGATAGAAATGTAGGACTACAGTCGCGCTTCTCCATTCGGTTCATGGTTACGCCTGTCAAAATCCTGCTTGGCTCAAGACTCGAGTTGTAAGTCTCATTGGTAGTGAATTATGATTACAAATGCTTAACCATATTCGAAGAAAACTTGTTAATATTCCTAGTGAAGCACCAGGCTATACTCGTGCTTGTATTGACCCAATTAAAACCATCTATTCTGAGACTAGATTTTGATAGGAATGATTAAGGGGTTATTTTCTCTCTGTTTTATTGCTTGATCTTACTTTGAGACTTAAAAAGAGTGGGGGTTAAAATACCAAGGATAATTCAAGTTTTAATAAAGACATCAGATGCTTTGAGATCACATTTTGGCAATCTCTGAGAGTTAGGACAGAGAGATTTATCTGTCGTGAATATTTTAATTTTAGTGTGGTTGATCCGCTTTTGACTGGACTGAGAATGAGATTAGTTAAAGTATATGTAAGTTAACTCAAATATCGCTGACAGTTGAATCAAGAGAGTGTGTGGGGAGTCACAAACTGTCCTGTTAGAGCTTGTATCAAAACTATATGTCCATTGGGGAAGCCCTCTTTCCCCTCCAGAGGAGGCTTCCAACGAGTAAATACTACTACAATCATGTCTCGGTAGGGTTACACATGTGGTCGCCTTTTTATTTACCTATAAAAACTATATGCCCATTAGCTTTGTTAATTTGGATATGAAAAGGCCTTTGAGGCAACCGCAGCTGGTAAAGCCTTTGGAGTTTGGAGGCCTTTCTTGGACACAGGCGTGTCTTCATCAGAAGTAAAAATATGCGAAGATGAAGAAGAAAATTGCACGCTTTCTTAAGCAAAGGACTAAAAAAGACCCATACATCCCTCATCCTAAGTGGCAAGTTATGATTGGTTCTCAAGATATTGTGCTTGCGTCTACTGGGGTTCTCTTTTCTTCATTCAGAACTGGGCCAGTTGGCCGAAGGGCTCAAAAGAACCAATTACCAACCAAAGCCCACTACCTATTTGGGTAAATTATAATTTATACCCTTAAAGTATATACTTAATTTTTATTTGGTCCTTAAGTTTCAATTTTAACAATCAAATCCTTAAAATTTTAAGGGAACTTCAATTTAATTCTTATATTCAAAATCACTAATTTATTATTATAAAATGACCTTTCGTGATAAATACGTGACTTGGGTAAATAAATATATTTGTCTATTAAAAAATCTTCTATGCATAAACTATAAAAATTTATTTTATCTTATTTGATTTTGAGAAAAAAAAAAAAGAAAGTAAATCCAAAAGACAAAAAGATACAAGGTAAAAATTTAAAAGATTTATGAGACTAATTTTTATTTTGTGCCAAACAAATAAATCTTTATAAGCAACTAGGTTAAAATGCTAAGAATGATCACTTAGGTGATAGTTTAGTTGACTTCTATAGAGGGTAAAAGTCTCATCCTCCTCCAATAATCATGGGTTTGAATTCACTTGAGGTCCTTGTGAACAAGATATCGTTGTAGGAGAGTTTGCACTCGGTGGTGCTGTGGTAACAGACTCGATTATCTCAAGTTAATAGTTATGTTTAAAATTAAAAATTCTATGACATGTGAGATTCTCAAGGTAAGGGTTTGGGGTTGCTACGCCTTATTACCCCTAACCACCTCTTTTTACCAGAAAAAAATTTAAAAATATAATTGTTGTAATTAGAACTTTAAAGATCAAATTGAAATTAAGTGCATATTCTAAGGGTATAAGTTGTCAATTAGCTTTGGTTTTTTCCTTGGATGTATACATATCCATGTTTCAGAAAATTCACTCTTCTTGACTTGTAGTGAAAGAAATTGATCGAAACCTCAGTTTACCAGATCAAAACGCTTCCTATTGCTTCGTTTCCTCATAATTCGAGGTAAAATTCTTGAAATCTTCGATTCGTATCATCTTCTCAGTTTTCATTTTGATAGTGATTGTCTGTGTTTTTTTTTTTTTTTTTTAGCATTTCTCAGATTTTCAGCAAAATGACTCAAGACGTTGAGATGAAAGAACAGCGGCCTGCTCCTTCAAACTCTGTTACATCCACTGGTCCCTCGACTATGCAGCGTAAGAAGAAACAGTTTTATATCTGTGTGAAGTTTCAATTCTTAGTTAAAATTGATTTTTTTTTTGTGCTTTCTCTGTGGAAATATGGGGGATTTTAGATTTGAAGGAGATTGCATCTCTTATCGAGACTGGTTCGTATGCGCGCGAGGTTCGTCGGATTGTGCGCGCAGTTCGATTAACCATTGCATTAAGGCGGAAGCTGAAGGCTTCCGTGATTTCTGCATTCCTGAATTTTGCCCTTGTACCTGGATCCGATGTGCACAGTCGCTTATCATCGTATCTTCCAAAGGTAGCTTATAATCTGTTTTACTTTCTGGAAAAAAAAAAAAGAGAAGAAACTACTAAGCTGTTTGAATTCGGGAAGTTTTGCAGTTTTTTGTAAGAGTAATGCTATATGAACTTAAAATATAAACTTAAAAATTAGACTTGCTAATCTCAACCATTGATTTCATTGTAATTTCCCAGCTGAAAACTGAAAATCATGTTTGAAATAAGGAGGAATTGGACAGTAATGCTTTGTAGTCTAATACATAAATGAGTTGCTTGCAATGGCATGTACCAATTGGTAGACTAAACAAGAAATGAACTAGGATTGTGTCATGATGGAATGATATCGCGGATTCAGCAAGGGTGTATCTGCTGTCCTAGACATTTTTCTTATTTGCTACTCATTTTGAGAAAAAATTTTGCATTTGACTATTACATCAGTTGGGAATGAGTCCATGTTCGCTCTATATATTTTTTCGTTTCATTTTTGTGTATTATGATATTCTAAGAATCTAAGATCCTATAATCTTGTTAATACTGTACTTGTCTAGAAATGCCGCACATTCCATTACTGTTGAGGTTGCTTAGTTCTGTAACTCCATCTACATAACAGTATGAAGATCTGGTACTTGCGTTCTCAACCTTACTAATGGTTTGTTTTCTTTTTTTTTGTCACATGTGTTGCATCATTCACTTTTTTTGGTAAGTAAAAAATAATAATGTGGTTGCATTCATGTGTAACCTTTGTCTTCACTAATATATATTTATGGCCACTTTGTTTTTGAGATATTGGATCATTATAACAGAATTTGATTACCCCAATATTTTAATTATCAGCTGAATTCTATAGTAACAGCCTCTCTCTCTCTCTCTCTCTCACACACACACACACACAGATGTATACCATGTTGACATTGATCTGAACGTTTTGGTTTGAAAAGAGTATAGGAAGTGTACGCTTGTTTAGAGTATAAAGACAGGTTAACTATCATAGCATTTTACAATTGTATAGCAAAAGTAGTAATTCTAATGGCATCTGTAATACTAATTGATTAGTCCATTAGGAAAAAAAATAGAAGTACATTATTTGCCACATTTTAATCCTAGTTTTACAAGCTTTTAACTTTGTTTACAGGAAGATGAGCATGATATGGAAGTTGATACCGCCTCATCTACAATGCAAGCAACTGTGAAACACTCTTTGCTAGAGCTCGAGATTTATTGCTACTTGCTTGTGCTAATATTTCTTATTGATCAGAAGAGATACACTGAGGTATAATGATATGTGACTTCATCCCTCAGATAGACCTGCATAGTCTTTGATCTTGTATTTTTATGTCTTCTAGTGCTTGCTTTTGTTGTCTTCAGGCTAAAGCTTGTTCATCTGCAAGCATTGCCCGTCTGAAGAGCTTGAATAGGCGGACTGTTGATGTTCTAGCATCCAGGCTCTATTTCTACTACTCCCTTAGCTATGAAGCGACTGGCAATCTTGCTGAAATTCGGGGGTGAGGTTTGGCACTGCATATTTTAGCTTGCAGCCATATATGAGGATTCTGTATATTCTAGAGTGCTGAATGCATACATATGTGGCGACACACTGTCGGACGAAGTAGCACTTTAGAGCTGAATACTATTCATTCTAATTTCTTGACATTCATTCTTTGTCAGACTTTTTATGTCTTATTCGTTCTCCTTGTATTTTTTTTGGTCTCTGTCTAACTTAAACTCTCATTCATCAGTAACCTTCTTGCATTACACCGGATTGCAACATTGCGACATGATGAGTTGGGGCAGGTTTGTTGCCAATTGAAACAGCAATTACATGATGTCATGGTACTGGCATCTCATACTTTGTATGATGGCAAATATGCAGGAAACACTTCTCAACCTGCTGCTTCGGAATTACCTCCACTACAATTTATATGATCAGGCAGAGAAGCTGAGGTCAAAGGCACCTCGTTTTGAAGCTCACTCAAATCACCAAGTAATTCTTAACACAATTGTCTGTCTTTTTTAATGCACAATACTGTTGTATGCACCTGGTGTAGTTTTAATGGGATGATTGGTTGCAGCATATGACAGCTGTCTTGCGTTGGACATTAATGATTCTACATGACCTTTTTTCTTCTTCTCTTTTTTTCCAGGCGATCAGCGCCCTCATAGTTATTTTTAACATGTTTGATGCAAGGTTGTGAGCTACGGACATTCTGATAGAATTCATAGCAGGACCTGAGCATCAAGGTTATACTGTGTATGTATGTAGAAATATATGGGAAGAAACGAGAAACTTAGGAATATGTTAGTATTAGATTAGAAGGTTAAGCCATAAAAGCGTGAGTTTTTAATCATAGTAGTGGGAAACTTTGGTGAACAAACTATAAAATTTAGCATAACCTACACAGTCACTGGCAAAACACGAGGCCCCCTGTCATTTTGGAAAATGACACGGGTCCTCTTGAGTTTTTAGTGTTGGACATCAATGAGATATAAGTTTTAATTCCACATTTTTCTCCATTTGATGACTTTTAAATATGTTTTCTCAAGTAAATAAGAGGTAAACTAGTAATTACTCTACACTGTTAAGTAATTATTCTAGGCACTGTTGACAACTTCCACTCAAAACTCCAATGGTATCTCTGTGTCCTTTTCCAAATGTTAGGGGTCTTCATGTTGTTTTATTAGAATTGTAGGGGTATCATTATAATTTTCCTGACAAATTTGAAATTTTGGTTACTATCAAAAACCTGAAATAGTGAATTATTGAACCTTTCTGGTTACATGGATGTCTGCTGACTACTTTCCCCTTTACCATATGAAGGGGAGAATGGGAGGTGGTTTTGTATTTCTGCGAAATGCTTAGATTATCTATCCAATCCATTGTCTTTTTATAGCATTTTTCAGTTCAGCAAATATTGATTCACAAAGGTACATAAAGAGTGGAACTTTTAATAGTTCAGCTGCTCTGTGTGAGTGTTTGGGATTGACGCCAATGAAGAGGCCCTAACATAATTTGTGATTAATGCATTCTTTTATGGCTTGATTCATGCCTGTTTCATATCCACTCTTTGAATAAAATGTTTAGTCTCCGTATCTGCTTGTTGTAACCTTGTCTTTCTGTTCTTTCAGTTCTGCCGGTACCTCTTTTACCTTGGAAAGATTAGGACAATTCAGTTGGAGTATACAGATGCAAGAGAGTCCCTCCTCCAAGCTGCTCGGAAAGCCCCTGTTGCAGCTCTTGGGTTCCGGATTCAATGCAATAAGTGGGCTGTGATAGTCCGCCTACTGCTAGGAGAGATCCCTGAGAGGACTGTTTTTATGCAGAAAGGCATGGAGAAGGCTTTGAGGCCATATTTTGAGCTTACAAATGTAAGTCTGGTTGCTCAAACTTTAACATTTTCCTTGTCAACTACATTTCTCCCTCGTAGTCTTATCAAGTTCCGAGACATATTGGGGCTAGGTTGTGCTGTTTGATTATGAATACGTGGCTTAAACAAATAACTTTCTTACCATTACAAAAATAAGGTCTTTTTTGGAGTAGTGGTAAATGGTAACGCATATGCTGTTCATTTGTGCACAACATGTCCTCCATTAGGTCTGCCATTGATTTTCGATATGTGGGCCTTTCAGGCTGTTCGAATTGGAGATTTAGAGCTGTTCAGAAACGTTGCTGAGAAGTTTTCGAGCACTTTCAAATCGGATGGGACCCACAACTTGATTGTTAGGCTGCGGCATAATGTCATAAGAACTGGGCTCCGAAACATCAGTATCTCATATTCCCGCATCTCATTGGTTGATGTAGCCAAGAAGCTGAGATTGGACTCTGCAAACCCTGTTGCTGATGCTGAGAGTATCGTAGCCAAGGCAATCCGTGATGGTGCAGTGGATGCAATGTTGGATCATGCAAATGGGTGGATGGTATCGAAGGAGACTGGGGATATTTACTCGACAAATGAACCTCAAATTGCATTCAACTCAAGGATTGCTTTCTGCCTCAATATGCACAATGAAGCAGTGCGTGCTCTTCGATTTCCACCAAATTCTCACAAGGAGAAAGAAAGTGCTGAGAAGAGGAGAGAGAGACAACAGCAGGAGCAAGAGCTTGCCAAACATATAGCTGAGGAGGACGACGATGATTTCTAATGATGTCCACTGGCATTTGGATACTCTTTGTGAGCATCTTCCAGTGCTTTCTCGTTCTACAGGGATATTTTGCTTTCCAACGACAAAAACGACTATCATCTGTCATAGCTGTTGATTTATTTTCCCATGGTGCTACTGTTCCTGTTGTAAGTCTGAGCAATGACTCTTGTGCTCTTTTGAATTCTATTTGGACTCCTGCCCCCGTTTATCATCCTTCTAATAATTTCTTTTGTTTTTGCTGCATTGAGAGATCAAGTTGATGGCAAACCTCTCTTTCTTCTTTTTTTCCGCAACACAGAAACTAGAGAAGAGAGCCACCAACGAGGATTAAATTTAGAACATTTAAGCTTATAATTTGCCCCAACTTAACCCGACCTCACTAGACTGTGTTAAGCCTCTATTTCTTGTTAGATTGATTGAATAGTAAACAAAATATTTGCTACAGGGAGAACTGGCACACAATTACTCTGTAGCAATGTCACCTCTTGATTTTCTAGGGAATATCGGATGCCTTTTCCCTGACTTCGTGAATGCCTTTTATTTTATTTTTCCCGCGTGAGGAGACATGTTCCCATGGGCTCACATCAATAAAATCCTCCTGGAGAGAAAATGGGGAAACGACCAAAATCACAATGGGTTCAATAGCATTGAAAAAAAAATATTTCTGGCATTCGCCTACAGCTAAAATGTCCGTGGTACAGAAGTCAGACAAAGTAGTTTGGCAATTCCTTGGGGAAGATGGGTATGTGGTGCTCTCATGGACATTGTCCAAATTTCTTTTAGCTTCCATGACAAAAAAAATGTGGCTATGAATCTCCAAAAATTCAGAAATAAATTCTATCAAGCTGGGAGAAATAACACAATAGCTTCAGCTCTCGTACAATTTTGATTTTGAGTCCTCAGGGTAGAGCAGCATATGTTACAAAATCTGTTTAAATGATTTATCTCGGCCTCAATTTGATTGAGTTACTCCAACTACAAATTTAGCTGCAAATAAACGTACGTGTACCAGGGGAAAGAAAAAAGCAGTTTCCACCAGTTCAATGGAGGAGGACCAGAAAGTTTCAAGTCTTTCACCAGTGGCAGTATGTCACACAGCAGAACTGAACCCAAATGACTTGACTATGTTACTGACCCTTTCAGCAAAAGTTCTGGAGGTTATCTTTTTACCTGGAACATGAAATGGGTTGGAAACTGCATCCACATATGCAGCATGGAACCTCCCGAAAAACTATTTTAGTAGTTTTCATCAAAACAAAAAGCGAAGTTAGATTCCATGTTTAAAATTTTTGTTGATATATCCTATAACCAAAAAAACTAAAAGAAGAAAAAACAGAACCAGCATATACAGTTAAAACATATTCAAAATTCCAGAAATCCCACTCAATTTGGTCAAACTAGTGTCCCAACCAGAAAAAATGCAACAAATACTAAGGATCATCATATGTGTGCTGAGGATGGAACACCATAATTAGTGCATGGAACAAGAAGGTTCACATGGATTGTATGCACAATAACGGAACAGAACCAGCAAACTTCTCAACATAGAAGTGGTAATGCAAGTTGAGTTCGGATTGGCCACTGAGGACTGAGGAATATCACATCAATTAGAAACGGTAGTTTCGCTCAGTGTCCATAAAATTAAATGCTAGATTGATTTAGAAATCAGACCACAACTCATTAGGGTGCCTTTGAGTTACCAAATTAGCATTTCCTCCAATCCTACCATCCTCCCCAAAAACAAGTCCAGGCTATACAGATACCGATGCATATACCTCTTCAAGAAAAAGAAAGGAATGCCCTCAACCAACCACCTAATTACACTATATAGATTTTTGTGTGTTTGTGCGCGCGCGCACATGTAAGAGTGCGTTTGTATGTATATATACCTGAACCCTGTGAGAAGCTCAACAAATTCCTGTAAATATTGTGGAATTTTCTTCTCCCTGCCCCTGTTTTGTTATAGAAGAACCATGGAATACTGTAAGGCAGCTTGAACTCCTGTGGAAATGCCTACAGGGTTTGTGCGGGGGTGTGTGTGTGTCTCTCTCTCTATCTCTCGAAGACTGAGGTCATTGGTAGAACAGTTTTTTTAGATGTAAGGAGGAAGAGCAAAAAATAATAACCACCTGCTCTTAGAATGCTCTGTTGCCAGGCATACTGGATGCTCAGTTGTCCCTGTCAGGGTTTTACTGGGCCATGTCTATGATACTGTGTCATTTATTTAGTTGTTCCGTCAGTGCCTCAGTGGGTAAGAAAGGCATTGAGTGGTTTTGACTGAACTGTAATTTTGCCTTAAAAGTTTCTTAAGAGGGTAGGGTATCTAGGTAAGCTTACCTGTGATGTTAACAGATGTTCTTTATTTCACAAACACACACAGATATATACAAATACATATATATAAACACACACAAAAATAAATGGGTGTGTGCATTATAGCGTTCTGCTCATCAGAATAAAGTATATAACAACATGACGACAGCTTGAAGTAACAAGACTGAAACTACATCAGTGCACAATAACACAGTAATACTCACATTTCTCACATCTGCATCTCGGACATCAAGATCTGTCGTTACCAATATGAACTTCACTTTCGTGTTAGTCAAATAACCATACCTGCAGACAGTGAACAGTATGGTGAAAATATTGCAGACACATGGACTGAAGTATGCAAATACAAGGACACAAATCCATTTATTTTTCTTCTTTTTTTTGTGTATATCAATATGCGTGATCCCTTAAGGTGACTGGTAGCTTGATAATGAGAAGTGAGTTGGCTTTTCCCGGGACGAATAGCTCATTCATTACTTGATGTAGAGATTTCTCTGCCCTATGTATCCTTTTTTTCTGGAGCTTGTGTTTAAAGTCATGGTTTTGTTTTGTTAGGATTTTCATATCTGCCTTCCCTTCCTTTTACTTGCAACCCCACGTTTCTAATATCAACGTGACCTTTATGGTAGGCCTCCCCCGAATAACGAAATAATTTTAACTACATGGTGAGCTGCTCCTCCCGACAATGGTACTACAGTCTGCAAGCTCCAATTCAAGTCGTTCCCTTTTGTGGATGTCTCAAGGCCGATCTTCTTGGATCTCTTTCATCTGAATAAGGTATGGCTAGACGCCTCCCCTGTGCCCTTCATTCTGAAGGAATGGTATGTGAGTCTTGGAGTAGCCAACTAAGCATATGATAAAACCACAAGATACTTGCACTTTATAGTTTTCGGTTGGATAAAGTAGACCAAGGAATGTCTCATTGAGCGTTGGTCCAGATTTTTTTGGGTTGTTCACTGCAATATAACCAGGCAAATGACAAAAGTCAAAATTTTTTGCATTATAAGCACCATTAAAAAACAAACTGGAGTGCCAAATGACTCCATTGTCTCTATAAGGTAATTAGCCTCTCCATGAACCATTGGACGAGTAGTTGGCAAAACATAACAAGATTCTTATGAATCAATAATTTTTTTCTACCAAACAAAAGAATTATATTGATGAGAACGGATTGTATCTAGAAAGCACGGATACTTACTAGAGGGGTGCCGTGGTAGTGTCGGATACACATCCATGGCCAGCATAGCAAAATTGATTTTTTTTTTCAGTAGAACATGGCCATGACATGGTCAGGATATTTTTTTTAATCTCAAAACTATTAACTATTAAGAGGGGTGTAAGATTTCTTTATTTTGTTTTTATACTTTTTGTTATTTAATTTATAGTATGAATGTTAATGGATGTAATGATGTTTGATGAAAATGGTAGTTTATTTTGATCTATTTCAATTTTAATAATAAAATTAATATTTGCTAGCTCTTATTATGAATATTTTTTATAAAATATGCTTTGTTTTTAATATATTACAATTTTGTTATTATCTAAAAAATATATAATATTATTTTAATTAATTGTATCTTTGTTATACCCATGTCTTATATTTTCGAATTTTGACGTATCTTTGAGTCTGTATCGTATCAAATTTGATATTCATATTCGTATCCGTACTTCCTAGGATTGCTTAAGGAAAAGGAGAGGTGGAGTAGTCGGTCGTCCAGCCCAAAATAGGCAAACAACACAACACCACAAGAGATGCTTTAAACAACATATAAAGTCTACTAATAAATCATAAGCTCTCCACTCAAGCATTATGCAAAACAACGGCAAGTCCTCAAAAATTTTGATAACCAAAGCCCAAAAAGCCAAAATTTTGAGAAAACACAATTCTCCATGTAGAAAAAGTCACAATATTATGGGCCACCACTCTACCAAATTAAGTTGGATATAATCATGAGATGTTTTTGAAATATTTAAGGGCTTAGGTCATCCACAATATAATAAATATCAACTAAGGTCTTACATCCTAACCATTTGGGGCCAGCCACACAAATCTACATGCTGTTGAGCTTTGTTCAAAGGATCCTGGTCCTACTGATCACCTAAGATAACCATCTCTAAATCATTTCCATTGATGTCGCTAGTTATGTTGCCTAGAAATCTACACCCTATATAAACATAACATCATCATTATGTATCTCTAACTTTTATCAGGAATAGCAAATTAATTCTATTCTTTCTCCTTTTTGGAAGTAAAGATAACCCAAATTAATTTGAGCAGAAACTGGAGGAACTAGCCAGATTAATAAGGTCTCACTAGCAAAGAGCAATTGCAAACTCCGTGGTCAGAAAATCAATAGTGACAACCTTACACTCTAAGCTTCCCCAAACTGGCAAAATTTCTATGAAGGAGTGGTTGAGAAATTAGCTCAATCTTGGGCCTCACAGATTTTCAAGTCTGAAAACTGAAACATCAGCCCATCCCAAAGAGAAACTCTAATATAGTTTGTTATGGCTTCACAAACCACCCATATTTCTCAAGCTGATGTACAATGTAATGTATCATTCTTGTACAATGAGTGGATAAGCTTAGGATGGTGATCTTCATGGATTTTGCATAAAGATAGAGGTCTGCATCAAGAAAATGAAGTCGGTCAATCTGTCAATTCCTGCAACATGGTGCTTTAGAAGACAACCAAGCAACAAGTAAAATTGAGGTTTTGCATTAATAATTTTGTGAATCAGCAGAGCTTGTCTCTTCTATTGATGACTTGATCTTATCACCAGTATGGCAAAGTCGTTGCAAACAATGGTAACAGTGCAAGCAATTTTTTTTTATTTCTTAATTAGAGTTTATGACTAAAGGATGAAATTGGCTTGTATTAGAGATTAAATGAAGGATCAATCCTGGCCATAGATACAATCTCAAGCTAAGGCAGCTCAATGATACACTGACCACTAAAAGATGTTATCATTTGATTCAGATTGGCATCCAATTGCAGATATTTTCTTGTGTTGAATAACATATACAATAGAAGTTTCTAAATTGAACAGAGTTACGTCTTGGTAGACTAAAGGAATTGAAACCAAACGTAGAAAAATCAAGTACCACACTGTAAATCAAACTGATCCCAAACCCTAAATCGAATTCACATTAATAATAAACAATTGTACAAGCAAATTAGCGAAATCAAAACATCTAAGAAGCGTGCAAATTTGTACTATACACAAAGACAAAATCGTTTATGTGCGCAATGTGTTTTAGGGAGTGTGTGTGGGGGCGGGGGGGAGCTCGAGAGAGACTGAACCTCTTTCGTCGACGACATCTAGGGAGCAATGAACTATGTGATGATGCTTCAAAGCATCATCTGATTCCGTGAAGCTCTGAATATATAGCGGATTGTTCTGCTTACCAGATTGTTATTGCACATTAGCCCAACATATATATATATATATATATATATATACACATAGAGAGAGATAGAGACACACACACACACATATATTATGGATGAGAGAAATTTATTTGGCAGAAGGCGCACCTGGTGGCCGACGACGGCGACACATACGATCATCTTCTCCGGTTCACGTCTAATCTACGAGAGAGCTTTTACCCGCTCACTCTTGTAGAGTAAGTTAGCAGTAACTCAGCTTGTATTTTGCTTAATAGAGTAATTTACCAATTTAACCTTTTGATTGTATGACTAGCTTGAATTTAACCACCCTTTATTGACTTAACTCATGCTTCCTTAAAAATATTGAGATCTCTGAACATTCTATTTTCAAATTTAGGAAAACAGAAGATGTTATTTTTGTTTCATAGCCTTTTAAGCAGGAGTTTGATTTTTTTTTTTTAATAATTTTTTTTAATGAGACGATAGTAATTGAATTAAATAGAAGTATCCAAAAAAAGAAGGGACACAATAAAGTTACGAACCACTGCCTCCCATACATCAAAATGCATTCGGGTGTATCTAATTCAATATCGTATAAATGAGTCTTTGATCCAATAATACTCTTTACATTGTGAAGGTTTTGTCTTTCTTCCTGACGTCAAGGGTTCAAGTCTTCTCCCTTTTCCCCTTCCAAAAAAAATTTAAAAAAAAAGAAAAAGAAAAAATGTAATTCAATATCCTAAGAGCCCTATCCACCTTAAGAAGATGTTGATGCTTCCTTTCCACACTCTATTTTGTCGTGGAGTTCAACACACAACTACGCTGATATATGACTCATTGAGTAGAGAAAAATGAAGTCATAGCAAGTTTATCCCCATTGTCAGTTCGAATGATTTTAATACACCTTTGAAATTGATTTTTGACCAATGCAAATAAGGACTCAAGCAAAGGTCTTGTTTCTGACTTGTACTTCATTAGATACACCCAAGTGCATTTAGAAAAATCATCCACAATGGTTAAAAAATATGGAGAACCATTCAAAGAAGAAGTGGAAAAGGAACCCCATATATCACAGTGTATCAACTCAAAAGGAACAAGTGAAGCTGTATGACTAATAGGAAATGCAAGTCTATTTTGCTTAACATAATGACAAATATTACAATGATCAGAATTAGAAGAAGTAATAGTGGGAATTTGTTTATGTAGCAGTTCTAGTCTTTGGTCAGATTTTGTCAACTGAACTATCTCCATAGACCGGTGTAGAAACTTGCTGTGCAGAAGAGTTTGAATTTCCCTTCACTTTGAATTTGTATCCAGGAGGATAGCCTTGTAGTTTATAATACTTGTCAATAGTATGCCCTGTTATTCCATAGTGTGAGCCAGTTGGTCTTGCCTTATTGTAACTTTGTTTACTACTGTTTTATGCAGAAGAGTTTGATTTACTAAGAAGAGCAACATAATCAAAACTAGAAGAAGTAGAAGATGTGATTTGCCTTTGTCGTTCATCTTGAAGAATCAAAGAGAACACCTTGTTAATTGAAGGAAGTGGATCTTGAAGAAGAATCTGACTTCGTACATGACTATAAGAGTCATTCAATCCTATCAAAAACTGAATTATATAATCCTGTTGTTGATATGCAACCAACTTCTTCAAAGCTCTACAAATCAATTCATCCCAAAGACCTTTAAGGCAAGTATAATATGCACTAATAGAGAGTTGTTGTTCTTGAGTTAAAGACGAAATTGATTTTTATAATTGAAAAATTCTTAGATCATTCGTTTGAGAAAATTTTTCTTCCAACTCATCCAGATCTCTTTAGCACTATTTACATAAAGCACACTTCTAGCGATTTCTTTGGACAAAGTGTTAAGAAGCCAAGAAATTACCATATTGTTGCAACGAATCCATAAATAGTAAAGTGGGTCTGCTTGATCTGAAGGCTTGGAAGCTGATCCGTCAATGGAACACATCTTGTTCTTGGCACTTAAGGCCATAAACATACATCTACTCCAAGAGTTATAATTCTCGCCTGTTAATGGCTGAGATACCAACAAAGCTCTTGGACTATCTCCATGATGCAAGAAAAAGGAATGGGATGGATCTTTGATTGAAGAATGTGCAGAATTCTCCATTGACGTGTAGAAGAAGTTTTATTAAAGCTCTAATACCATGTTAAATTTGAAGAAGGAAAAAGGCAACAAAACAGAGATGAGCAGAGAGAGAAAATAAAACTGTTTTCTTATTCTCACAGTTACACTGTTTCTACAAATATCACTATTCACCGCCTCTTATCCTTCACCAACTAACTAATCCTACACTAATTAAATATAGCTAAGCAACTAACAAACTTCAGCTAACAAACTCCTAACAGTCTTGACAACTAAACACCTAACTAACTAACTAACTAACTTCAACCATTCTAAACAGAATCACCGATTAATCCTTGTTTGTAATTTCAAAGCAAGAAAAGGGCATCGTTGGTAATTTAACCAGCGTGCATGTTCCAATCAGAAAGACAGAAACACATTCACGGTACGTAATGACAGTTATGTCCCACGCCTTCACCGCTTCTGCAGCGTTTCTTTGATATCACATTTTGTATATTTCACCAATCCCCACGATCAGTTGTTCGTTACGAAGAAGAAAGCTTCAGCTCTGTGCCATTTTCTGAGACTTCATTCTTATCATTCTCTCTCTTCCACAATTTCTTCGACTTCGAAGCCGAAGGTATCTCTCTGATCATCAACTGTATATGTATGCATGCGTGTGTTTTTACATATACCATTACTTGATATTGATAAAAACGTTCTTTTCCCTCTCAATTTGGGATTGTTTTCGATATATCTTTTCAAAATTGATACCTACCTTGAGTCGAGCAAGCTTGAAAATTGAAATCCACCTTGTTTGTGCTGTATTGATTTTCAGCGAAGATTTTTCAATTTGTAAACCGTCCAACTTTTGTTTGCGTTTGTGTTTTTGCAGCATTTTGATTTATTATATTTTCTGTTAGGAATTAACATCGATTGTTTTACCCTCCGTTTGATTGACGAGAAGTTGAGAAAAATGAAAATAATCTAGCATCATATAGGAAATGTAGCATCATGTAGTACATCATTCCGGTACGAATGTTGCATCGTGTAGGAAACATGGATACGAATATATGGGTTGATTGTACCTCACTTGTACATTTAAGACGTGGACGTCATTTGAAAATTGCTTTCAGAGAATAATAGAGTATGACATTTTATGGAATTGTCTTGGAAATGTACTTCCTTTTTTTCTTTTGGGTCTTATTGGTTACGAGTTCATAATACCGATGAATAGAAAAGCTTTGCTGTTTGCTATTTTTCTTGTCACCCAATTCAAAAATGTCACTGCCATTTTTATAGTGAAATTTACAAATCATGAATAAAGGATCCCATTTTATACTCTGCAACCAAACATCATGGTTTCAAATAGCTTTCTTACCTTGCCTTTCCATGTGTTTATTAGATGGAAACTGAACAAACCTCTCGATACTCCCAAAGTTGAAGAACCTACTACTGGGAATGACAAAGCCGCTTTGAATATAGGTTGTCAGGAATCTAGTTCCAAGCGGAATGCAAATTCTGAATGCAAACCTGACGAATTTGTAAGGAACCTGCAGCCTGTCGCCTGCATTTACAGACAAGATGATGTAAGGAGCAACAGCACTGGTAAGATTGTGCTTGTACCTGAGCTTGCCGGTGACTCTGATTCAGATGGCAGCATTACTGATGATGAAGATGAGGACGATGAGAATGCCAATGATGATGATGAAACTGGTCCAAATGAGGTGGATGGTTGGGATGGCAAGAGAAATGACGATGGGAGTACTGATAGGAGCAGAGTTGGTGGCAATTATAAGAGCAGTCTTCTTCCAGCAGATCAAGTTACGGTGCTTGAGATGGATGAATCTGAGACAAGTCACAAAATCGATGATGTCACCGTTGTTGATGGGGGATTTTTACATGGGGATTATGTTGCTTTCGCTTCTCACCCAACGGGCCAAATAGGTCTTGTAGTTGATGTGAATATTTCTGTTGATTTATTAGCTGCTGATGGATCTGTTTTAAAAGACGTCTCCTCCAAAGACTTAAAATGCGTTAGGGATTTTACGGTGGGTGATGTGGTTGTCTTGGGTCCCTGGGTAGGTAGAATTCAGGATGTTGTAGATAACGTGACAGTGTTGTTTCATGATAGTTCTGTGTGTGAAGTCATGAAGGCCGACCCACTGCATCTCAAACCTGTTCGTAAGAATATCGTTCAAGATGTACACTTCCCTTATTATCCTGGCCAGCGTGTAAAGACGAGCTCATCATCTGTTTTTAAGAACAATAATGTTAGATTTGCCAAATTTTAAAATCAAATTTAAATTCTAAATGACATGACAGTTGACTTGGACTTCTTTAATTGATGTCATATCATTTGAGTCCCAATAAAAACTTCAAATAATCAACTGCCATATTATTTGAGTTTCAAATTTGATCCCAAAATTTGGTCAATGTAACATTACTCTTTCAAGAATTCTAGGTGGATATCAGCAAGGACGGAGGCATGTTTGGGCTATCGTGGGCTGAAGCACATAGTAAAAAAAAAAAAAAAGGGGGAAATTTGGAGGTCGGTCCCCCTACTATATGGACTTGTTTGGACTTAAGTCCGTCAAAAAAAATTATTTGTTACGAAGTCCGTTTTTGTCAATGCTACCATACTATCTCTTAACGTTAAAAGTGAAATAAAACTAAAAATTAAAAACTCTTAAATCTTAAGAGTTTGACTAACATTAAAATCTTTTCTCTCTCATAGCTATTTATATCCATATATAGGTTAAGAGTTTAACTAATATTAAAAATTTTTCTCTCTTATCTATCTATATCCACACACACACACACACACATATATATAATAACATTAAAATTAAAAAATAGTAACATTCAAAATAATAGTAGTAACATGCACAAAAATAATAGTAACATGAACAACATCATATTCAACAAAAACAGTAATATAATAAAAAAATAATAACATAAATTTGAATATATATGTTAGGTATATAAATACATATATATGACCAATAAAAAATCTTTCAAAGACGAATTGCCATAGAGTACTTGGGAATCCTTCGTCTTCTCTCTTGAATGTATTTGATGAGTCCACATTTCATGAATTGAGAACCTTTGTGTGATCTTTTCTGCCTCCCTTAATAATGCCACAACCATAGGACTTGATCTCGGAGTTATGTTACCTAATTTCAGTAATATATATATATATCTTCTACTACATTCTGGTCATTCTACCAATACAACTCCTTCGGCTACCATTTTCCTCACCATAGCACTGCCACCATATATATATATATATATATATATATATATATATATAGAGAGAGAGAGAGAGAGAGAGAGAGAGAGAGAGTTTTGAATTTGAATTTTAAATTTATGATGGAGATTTTATTGGCATATTTTAATTGACATTGAATTAAGGAATAACAATTTCTAAAATAGGAAATTAATTTAACTTCCTTTCAAGGAAGGGTATTTTTGAAATAAAAAAAAAGTGAACTTAAGTCATTACATATAATTTTAAAGATGGACTTAACCCCTTATAAGTTTTCTTGCAGGATTTATCTCCAAACAAGTATATCTAGGGGTATTCACTTCTAATTTTCACCAAAAAAAAAAAAATTACCACTTTCATACGAAGCTACCAACCCACTAAAAACATTTCATTCAACCCAACCCAGCCCACTAAAAACATCCCAACGGCTACCTGCATGTTCCCCAAAATCAGTCTCTTCTCTCTCTCTCTCTCAGACGGGTCTCTCTCAGTCACTTCCCCAAAATCATGTCTGTCTCTCTGTCTCTATTTGTTTGATTTTGCTCTCCGTTCAAATGTCGCCCACAAGTTGTTTGATCAAATGCCCCTGAATCACACACATTTGTTTTTTAGGCAGTTGTTCGAATCAAATGCCACCCACAAGTTGTGCCGCTGTTGTCTTCGTCATTGGTGTTACAATGGGGAAAGAAATGGTTGAGGATTGAAGGCGGAAAAAGCAGGTAACAGGATTTTGATTACATGATTTAGTGGACACTCATTCTAATGATGAACCTCTTTATTTGTGGCTTTATTAGTTCCTTGGGGCATTTTTATATAATAGTGCTAATTCCATATTGTTTGAGTGATTTTTTTTTTGTGTGGCTGAATCAACTTTAATAAAGTTGGTAAATTTATGGGTAGGGAGCTCTCTATTGTTATATTATATGGCAGAATAGTAGGTGTGGAAGTGATGGAGCTAATCAACAATTCAATGTGTAATTTTCAGGATAATGTCAGCTTGTAAAAATATTGTCATTTGGGGTTAGGAACAAGTGATTTTTAGTCAGTGAAATGGCTAAAAACATGATGAAAAATATACCTCAGAGATTGACATATGAGTATATATAAAAAAAAAATGCTTAGTTTAGTCCGGAATAAACAAAAATCCTAACTCTGCCCTTGAATATCAGGCTTATGGAAATCTAACCGGATGGATGGGACAGTAACTAAAGTTACGGTTAGGTCGGTGTACATTTATTGGATTGCATTTGTAGGGTATGGGCTCGGCTCTTCTCCGGCTGAAGAGCAGAGTCCAAAGAACTTAAAACTATTATCGCGTTTTGATGAGATATTTTCAGACACTCTCAGATGATGACACGTGTACTCGACATCAATGGAGACTCTCGCTGTGATACCGACACGTCTTCGTCGTTTCCAACCCCCCTGCCCCGCTGAAGCTATTCACAAGGATCAAGGACCCCCAAATCACCATGGACCGACACGTATTCCTCGGCAGTTTTGGTACATCGGTCCTAAATCATGCTAGTCCCTCGACACCGAGGGGTATCTATCCACGTGAGTATTTCTGCACCTGTAGGAGCTATTGATGGACAGATCACTAGCCTAGGCAAGGCTAGACTAGCCATCATGACCTCGTCTTACTCAAATGGTGTCAGGAGGCACAAGAAAGCAGAAGGCTCAACCAAAGGGGAATGGGCACATGTCGTATTGTGTCAGATCAGAGACAAAAAGATGAGAATGCCCTTGCTGACACACGACTTAGGAAATCAAGTATTTAATGCACCCTTCCCTTGATGAGACAACATTTAATGCATGAGAGCTCGAAAGTGAAAGGTAATAAATGTCCCAAAGCCTGGGTATTTAATACACCCCCACCGAGAGAAGATCATTAAACATTCGGCAGACCGAAAAGAAAGCATTAGTTGCTCGGAGTCCCGAGCAGTAAAGAATAAGATCATTACTCATAGAAATTGGTGTGCACGCTGTCCATCCCCAATGATTACATACTGGCTACGCTGTTAGTAATGATGAGTTTTTAAGGTATAAATAGTCCTCACAAACACATAAAAGAGGTACGCAACAAACCCTCTCTCAACCTCATACAGTGTTTTCTTCTTCCCCTCTCTCAAAAAACTGACTTGATCTTCGGAGGGGATACGCCGAAAAACACTCCGGCGCCTTTCTAACTTGTTTTTATTTATTTCAGGAACCTCCTTTAACCTTCCAGGATCACTTAACGGATTCATAAAAATGATTCATTATCCACCTTGGGCCACCTTCGACCCTCACAACCTGTTCCAAGTAGCAAGATCGACCACCCGATTGACGGACACGTGTTCACCACGGAAGAGATCTGTTCTAATATTTATATTATGCAGGATCTTGCATGCACAATCTGACGTCGTCTGTGGGAAACGACTAGTTTTTCTAGTTTCTTCTCTAGAAAGAACAGTGACCATGGTGAATACTCGACAGAAAGAGAAAAAGTCTCCAGTAAAAAAGGCTCGAGTTACAAGCTCCTCGTCATGTTGGGGGGAGAGAGCACGCTGATGACAACAGGAACATTTCTATTCATTCAAGGGGGTATACTCCTCAAACCAGTATAGGCATTAGATCAGGAGGATTCGCCCCCTTGGCTCGTCAACTAGCGGAGGTGATTGAAGAAAAGTTTGGGGATCGACTACGACAGTTAGAACAAGATAATGTAAATGTTCTAAGCCAGTTCGACAAATTTGCCTCCTTCGACGAAAGATCGAGGGACTCATTCCGTTCCCGCAAACACCCCGCCCAGGAAGCGGAAACCGAGGACCTGAGGAACCATTTAAACAACAAAACTGAGAGCTCCAGGGTCCCGAAGTGCCCGAGAGCCAATAAGCACCCCTTCGACGATCATTCCAGGAAGGCAAGGCCTTTGGCCTGGGACGATCTCTAACGAGGACTGTCAAGGTGGGGGAAGAGAGATGAGTCCGAGGAGGATTCAATCCTTTCCACACGACGCCCGGAGAAGGGGAGCCCCGTCAATGACCTTGGAAACCTCAGAAGACATCCCTCTGAGGTGGAGACTGATCTCAGAGTTCGGTTGGAATCCAAGAGAAGGAGCAAGACTGTCTAGGATGACGCCGAAAACGAGGCCATGTAATCACCTTTTACCAGGGATATCTGAGAGATGGAGGTACCAAAAAAGTTCATCATGCCAAGGTTTAAAACTTATGATGGGCGATCCGATCCCGAAACTCACCTCAGGCAATACAAGCAAATGATGTCCCTGTATCATTCGGACCAACGGCTCCTCTGCCGAGTGTTTTCCATGAGTTTGGGAGATTCTGCAATGAAGTGGTTCGAGACTCTTTCTCCCAATAGCATTGGGTCATGGAAGGAGTTGGCGAGATAATTTCTAGTCCGGTTCATTACGGGGAGAAAGCGGCCCAAAGACATTGGGTCATTACTGACGCTCAGGCAGAGGGAACAAGAAATCCTTCGCCAATACGCCACCAAGTACTGGGAGGAGGTTAATAAGGTAGAGGGGTGTTCGGAAGTCATGACAGTCATATCCTTTAGGCTCGGTCTGGCAAGAGACACGGACTTGTACCGATTCCTAACTAAGAAGACTCCCGTAGATATGGGCGAATTGATGACCCGGATAAACAAATACTCCAGGATTGAAGATGAAATGGGGGTAGCAAAGGTAGAATTCTCCCACCTAGGAGAAAAGAGAAAGGAACAGGAGACACCTTCTGAAAGGGGTTGGTACCCCCTCCAAGGGGGTCATTTAAAGGTGTTCACACTCTCTTCAAAGAACCCATCTACAAGTTACTCCATAAAATCAAGCATGAGCCATTCTTCAAGTGGCCGCCTTGGATGCAGAGTTATCCTTCCACCCGTGATCAAAAGGTTAAATGTTCCTATCACCGGAATTTTGGCCATCGCACCGAAAATTACAAGGTATACAAGTCTTTCTTGGAAGGGCTAGTCCGGGATGGTTACTTAAAAGAATACATCGAGCCCAAGTTAGAAAAGAGACGCAGTCCTGCCCCGGCCGTGGAGCAAGACAATGTCATAGACGTGATCCATGTATGTCCACTAGATCGCCCGACATCCAAGGAGCTTGAGTCCGACCTCAAGAGGGTAGCCTTTACAAGAAAGGTTGTTGAGAACGATGAGGGCCCAGCCAGCAAGAGGGCCAGGATCGGCAAGCCGGGTATTATCTTCTCCGACGCAGACTTGGTAGGTATGGTGACTCCCCATAACGACGCCCTAATTATAACTCTGAAGATAGACAAGTTTGACGTCAAGAGGGTGTTGGTGGACTCCGAGGGTTCCTCAGAAGTGATGTACTCAAAGACTTTAAAGTGGATGGGCTTTGGCCTCAAGGACCTCACCAAGGTCAGGACGCCCCTCGTTGGATTTAACGACTCATTTGCCTTGCCCATAGGCAAAATCACATTGTCAATTGTCACGGGTCCCTTCACCATCAACACTGAGTTTGTTGTGATCGATACGGACTCTCCCAACAATGTGATCATGGGGCGAGATTGGTTGCATGCGCTGGGAGCGGTGCACTCCACTTATAATCAGAAATTAAAATTTGCTACACCAGAAGGGATAATGGAGATCCGAGGGGACCAAGCATCCGCAAAAAATTGGCTTTACTCAGCTGTGAGAGCGGGGTTTTCCACCCAAGAGAAGGGACGCGCCCCGAAAGAGATCCTGAAAAAATAGCAATCACAGTCCGAGCGTCCAAGAGTGGATGACCCCCGGACTGATCCGACGGACCGATCGGTAGAAGACCTTCAAAAGGTGTTTTTAGTGGATGGTGAAGAGGAGAGATACTTCCTGATTGTAACCACAATGCCTGCAGCCGAACAGGAAGAGATGATCGACTTTTTGAGGTAAAATGCAGACGTGTTCGCTTGAAATGCAATAGAAATGAAGGTGGTGGACCCCAAAATAATCACGCATAAGCTGCATGTTGACCCAACACACAAGCCGATAAAGCAAAAGTCACGGCGTATGGCGCCAGATCACGCCCGGGCGGTGAACGAGGAAGTCGATAAGCTCTTAGAGGCCAATACTATCCGGTAGGTGCAGTTCCTAGAATGGTTATCAAACATGGTCTGCGCCAAGAAAAAGGGGAAAAAATGGCGTGTCTAGGTAGACTTCACTGATTTGAACAAGGTATATCCCAAGGACGACTACCCCCTACCAAAGGTTGACCAGTTGGTGGATGCCATTACCGGGTATCAGCGCATGGGCTTCCTGGATGCCAGGGTAGGATATCATCAAATCCCTCTCCATCTCCTAGATCAAGAAAAAACGGCATTCATCACTCCGATGAGAGTTTACTGCTACAAAGTCATGTCATTTGGGCTGAAGAACGCCGGAGCTACGTACCAGAGACTGATGAATCGGATGTTCAAAAGACAGATCGGCAATACCATGGAAGTCTACACCGATGATATGTTGGTTAAAAGTAGAAGAAATTGTGACCACCTGGTGGATTTGACCAATACCTTCTCCACTCTCAGGGAGTATGGGCAGAAGCTAAACGCCGCAAATTGTGTTTTTGGAGTGGAGTCAGGTAAATTTCTCGGATATCTGGTGAGTCGGCGAGGAGTCAAAGCTAACCCGGATCAGATGCAAGCGATCCTAGACATCCGGAGCCCCCGAACAGTCCGAGTGTTGGGAGCACTCAATTGTTTTATCTCGCGCTCCTCGGACAAATGCAAACCCTTCTTTGGGGCTATTAAGGGGGGCGGAAAGGATACGTGGGGCCAGGAGTGTGAAGACGCCTTGACAGGAATTAAGGAATACCTCGGGGTTCTCCCGACCCTATCCGTTCCTGTCCAGGGAGAAATGTTCTTCCTGTAATTATCCGTATCAGAATTTGCCATCAACGGGGTACTCATTCGTGACCACGAGCACCACCAGAAGCCAGTTTATTATGTGAGCAAAACGCTACTAGACGCGAAAACAAGATACCTACCCTTGGAGAAACTCGCTCTATCCCTGGTCACAACTGCAAGAAAACTGAGGTATTATTTCCAGGCACACCTGATTACTGTCCTCACCGATCAGCCCTTAAAGGCCATTTTGAGAAAGATAGATCTCTCTGGAAGGATTTCCAAGTGGGTAGTGGAGTTGGGAGAACATGACATCCACTTCAAACCTCAAACTGTTATAAAGGGGCAGGTTTTGGCAGATTTCATAGCAAAATTTTTCGGGGGACCTCCCGTTTTGGAAGGGCCACCCACTTCAGAAATAGCGTTCTCGAGGGATGACAA